TGCCCCCCACTGTGCCACCTCGCTGCATTTTATCCGCCCGGCGCTCCGCTCGTCGTTGTGAACCTCACTCCTCTGCTCGATAGCGTCCTTTATAAGCCTCCTCTCGCATAGAGACCGATCATGACACCACAGGTACTGGGTTCTTCGGCAAGTCCACCACTCAGCTGGGTATCCTCTTGCACAGCATCAGCTCCCATCTCTTGTCTACCGCGTTTCGCGTCCATTTAGCCCTCTCTATCTGGCCAAAGAGAAGCCGAATGGGCATACTATCCATGAACGAATCAAGATCATACCTGTCAAACCCTTATCAGTGCCCTACCTTATTACAGACTAATTCAGACCTTATTGGTCACCCCCGTGCCCCTTATACATCGCAAAGTTCATCCTACAAAGTCCCATCACAAGGGAGAAACACAAACATATAGAATACAACTTTTTGTGTCCCCGTATTGAAACGTCTGTGCGTCGTATGGACCTGAAAACTCAATTTCCCTGTACAAGAATACGGGGTAAACCGTATGGGCTGACACGGTATATGATGGAGCTTATCGTTATTTCAGCTGGATCTGTCTGGGTAGGCCACCCGGCACCCCACATCAAGTACACCTCTCGCTATGATTGCAGACCCGTCCCATATGCTGGACATCTGTGAAAAAGAGCTTCATAGCTCATCGGATTCCCCCAGTCTCAACACATGATTCTGATCAAGATTCCGACGTACCAACGGCTATCTTCCAGGGACTCGAAACAATTGTGCAGCAAGTGAGACATTTAATCCCGAGGTGTACTGTACAATTGAACAAGAATACGGGGTAAACTGTATGGGTTGACAAGTATGCTACTATAAACTACACTATGCACTACACTCTACATTTAATTACACTATAAAATGTGTTCGTATTGAAACGGCTACAAGAATACGGGTAAACTGTACGAATTGACAGGTACGCTACTATACACTACAATACAGGGTGCTTTAAAAAAATGTTAACACTTACATGGGACTATCGTTTTTAATGGGGGGAAAAGGAACGGATAATAACACACTGTAACATAATAACAAATGTGATGTCAATAGCTTCAAAAAGTCAAAGATTCTCCACTTGTTCGCCATCGTTGTCAACACGTGGCCTGGAATCTTCTCGAGGTGATCTCCAGAGCCTGGAGGCAGCAGCACATATCTATCTTGTGGTATTGTTGCAAATTCTCAGAAGTGCTACAAAAAGTAAGCACCCTGTACTATACACTAAACTACGCACGACACTCTAAATTCCACGACACTATGAAATGTGCAGTATTGAAACAGCTGCACTCCGTATGGACCTGAAAACTCAACTTCCCTGTACAAGAATACGGGGCAAACGATACCGAGTTGATGTTGGTATGCAAGGCGGCCTCGCCTGCTGGATACGCACTCTCTCACGAGAACGCATGTTCACGTTGTAGCAAGCGACGCTGGCACGCTGGCAAACAGCATAAATATTCCATGCAAATCCACGGCAGCGGAATAACAATACCGAGACACCCATTTTCTAAACAGAATTTCCAAAGCGCGCAATGTGTGCCCGGTGAAGGTGGGTGGCCTTCCTTTGATGTCATTACCGAAACAATAGGATGAAAATGCAGAAACTATTGGCATTACGTGAACATTATGCACGGTACAGCATGTTTGATACACTGCTAGACGGGAGGGGGATCACCCACGCTGTACCACAGTCGATGTTGCTGCTGACAATGCGAACCCCCGCAGCCCCACGGCAACATCCCCACCCATCCGGGCAGTGTGCGGGTTAAATCAACGCCTGCTTAGCTGACGACGATCACACGTACAACAGTTACATTTAAAATAATGTAATACCACATTGTACGGTTACTGCTGGACATTAAAGAGTTTTTTTATATTCAATCCAACCGGCTGTGTCCCGTGCTGATTCTCCGGGTTAAATTGCCTGCGTGCCAATAAGCACGCGACGTTGGTTGCGCGGTTGGAACCCTTGGGGGGGGTCCCACCGATGGGGGGGGTCCCACCGATGGGGGGGGTCCCACCGATGGGGGGGGTCCCACCGATGGGGGGGGGTCCCACCGATGGGGGGGGGGGTCCCACCGATGGGGGGGGGTCCCACCGATGGGGGGGGGGGGGTCCCACCGGTTCCACCGTTGGCCCAACGTTGCTACGCGGTTGGAACCCTTGGACCAACGTCCCAGGTGCGCCGGGTCCGCCCGCCTGTAGAGGTCACGCCAAAAGGTGAACACCTGCCCGCTCGCCCTGCCCGCTCGCCCTGTCCGCTCGCCCTGTCCGGAAACACTTGGTGCAGGAGAGACGGCGCCACCGTGACCGACCCCACTCGAGCGCGTCGCCACCGCTGCCACCGCTGCCCCCCCCGCCTCCTACCTCCCATCTCCCGCTCCGGCGACGGCGTCGCCCACGCACCCCCCGCGCCCGATAGTTGTCACACACGCACCTTGTCCCAGCGCAGCCACTGGCGCGCCGCAGTCTCCGTCACCGCCGCCAGCTCGTCAGACATCTCGACGGGCGGGGCGGGATAGCTCGCACACACGACACGGAGTTCATGCACACACGGAGTTCATGCACACACGCACGGAGTTCATGCACACACGGAGTTGTTCAGCGCAGAGACTTCGCCGCTGCGATTCAATTAAAGGGAGCGGAGGAGGAGGAAGAGGAACGATCGAGAACCGTGAGAAACCCCGGGGCCCAGATTATATTCCGTAGCGTGGATACGCGCGGCGGGCCGGCGGTGGGGGCGGGGCACCGGCCGCATCCCGCCCTCGCCCATTGGTCGGGCGTCGAAGCTCGTGGTTGGGTGAAGGCGGCGGCGCGTGGCCCAATGGGAGGGCGAGGCGGCGCCTATCAAGCGTACGGAATTAAACGCACGTGGCTCGCGTTTTAAAGGGGGCGTGTCCGTGCTGGCAGAGTTTTGGGTTGGGTTGTTAGTGGTGGTTGGTTGGTGGTGGTTATTGTTAGTAGTAGTGGTGGTTGGTGGTGGTTATTGTTAGTAGTAGTGGTGGTTGGTGGTGGTTATTGTTAGTAGTAGTGGTGGTTGGTGGTGGTTATTGTTAGTAGTAGTGGTGGTTGGTGGTGGTTATTGTTAGTAGTAGTGGTGGTGGTTATTGTTAGTAGTAGTAGTGGTTGGTGGTGGTTATTGTTAGTAGTGGTGGTGGTTGGTTGGTGGTGGTTATTGTTAGTAGTAGTGGTTGGTGGTGGTTATTGTTAGTAGTGGTGGTTGGTGGTGGTGGTTATTGTTAGTAGTAGTAGTGGTGGTGGTTGTTGGTCGTTTTTAGTAGTGGTTGATTTCTGGTGGTGTTTAGTATTGGTGGTAGTGGTTGTTGTTGATGCGATTTGACACGTGTATGATGTGTTTTAAAATAATCTCAATGAAACGTCCAATGAGATTAGTTTGTTGCTATAAATGTCCACGACAAACCGCTTCGTTGAGCGATCATTTGTGGCCAGGTGGCTTCTGAAATATAAGTTAACTAGGGGTTCATATTCTTGTTGTGGTTTTCACACCTGATGATGATTGCTTGTGTTGCAGTCGAAACGTCTTGAGAATTTTATTGTTTTATATATTTATTATTTTATTGTTTCCCTTCTACGTGACTTTACCGAAAGAACCAAGAATATGAATCCCTGCAGTCACGAAAGCTTTAAATAAAAATTTAACTAGGAGTTGTTTGGGGGCGCCCCCAGGCCTTCGGCCAGGAAAGTCACACAAAAAAATTGCACGCAAACGACGCATTCACGCAAGCACAAGATGCTCCGTTTTGAAGTTTTAAAAATGAAACATGTTTGAATTGTATTGTTTTTAATTCGATAATTTTATTTCTTCATTAAAAGCTTATATCATTTTACATCTGTAAGACTTCACTGAAAACGACATTTCGTGTGAATTTTCTCTCGTCGTTAAGTAGATGGCCTTGCTTTGGGGGTTCGTTCGGTTCGATGCGGACTTTCACCTGTTTGGGATTGCGGGATCGAGATAAGACGACACGGAGCTGCTGGCCGTGCGAGAAGACCGCCGTCTGTAGATCGATTCCAACGTGTTGTGGGATACGCAAAGGGCTAGGGGGCGACGTGAGGCTGTAACAGTAGAGTGTAGTGTATAGTAGTGTATAATGTAGTGTAGAGTATAGTTTAGTGGTGTCGTGAATAGTAACGTGAGGCTGTAAGTGTATAATGTAGCATACAGTAGTGTAGTGGATAGTCGTGTATAGTTGTTGTGAAGTGACGCGAGGCTGTAACAGTTCGAGACCTCTGTGCCCGAAGCAAATTCGAGTGACGCTGCTGTTGCTGCGTCGGGTTCTACCATGAGCTCCAGTGCAAGGCGAGAGTAGGGAGGTGAGCTGTGGGGAACCTGTGGTGAAGGCGCGATGACAAAAGGCAGGCACGACTTTGTCCCGTTGTCGAAAGGGAGCCAAGAGTATGGAGAGCGGTGGCTGAGTCATAGATGGACACCAATGAAACGAGCAAGGTTGTTCTGGAACAGTTGCAATTTGAGGATGTTGCTCGATGACTTGGAGAGAATGGCATAACAGTGCATTATTTCGCGACTTGTTTACCTTAGTTGTAGTTTGCACTCCTATAGTGTTTGTATTTTAACTTGGTGACCCATCCCGACTTGACATGTGAAAAAGAGCTTCATAGTTGATCGGATTCCTCCTCCAGGATAAATGAAGATTCTGATGCTGCATCACAGGTCGAGGAACAAGGAGCACAAGCAGCTGTTCCCAGTGATTTGAAAACGTTGGGACGATTCGGTGCAGAACAGCAGCGATGTGGAACTCTCAAAACTACAATCAAGGCTACAGCAATAATACAATATCGGTGCAGAACATATTTTTTTCCTGGCCACTTAACGCGTTGTGGGCTATAAATGGAAGATTGCAGACGAGCCATAGGAGTACGATTATGGCCATGCAACGCAATCTATGGACAAAATGTGAAGGACATTTGTGCAGAATAACACAACGAATGAAAAAACAGTCCTCAAAAACCCTTTATTAATCCATATTAACCGTTTTTTTCTCTAAATAAATATTTCTGAAGCAAATAATATATCTGTATGGGCACTCAGCACTCAATTGGCGCAATAAGGCAACAAACAAAAAATCATTTCAACGTTTAAAAACGGTAACTAACTTTTACACACATTCTGTAGAGAAGGCAATTCTGCTTGTATTGTCATCGTTGCACTGTTCAGGAAGCTCCGACGAAGTGTCATCAATGCCTACATAAACACATGTCTACAGTACACACAAAACATCACATTTATACTTCATAAATGTGAATAATAACGTCGCAAAATCGTGGGTTGTACAGATTGAAATTGCATACCATAAAAAATCCCATTTTTTATGAAATTCAATTTTTCATATAAGCAATTTGTGTGTTGTCAAAAATAACGCTTTTTTTACAGGTCTATCTTTGAAGACATTTAATTTACTTATATACTGAATGACATATACTGAAGTGGGAACAACAAATTTCAAATATTTCAATCACGTTCCTCAGTTATAATCATGTGATTTTTTTACATTTTGGCTACTAACGGATAATACAAAACACTAATTGTGCATTGTCTCATTGTTAGCCACTTTTTTTGGTAATTCTCAACTTACAACAAATATAAAAATGCATCTTAACAGACAACATATGCGATATCAAGTCTTTTTACAGAAACAACTTTCATCAACGATTAAAAAAAAAGTGTGTGCACATTGGTCAAGGTGACACAAGTACTGTTGCTGAAAATTAAAATAGGGACAGTGAAGAAATGCCGAATCGAAAAGTGCAACCAATTAACCAAGTGTCCCAGGAAGGAATTTATCCAATTCGTGACCACGATTACAACTGCAATTGGATTTGGCAAGCAGCCCCATACACGCAGCTCTGCATAACAAACCCATCACAAACTAACCAACCACAGCTGGTTTTACCAAGTCAATGCATCGTTTCCAATTCCACATGCTTGAATGTACAGCACAATGTGACTGCAAAACACAGCTCTGAAGCTGAGCCATGCTCGGCACATGCAAGTTATTCTATGTGTACCGTAATGTGTACTCGGCAAACGTGCTATGACAGGCACCTCCACAGTATTGTAATGTTATCAAGGGCACACATCGCGTTTTGAGTGAACACAAAAGCCAATGTATATTCACTTTGAAGAGGACATGGTCATCCTGCCGAGCAACGTTAGACAACGTTGAGCAGCAAAGTGCAGTTGTGTTACTTTGGTGGGCATTTTATTGCCATTGGAAAGATACGAACGACTGTTTAAGTGAAGTCAATCATGCGCCTTTCATCGACATGGGGACAAAGGACACAACAGCAGCTAACTTGAGATAAATCTTCAAGTCGACGTGGAACTAAAGACTGGTGGATATTTGTCTGGAGCAGGTAGGTGTTAAAATCTCACAAACCATGTATTTATTGTTCAAGTAGTTATGTTAAGTGACCAGCTTTTTAATCTATATATCCGAAAGGTATCTAGTTATGCACATTTCCATGATCACCCAGCCATATAGTTTAGATACTAGACTGCCAACTTGTAAGTTATTTATAAACATAACAGTTTATAAATATTACACTGATCACTACCCCATTTCCATACAAGAAGAACCAACGGAACCGATGATAGCTGTTGCTTCTTCACGTGAATAACACCAACTGGTCTCCTTGTTTGATTAATTGACCAGCTTACGATGGATGGTGGTTGTAACTGCATACAGGGTTATATTCGAACATGCGTATACAGTAGCTGCTACACATTTAGCTTATCGTCGCTTTACAACGTTACAAGGCTCGCACATAAACAGTGCCCCAACATGCTTACGACAAGATCATGACAAATCGCAAACTCCCAGTACATTTTTATAACCTATTTCGAGGCGTAATTTTTACGTATTAAAGCCAAAACTATTTCTGCCAAAACTATTTCTGCCTAACAATTTGCTCTACACGAGTGCTTTTCTTTGATCGTATTACAGAAAGCGTTTTGCATATTAATGAACGTAACCACCACTTCTTCCTTGGCTCGCCGACAAGAGGGAGCAATGAGCAGCACAGATAAATTAATCGTACGAGTGCCAGAGTTCATTTCAATCCGGGGCTGCAACGTTGAATATAGCAGAGTGCAGCTCGGTGCGACTAGAAAATCTATCCTGGCGGGGCTGTTCAAAAAAGGTCGCGGCGATGGGGGGGTTAACCAGTTGGAGACTAAAAGTCACCTTCGCTGAACGTCGGAAGAGGCACTTGATATTGGCATAGTTGGAGACCCCAGTTACACAAATTGCGAGCACTTCATGCACACGGTTAAATATATTTTTTTAAATCATTCACCTATTTGTTTTTCCTGCACACAATTAAAGGGCGGGTGTATATAACAGATCCAGATCCCAGATGGTGATAAGAAATGCATGTTTGGATTTGGTAACTTAATAGATCCCGCGCATGCCACCATTTCGTCTGTACCTCATTGAATGTTTTTGCATACTTTTTTTAAAGCTGCCAAATTGGTTGCCATGGTTTCATTGCACAAATGGCACCTATTGATACAATATTCTGGTAAGTGTGCGATAGTTTTTCAAACTAAAATAACTTGTAAACAAGATTTGGAATGTTTGAATGCCAATTCTATAACTGTAAATATGGTTGTAACTGTGGACATTCTCTTGTAACTTTCAAAGACGTCTGTAGTTTCCTGTAGGATCTGATTAAGTCTTTTTGAAAACAGATTTGTGAGCTGTCATTCTGGAAGTGAATTAAGATACGATCCTCCACATCACAAGACGTTGCCAAAGGCAGCTTTAGCAAATATTTGGCTGCTCGATACTCTGTTTCACTCTAGCCTGGTTGTTTATGGATGAATATAAGGAACGGCACCAAAATAATCAAATCAAATAATATCGTTCAATAGTAAAATTTGAGGCACATGTCGCAATTCAATGGTCTCCTTTAAAAAAAAAATCAATGATCAGTTTTCAAGTGACATTCCAGTGGGAGATACTGATGGAAATGACATTTTTTGGGTAACCTTTTTACCGTGGAAAACACGAGTACACGTGATGGATAATATATTTTGAATGTTTATAAGTCCACGCATGAGGTTTGTTTGGCAAACAAGTGCTCAGTGGATGGCTACGTGCAAAGAGCTTTTACCACATGGCACACGACATGCTGATCGTCAAGGCCCCTTCTACCAGCAGTGGCATAAGTAATTGCAGGGCCCCGTTACCTTTACACCACATGGTAAGTGGCGCAGGCACTATATGAAAAGCAAAAGCCTAGACATATCTCAAGTAAATTGCCACTGCATTATTTTATAACAGAAATTTCAGGTGAGAATGAAACAGAATATCCATAGCAGCAACCACAGTTAATACATATCCGCCCTTTAATGTTCCGTTAATGAACCACACGGCCACATGTCCACGTTGAGTTACTCAAAAGTACGTATTTACATTATGGAAGATCAAGAACGCGCGCACGACGCGTTTTACACTGTACAGTGAATGTCCAACTCACGCGTCGTCGGCTCGATGCATTTTTAGTGTCAGTGATGAATATCTACATTCCCATTTCAATCCACAGCTCGGCATTGCATAAATCGCACTCTCAAAACGCTCTTGCAGACGACAGTCCCCTTTTAAGTTCGACATTCAAAGTCATGGCCACAAAGCACCCAATCTGTAAAAAGCACCGGGATCTGTTCTGTACAAGACGGTGAATATCGGCATTGCCGGCACAGTGACACACTTTCAAAATGTCCAAGAGTTTCCCCCCTACCTCTCCAATTTGTCATCTAATATGGATGCCGTTTCTTTTGGCGTATATACTGACATTTTTTGATATCTGCAATGATGATGCTGCTGCTGCTGTCAGTTTGTCTGGCAAAATGCCCTCTGTAGTGGACTTTCCACCAGTGCAATAAAAATGCAATACCATTATACTAAAATAACCCGACGGCTTAACGACATTTCCTCGCAGATTCAAAAATGCCGTAGAGCTAAACAAATCATACTGAAATTTCCCTTATGGATTCATTTCCACGTTTTCTGCATCAGACTTCATTCGTGCTTACCATGTGCAAAATTAACTGGCGTTTGATATTAAGAGTCCGTTGAGAAGAGAGGCTTGCTTCAGCTCCCACTCAGCAAAGGTGGGGGGGGGGGGCTCAAAACCTCGACGATTGTATCAGGGACTCCCCCTCGGTGTACGCCCCATCCCTTGCCATCTCCTGTTCGGGATAAAAAACAGAGCAGCCCACGGTCGTGAGCCTAGGCACATTCAGGCCCGCATTGGGCATCCCGTGCGCTGCGTTGTAGTCCTGCCGCTCTGCGTGGAGGCCAGAGTTTGAGTGGTTGGTGTTTGGATGCTGGCGAGGCTGAGGAGACGTGCGGTGGTGGGGACGTTCCGCGTTGTTCGCTGCGCCGAGGTCTACGGAGTTGTGGTGCCACCCGGGCGCAGGCTGATATCTTTCCGGCCTTGCTGAAGAATTGTGAGGTGGCCGAGAGTTGTTGGACACGTGCGGGTCGTAGAGCCGCGGGTCGGAGGCACGCAGAGGACGCGCCGTGCTGTTGTAAGACGGGGAGGTTGCACGGTTGGCCAGACGAAGCTCGAGCTGCTGCACCTTCCTGCTCAACTCCTCCCGTTTGGCTAGCAGATTGCTGCATAGCTCCTCCACGGGGTCCTGGCAAACGCAACACGATTGTAACCCATGGACGCACGCACCCACGCCGAAGCATTGCTTTCAATAAAATCACAAGTGTTCATCAAGGTTGCCATATTGGGCTGTTTTGCGAACAATGTGTGGGACTTCTAAAGCGATTCCTAAGAATTCGTTTTCAGAAAAATTGTCGGTTTTTTTTGGGCTCCACTGAAAAATGGGGCACTTTCGAGCTCTTCCATCCAGAGATCTCACACTATCGACCTAAAAATATATATCTGGCAGCCCGTCACATCTTCGGTTTTATGCGAGTGCAGGGAAAGAATGAATTGCAAGCACAATGATCAATTTGACTAAAGATTGTGATAATCATTTATTTTTGTGTTTCGTTTGTTGTCCTTCCCCGCCCCTCCGATTAGCACGGTTGGCTACGTACGGTGAAAGAGGTTCAACATGCACACAAACAAAATTAAGCAAATGTATGCGACTGTGGTAAACGACCGACTGTGCAACTGCATTCATGTAATACACAAGAGTAAAAAAACATGGTAAACTTGCACCACCCCCCCCCCCCCCACCCTTAGTACCGGAAGCTGAGCGATGGGGTCCCAGCGGATGTAGTAGGAGACCCACAGCTGGAGCTGCCTCATGCTGTGCACAGGCGTGAGCACGCGTGTGTATTCCCGGTCATACAGAGGGCTTATAAACTCTTGCTGCCGGCTGTTCACCATGGACCACAGCGACACCGTCTTCTCACGAGTCCTCTGTGGTGGGGTTACATGGGGAATCATGGGACATTTTTTTAATCGTGAAAAAAATACCAGGAGTTTATGGGCTCATGTTTTACATATGCCGTCGTGAACTAAGAACCCAAGTTAACTAAGAAAATACAATTCACTTCCAACATTGCGTTCGTTAAATTGCACAAAATGGAAAAGCATTTACATTAAATAAAAAAAGTGAAATGTGTAATGCACATTACTTAATAAAATTTTCAGTATTGAATACACAATTAAGTACATCGGTGACATTTTCATGAAAAGACTGTCGGCACTCTTCATCTCTCAACACTCTCATACCTCCTGCCGCCTGCCTTTCTCACAGTTGCCCATGAAGGTGCCATAAAGGCAGCTGTACAGGTTGTCCAGAAGCATGATCAGAAAGCGCTCGTTAAATTCAAATGCCGTTGGGAACTGCACACGCGCATACATGCACATGTTCACGCGAATGAGACTCACATTGTTTACCAGAGAAGTAACTTTGACCGAGGTCCTGGAAAACAACCTTGGACCGTGCAAGACAATTGGATGAAGCATGGTCAACTGAAGACCGCCGGCGAACACAATGAGAGTTATTCTGAGGTTCCTAATTAAAGCCTCAGGAGGGCTCCACCACTGCTCCCTGTGGCTTTGGTCTGGCCAAGAGAATGGTGGAGGCTCAATATCGCCTCTGCTTCAGAACAGCGACGTATAGTTTAAAACGCACTTGCCATTCGCTTGAAGAATTAGTGAATGATCGTGAACCTAATATTTGTTATATATATATAAATCTCACACTGAACTCTAATCGTAAATATAAGAGGGCTGTTTTGTCTGGCGAATGTACCTGCTTCGTAAGCTGCCACACACAGTCGACAAACTGGAGAAATATCGGTGAGCGGTCCGAGTCGGCGTGATTCTTGTCTCCGTGCCCCACTCTCTGTACACAATCATTGGCAACAACACACCACAGGCACCCAAATGTTGCACGAAAGCATAAAAGTTGGATATTCAACACATTTCAATTCGAATGTTAGTTCAACAAAGCCAGGTCAAGCGTTTAATCGCAAAGACACTGCAGTGTAATATTGACGGGATGGGCTTTTTTATTTTATCTTGACCACTACCAAGAATAGAAAATAAACAACGAAAAACTGTCAGATTTGAATCTACAATTAGCCTTTTGTCAATCCACTGCTGGGCGATGGCCTCCCCACACAATGCCACTGTAGGTTCGTGAAGATTATTCGCCACGCACATGAGCTATCGCCAAGAATGACATTTAGGTCATTGGGTTCAGGTTACTACTGTTCCCACTGCTTTCCCGTACACATATTCACACATACAAATAAGAACACTTACCAAAATAGACATATATAGCTAGCCTTGCTTGCATGAAAGACGTGATTTAAACTTACATCTCTGAAAAAACTGCATTCAAGCGTCATAATTTGGGTAATGACCCAACGACGATCCATCATCATAGAATACCAATGCCAAATACGTTTGCGGACAATGCCTCCGCAGCAGCCGACGGCATTTTGCGAAGTAACATTTCCAAGTCCCCGTTTTTACCATATACACCGTGTGCAGAATCGTGGCCGTCACCTGTTGGAACTTGTGCCCCGAGCTGACCCACTCCTTCTCGACGAGCACCTCGAAGCCACGAAGCGTCCGGTAGTAGGGGTCGAGGAGGAGCATGGCAAGCGCAGAGAGCTGCGCCGTGCGGTCCCAGCCGTCCGAGCAGTGCACCAGCACCGACGTGCGCTCCAGCTCCAGCTTCTCCGCTATTTGGATGGCGCCCGACAGCACAGCCTGGTGGGAGGGGGCAGCGTTGTCGACATGGGTGAACCCACAGAGGCAAACAGCAGCTCTATGCTATGCCCTACAACAAGCGTGTGCACGTATGTATGTTGAACTTCTTTCGCACCGTACGTAGCCAATCGTGCTAATCGGATGGTGCGGGGGAAGGACAACAAAATAAACACAAAAAGCAGTTTTAAAGAAATTAGTTTTCAGCGGTGGCCAACCGACGTCTCCCGGGCCGCATGCGGCTCTTTAATCCACCACATGCGGCTCTATCGAACGGGCATAATGTAGAACGTACTATCACAGTAGCAAAGAATAATGAATTAAAATTGCACGATAAGTTGTACGATATAATATTACATGTACACTTGGCTCTTTGCAAAACTCACAGGTACTTTTTGGCTCTTAGTCCATTGCAGGTTGGCCACCCCTGTTCTTTGCAGACTTTTAAAAAGCGGGGGCATGCGACCGATGTACCTACGGTGTGGTTTTGACCGGCACGCGAGCGCCAGGGGTACACGATGACAATACAGCTGGCTGTTCGCCGTTCAGCAATGATTCATGTCACAAGCTCGCAGATATGGTATACGTGGCGTCACTCACGCTGACGTGACATTATGTTCGCTAGTTTTTCACGGGACCCACTTAGCATGGGGAGATTGAATGGATTCTCAAAGTGCCCTGTGCTTGAAAAGAATGAACACCCCTGGCTCCAATAATGCTTTAAAAAAACCATGAGATTTATTAAATTTGTACCAATATGTCTCTCAAACAACAGCTTAATATTAATTACAATGCACAAATGAGTGCATTTACAATATTAATCTAGAGTAGCTTATCAACGAGTTTTAACACTGAGGCAGCACTCTTTGGTTCTATTCGGTAAAGTCACGTAGGTAAAAAATTAAAACAAAATCACGACGTTTCGGCCAAAACACAAGTAGCTACTTTCGGCCAAAACACAAGTAGCTACTTGTGTAGTAGCACAAGTAGCTACTTGTGTTGTGGCCGAAACGTCGTGATTTTTGTTTTATTTTTTACCTACGTGACTTTACCGAATAGAACCAAAGAGTATGGATCCTTGCAGTCACGAAAGCTTCAAATCTAGAACTGAGGCAGCACTTGATGAACTTTGATGTTCTGATCACCTTTATGTGCTCGAGCCAATGTGTGGCCTCCAGACTGGAAAGCCAGCGCGACTCGGTGACGGTGGGGAACACCAGTTCCTTGAGCTTGCGCAGGCTCTCCCGCATCACGTGGATGTTGTGAATGTCCAGGAAGACAAACTCGGCAAATGGGTAGGCCTCTTCCGTCTCATACCCACCACCTTTTGCCTGCCGAAGAAAAGGGACACGTCGACCTTAATTCGATAATCAGTTGACTTCATGGGCACCTCTAAGAACAGCATAATCGGAAAAACTTGCACCCACTCAACAAAACTTCACTCGCAAAAATTATAAAGATAAAAGCTCCGCACACGAGCTCTGCCAATTCCCACCTTGTTGGCGATTGCATTGACACCTGGGCGCGCGTCATAGATGGCGAGTCGCCGCGATTGGCTCGCGTTCGCCATCATGATCAGCTGCAGGTAGCGCTCATCCTCACGGCTCCGCTTGCCGCTCACTCCCACCTGCGGCTGGCTGCAGCGCGTGAGCGAAGCCAGGTTCCTGGGGTGTAGCCACGACAGCACCTGCACAAGTCGGTCCCAGCGGGTAAATCGGGTCCACCACCGTTTGTTGGCAGAGCAAAAACGCGGCAGACGAGCAAAAGCGAAGCGAACACGACGGTGCGCACCTGTGTCCACTTAGGCCATGGGTGGGGAGCATTCCTTATGGGCGCTGAGGGCAGATACAGCCTGCGACCTTTAACCTCACGCGGCTCACGGTAACACGACCTCGTACCATCGTGCAACGACCAGGAAAAACAATGTTTACCTGTCACCGCGAACATCTTGGCAGCAACTAATTGTGAACTCGAGGGCAATATTTTCGACGTGGCAACATTTATTCCTGATGCTAGGAAAGAGGCCACTGCAGTGACGCAAGTGAATGGACGGGACATTTCACGTCGGATCACTCAAATTCTGAAAAATATTTTGTGACCCCCACCAATTTTGATCAAATGTGGCACAGTTGTGTTAAGGGACATGATGAATTTAAAATTTAAGCCACTGGCTCCAATTGCTTCCAAATGATTATTAATTGAAGATTTGACCTTTTTTGGGTTCCCGAGAGGTCAAGTCCAAAGTTACATATATTGTAACTACAGAGAAACAAAGACATCATTGGTTTGCTTTCTTTCAGTCCTTTCCAAACGATGTAAAGAAATACAAGTATTTCCATATATATTTAATGCTTATTTTGCAAGAAATTTGGTGACCTTGACCCAGACCACATAACCCAACTTGGATATAGAAAAAAACTGTGGGAATATAAGTTCCCTACCCTGGGCAACATAGCTAATAAAAAATCAAGCACAGCTCTTCATGGTCTCGAGATAACAGCCATGAATGCTTTAAACCACCAATTATTTAATAAGTATTATCATGAATTTGGCCGATATCTTCAATGAACTGTCATTTGGAAGCCGTTTAACCCTCTAACCCCTAATTTGTAATCGTTTCACGTCTACATGCTACCTACAAGGGTATCAAAATTTCATCAACATTGGAGGTTTTCAAATTTCAAGCCCGGTTGATTTGACGTAAAAATACATCGAGGTGCGTTTTAAACGTGGCCTGCCAAAGACATCTGAGAGTCCTATTTGGTCCTCAGGAATGCAAAAACTCCCCAGCCCTAACGCAGAAACATGAGCCGACAAAGAGCGGTATTTCTATAATTTGTAGATGTGTATCCACACTGCCACTTGACCTCACATTGCTTAAAATGTTAGAGACACCAGGTGGCGCTGCAACACAAGCTCCTCCTCTGTCGAAGTGATGGCACCGTGGCAGCAATGTTGATAGAAAAACAAATGACTGTACCAACAATACAAACTTACTGCGAGTATTGAGAAGATTTTGATAGGTTATACGGGCCAGTAACTCATAGAAAATATTCAGTTTGTGGACAAATCATATGCGGTACGGGTGTACATTTGCCCAATAGATTACACGCCTCTGTCAATCCAGTCAATCCACTGCTGGATGAACAGCCTCCCCCACACAAGGTCCGCCATGGAGGTTGTTTGATCATACTTCACAATGCTGAAAAGTGCGGCTCGATGAACAGAGGAGAGCCAGGACTGGTTCATATAATAACTCACCACTGCCGTTTTCTGTTGACGAGAATCAAATTCGGGTCTCCAGATTCACAACGAGGTGTAACGCTCACTGTCGCACCGCTACGCACACCCTCGTGCGTCCCATAGATATTAAGAGCAAAAGCCAATACACATTGTTTTCCTGTGGGCCCAGAGGCAATTGTTGATCATCTCAATGGTATTGCAATCAGTATTACAACTACCCCACCGCCACCCCCCCCAGCATCGCAGGCTTCCTGGGACTCACGGGCAGTCGTCCCCGTGAGCGGAAGGCCGCAGTGCGTCGCAGGTCGTCATCCGTCGCGTTGCGCGGCACCACAAGCACCGTCGGATAGGTGTCGCACAGCTCGTACGATTCATTCAGCTTCGATATTTTCCACGGTGGGTTGTCCATGCCCCGTACCTGGACACAGACAAAGGCAAAGATACCCCCCCCGTAGAGCCTTAACAGACTTTTGGGGCAAGTGCTGTTAGTGAGCATGAAGACCGGAACGGGGTGGGTAGTCAACACCGGCCACCTTTGTCTTCCTAGTGGCAACACATTTACACACTGCACCAGGTACTGATTTGAGGCTGAGTCGACATAGGGGAGGCCCAGGATCGGTTCAGATAATCGTGGTGATGGTGGCCGTGAGCGGCAATCGAACTCGGGTCGTCAGGTTCGTAGTGCAGCGCGCTAACCGCTGCACTACCGCTCTCCCAAAACCCGGACACGCGCACATTCTAAACATATCTCGTTATCAACCACGGCGTGCAGGGGCACGTACCCGCAAGTGCGCAAAACAGGACGCACCGTGCAAACCACTCCCTGTATTTTGACATCATTGCATGCAGTCATGAATAGGAATTTAATGATGAATTTAATCATTATAACATGCGTCAAAACATGCGTTCAAAATTATTTAAAATGTATGCAAATTATATGCACACTACACCTGAGCAGCATCCAAGGTCCACTGGACAGTGAAGTGGGGTGGCCTGATAATCATCATGATGTTATATTTGTGCTAATAGTGAACAAAACTGCGAAAATACAAATACAATTATAAAATGAAAAACATACTAAATTGCAAAGGTTTTTTTTATTGTATATTATAAACTGGTATTTTGCAAATGGTATACATGAACGCCAACTCATCATAAATCAACAAATATTTACTTGAAGCAACATCACAACTAGGAAAAAATATTTAAAAAAACTCACCTTATGTAATGAAGTAAACTTAAAGATGTGCCAAAACAATTCACATCAGTTTCCTATTTTCACAACTCTACATGAGGGAAGGGACAATCGACCCATTGAGCGTGTGTGTTTGTTCCTGATAGGCTGTGCGTGGTGTAAAGCCTTGTGCTTTCATGCTATATATTTTTTTACAGGAACTAAAAAACAAGATTCGGCTTGCAAAAATGCTGGCACTGTGCTCATACCTAAGGCAGTAGCTGTTTAAAAAGTAACTGCTGATTTGCCAAGCCAGCAAAAAAAACATAACATCAATACAAAAATGTACCGTAGTACATCTCAACAATTTTTACGCCAACATTTTAGAAATTGAGTCGATAGGCAGGTCGCGTGCAGTGGGGTCATTTTGTGAGTGCTCTCACGCCTCTACCAAGACGTCCAACCCCAACGGAAGAGGAGGCCAAACACCCTCTAGTTTGGGCCCTCTCTCAAGCTCCCTTTAGTGGAAACCTTTCCACCAGCAGTAGTACGAGCACGACATTTTCCTTCTTTGATATTAACTAGCATCAAACATAATTTTTTTGTCAAATGGCATCTCAAAACAGGAAGTATTTTTTTTAAAGAGGAAAAAAAAACCTTACGAAATAGTAGCGCCCCACATCCGCATTTCCTCAACATTGTTTTAAACGGAACAACTCTTTGGAAAAAAACTCAATAACAATGATAAGCATGAGGGCAAAATAAAACCCCACTGTTTGCTTCCTGGTGAACGCAAGGCTTTGGGTACTGCCTTACCAGTCGCTGATACTCCTTTTCGGGGTCATATATCTTCCAGCCATCCTCATGGAACCGCTCCTTGTAATCGAAAGCAAACAGCCGCTGGAACACACAAAGAGATACACAAGTAATACACACATCAGTAATTTGCACAATATTTAAAAACAGGTCAAATGCACCGAGAGCCTCATGTACAAATGTGTGCATAAATGTAACCAAAATAATATTACTTTTTTCAATGTAATTTTTTTTGCCAATGTAACATTATGACAGGGATGCTGCTCGGGTGTAGTGTCTAGCACACCGGACTTGCAAACCAGAAGACTTGCAAACTAGAGGTCGCCTGTTCAACCTACTGGCACAGAAGCTGATTACCAAAAGGCACGTTTCTTAAATCCTCCTGCAATCTCTCCACACAGCAGTATATATGTGAGCACGCGGTGAGATTCGGCGTGTCGTGGTGGTGGGGGGGGAAGCGTGGGCACTCCACCCACTTGCACGACACGTTTGGCCAGCGTGGAAAAACATGCCAAAAATCCCCTCCAGAAGAGGGGCTCTCCTCTTTAGAGCTTCCTCCAGTGGAGGGCCCGTTTACACCAGCAGTGGTCTCAACAGGAATTTGCAGGGCTGCAACTTTACCTTTCACCTATGATATGTTATGTTGACCGCCTCACATTAAAAACTTTTAATCTGAACAAACTGTGATCCCAATGTGGGACATTCCACAAAGGCATGAAAGGCAGCTAAGGCTTGTGACTGCAAATTGGGTACGGCCCAACATCTGCCTGTGTTGTTCCAGTTTGACGTTAACACAACGCAATGTTCCACAGCCCAACAAATGGTTGCAATACATTTACTTAAACCATACCCCGCTTGAATGTCCCGTGTGAAATGATAACTCCTACAGAAGCGTTAGCAGCTCAACAAAACAGAAGCGTTGTTGGCAGAAGTACAAAACAACTCCGGAAACAGAACAGGAATGATGCCTTTCACTATTTTACTTATTATTTCTGTTTTCCATAATAGAGGTTTTTTGGGTTAGATCGCGTATTGGTCGCAAAAGCCTACGTATTAAACTATTTCGGTTTTCTTGTTAAACAATAGCATCACGGTGTTCTTTACTTTACACATTGAAATTCAATAAATCAATGCATGGACCTAGTGAAAATTGCCACTATCTCTTGAAACCCATTAATGCGACTTATCAAGGTGCCATTCAGGTTTACAGCTGGCTTGCACTTAGGTTTATTTGATTTAACCAGGTAAGAACTCAAAGTCTCATTTACAAGAGTGCCCTGGATCACCACAATGCCTAAAACAAAACACAGCAATGAGGCAACTAAGAATCGGAGCAAATACAAACGGTCAGCTTTATCGTATCTATGTGCACACAAGCAGCACGTAGGGCACTTTTGCCCTATTCATTCAGCTTATTTATTCTTTAAGAGTCAGGTAGTAAAGTAAAAATACACAATCTTCTTTAAATAAAGACATCCCAATTTAGACTTGTGTAGGAACACTATGAAGAGACCAATCACACGCAATAAAACAGATCCAAACAGAGTACGGCAATAAAACATCAACAATAACGCACTCGAACCAAGAGACGCACTGCACAAGCCAGTGCGGATATGTCGAAATGCAGTGGTACGCACCATGCTATGCGAGAGGGGAAACGCGAACTTGACGAGCGTGTCAAACACCTTGCGGCGAGAGTGGCCTTCCTGCCTGTGTGCAAAGCGCAGGTTCCTCAGATCCTGTGGGTGAGGAAAGAAGGGCACGAGGTCAGGTTAAACGGTGAACAAAGGGGGCCCAAGCCAGCCATAAGGAGACGCCGCAATGAGTAATTCCTATGTATGCATTATGTTGACTTTCTTTCGCACAGCACGTAGCCCCCCAACCGTGCTAATCGGAGGTGCGGGGGAAGGACAATAAACTGAATACAAAAAGCAGTTATAAAGAAATTAGTTTAACAACAAACAAACAAAATCGTTACACAGGAGAGCCAGGAATTATCAAATCTCAAGAAGCAAGGTTTGAGCCTCGACAGTGCTTGGATGGACGACCGCCACGCATAAAAGGGGTGCTGTGGGCTACTGCGTAGCTGCATTGCCAGCAGAGGGCAGTGTGGCAAAATCATCGCTGTACTGAATTTGTATGCTCCCCACATCTGCGCTTCGCATCTTCACCAACTCACACTGACCAGCGCGGTGAAGTATGATCAGATAACCCCCAAAGTCCATGTGGCGTGGTGAGGCCCTAATCCAGAAGTAGATTGGCAGAAGAGCTGTAGATGTACACATGATCATTACTCGAGATTACTGCACTTAATATTAGGGTTTAGGTTTGGCAGGACACCACATTTCATCGCACTTAACTCCAAATTTTGATTATATTTTTATTATGGTTTTGTTTGTTACATCTGAAGTGGTATCAAATTTGCTCACAGGGATACTGAAAGAATGTTTTTTTGTTGGATGTGCAGCAAGTATACCGAGCCAAATACGAACACACAAATTTAACCGGAATGTCACAGCTCAATATTAAAGCCATGCTACGCCATTTGTGGGCGTAACGCAACCATTTCCACAATCGGGCCTTTACAAAATAAAGTCGGGAACACATTTTTCCTTTGCTAGGCACTGAAGCATGACTGTGCTTCACAAAGTAATGGGGCTGGGCGGCATCATTCATGCAACGAATTCATTCCAACAACATTCTTTCATCCCATGGACTTTATACTTGCCAGTTGGATGCACCTCCATGGCTACCTTCCAATACTGTACTTCAAGTCCTGCATCGTGGCTAGGTGCCCACGGGACACCCGCAAATGGGGTTGGAATGCAACCGCTGTTAGGGCGAGTAGTCAGGGCTCAGGTCGGGTCACGTGAACCCTTTGCTATTCTGAGACGTCTGCAAGTTGCAGGGTGGGACGTCCCATTTACCGCCGAAGATCGGAACGCGTAAGCGGCTCAGCGTTAATTGTACTGAGGAGTAATGCCGTTGCTTTTAAAGACACCGTACTCGCCGCAGAGAGCCGTAGTCACACGCCCGCACCCGATGATAGCCGGGGCCAAACTATGCCACACACGTCCCCGCACGGCCTTGTAGGAGCCTTGGTATCGATAATTATTTATTTTTCTTCTGGTTCCATCATCAGAACGAGAAAGAGTTATAATAGGGTTTTTCCCATTTTTTCTGGCAACAAAACTGAAACCTTTTTACAAGGATTCATGTCTGCATTAACCACAATACCTGCAGTCAAAATGCAAACAAAAAACATACTATGATAATATGATGCATTGTCCTTGAAACTGATTGGTCCACACCAAGGGACGGCTTTCCCTTGGTGTGGACCAATCAGTTTCAAGGACAATGCCAATATTATCATAGTATGTTTTTTGTTTGCATTTTGACCACAGGTATTGTTGTTAATGCAGACATGAATCCGTGTAAAAAGGTTTCAGTTTTGTTGCCAGAAAAAAGGGGAAAAACCCTATTATTACATTTTGGTACTGGCAAAGGAGGTCTAATGATGAGAAAGAGTTAATCGCATGTCACCTGCGAATGACAATCATGAGAAATTTCTCTAATTTTTTAATAGTCTACTAATGCGGTAAAACACATTGTAGAGTGGGGTTTAAATCATGTGGAGAACAAAAAGTATGATGGTAAATCAGATTTTGACAAAAAGAATTTGAAACCGGTATATTTTCATTTCAATTTTCACAAAAAAACAACTGTTTACACTCATTGCTACGTAACAGTCACTATGCAGTACATACTATTAGTATAATAAATAATGTGTCCCATGTGTGGTTAGATGTTTAAGCAATTCGTACTCAAGAGCAGAGGCCCTTTAGATTTAGTGGAAGTTAGTGCTTTAACACTGTTGGAATCAAATAGCATCCAAACAAACATAGATATTGAAACAAATGAGCGGATTCCGGTCAGGTTGAAGGTCGAATTTGGAACCACGTTAGCGAGATGTTAACTACCTCGCCTGGTATACAGGAGGTCATGGGTTCGATCCCGACCCTGACACCTGCTGTATATTTGGAGTTTGCATGTTCTCCCCGTGGTTGGCAATGATTTCTCCGGTTCTCTCTCCACATTTAGAAACATGCGTTTAAGAGTATTAGGCTGTAATACATTTCCACATGATAAGCCACTGTGCTGAGCTATCATTTGTGGCCAGGTCGCTTTTGAAAAAGAGCTATATAGCTCAGTGGGCCTTACCTGGTAAAATAAAAAGTAATAAAACTAAAGCAGGTGGGGGGTTAGATGACGGCGCTGAAACGAGTTACGGATTCGGGTGAGGTACTCGCAGGTCTAAGTTGGGCCAGGCCAGGTCAGGTCGGGTCACGGGACAAATATATATCCACAGATTAATGCCGAGACGAGCATTTGGTGTACCTTGCACGTGACCTCCAAGCGGTAGGCATCCTCTCCTCGACTCGAAGCCCCCCCGGCCTTCTCTATGCGGTTCACCACCCCCAGCGGAACATCCAGAGTGAATGGCAAGCCTTCCTCCTCCTGAATGCGTGTGTACGCGCACTCACGTCAACCCAGAATCACCTGGTTTTATCGACCGAAAACATTCATTCTGCCTAGCGGTGTGTATACATTGAAGCCATAAACGGCACGTGACGAGGGTGGGTGGCCGCACACTGCATATGGCAAGTGGCTGCCCATGGCATTTCCTGAAAACTTAAGTGGAAAATCGCACCCTGTTGATCCTATAAAAAAAACAACCTCTCAGTTCAGAACTCTTTCACATGAGAATTTCCTGCTGAAGGTATGGCCATTTTTGCCAAATATTAGCATAAGAATGCAGGCATATTTTATCCAGAGACTGCAATATGCATCGTCGATTTAGAATGGAAGTGTTTGAGATCTACAAGTTATGATAGACCCCTGAGATATGCGCAAAGAATGAGCTGCGTATGAGTTTCACATATACATATTCACAAGGTTGTTGTGTGCCGATCCATACATAAAAAACGTGCATTTAAAGTTTTACATCATTGACAAAACCTTTGACATCTTTGGCACGTTTCTATAAAAAAAAAATTAGGCCTCTATATATCACGACTGGTGACACCAATAAATTGAAAAAATTCTGATAAGAACAATGATTGCAATACAGTATGTAAATATCTGCTCAAACCAATGAACGGACCAATGCCAATGCCTTCATTGTGCTGTCATTTGTGTAACTGTAATTTTCTATTGATGTTTTCACAAAGCATAGTAATCTTAATCTCGCGTGAATTAACTTACTTCTAAAAGTATAGCGAAGCGTGGCCCTATATTTAAAGCAGATTTGATTAATTTTTCACCAGAAACCTGTTTGTGCACAGTCACGTAGGACGCTGCAGCGGCGAGATGTTAACTACCTCGCCTGGCATGCAGGAGGTCGTGGGTCCAATCCCGACCCTGACGCCTGCTGTATATTTGAGTTTGCATGTCTCTCTCTCTCTCTGTGGTCCAATGCATTTTTCCCCAGGCACTCCGGTTTTTCCCTCCACATCCAGAAACATGCGTTTTGAGTATTTGGCTGGGATACATTTCCACAAGATAAGCCACTTCATTAGTGGCCAGGTCGCTTCTGACAAAGAGCTATATAGCTCAGTGGGCCTTACTTGGTAATCAGGGGCGGAGCCAGGATTTTGATTTTGGGGGGGGCTGACTTCAATATTCTGAGATATCCAGTGTATGTTTTCCAATGGGTGCCACAAATGTATAAAACATTTTTATTGGATTTGAACGCGGAGTTTATTAATAGGTCGGAGCCGCTAATGTGGCTAGTAAGTTCGATGAGTTCAAAAGGCTGCCGCTCTAGCAGCCTGCAGGGCAGCACAAGGTGGCAGCCTGCAGGGCAGCACAAGGTGGCAGCCTGCAGGGCAGCACAAGGTGGCAGCCAGCATTTTGCAGCAGCCGGATATCCGGTTATCCCGATTACCGACTTTCCCAAAATTTCAGGGGGGGCTGAGCCCCCCCCCCCCGCCCCCGCTGTGGCCCCACCCCTGCCGGTAATATAAAAATAGTAGTAGTGCAAGTGTTATTTTACATAGACGTTAACGTACCTGGCCTTCGCATATATCTGCCCACACCTCAGTCCCCAGCGAGTCGGATACGCGACGCTGAAAATGTAGGCTTGCGCGTGTGCAGAAATGAGACGCTCTCTCTCACCCGCTCTTTACTCTGGAAGTAGAGCCTGTAGCTGGTGATGACGAGTGTCCCGCGCAGTTTGCCAGCGTAAGGACAGAGGTAGGTCACACCCGGCTCTGCCAAAAACGGTGCGTTGACGCGAGAAAACCAACGACGACACAATGACGGCAGTGCGGCGGCAGGAGCAATCACATAATGGCCATTAATTGAAATGCATAAAAAACAATGAACGTGGAAACGTCTTCCAACTTTTGAAAGAATGCTAACCATTTCAACAACAAAACCTGTCTTTCTTGTTCGAACAACGCGTGTTTTTGCCTCCCAAGGAAGTACAACGCCAGTGTGTGGTTAACTGCAAAGATGTACATTTCCAGTATGCAACATGTAACACATTCAGTCACCTTCAGCCTTTACAGATTCTCCAGGTAGCAGGGGCATGTCTTTGATGATAGAGCCCCAACTGCCGTCACAAAACGGCTGCGTACGTAAACACGCAACAAGCCGGCAACATGTTAATAATGATCCAATTGTCGCACAAACTGCACGCAACTTTTCATGTTAATCACGTAAAATCTTTCAAATGTTTTATTAGTAAATATACACATATATACACTCAAAATTATACACGGTGAAACAAATTTATATATTCGATTAACCTTAAGACAGTAAGAAACAAGGGTGCAAAAGCAGACAGAAGTACATTACTTGTAATTTCCTGTGCACACCACTTTTATAAACTACTACTATAAATCATTGGAGTAGGTTCATTTTTGTTGTATAACTATGACTTGAGGTTAACAGCAACAGCTTAGGGAAGGATTTAAGCGCATGCTTAAAATAAAACTGCAGTTTGACTTTGCGAAGCGGAAGCAAAAGTAAAGCAACAGAAGGCTGGTGGGAAAAATGAAAGGTACGAGGATAGATTTGACAAATCCCTGATTGTAAACCTGTATGTGAGTGGAGTGAGCGGTGAGTGTGGCTAGGCCCGGAGTCGCGATCGAATGCCAGCGGACGTGTCCCCGAGGAGGGGGTCTCATCTGGGACACCAGAAGCAGGGGAGCCACGGGGAAGGGTCAGAGGTCAAGGGAGTAAGGGTACATAATTAAAGCGGCAGGGGGGGATGAGCAAAAACAAACAGCTGACGTGGAGAATAAAAAGCAAGCCACTGTCCCAACCCTTATCATTAAGAAGTCTCCTTGATTGTTATTATTATTGTTCACCAAGGAACGCCTCACCGAGTCTCCAACTCATTTTTACGGAGGGTCCCGCAAAGTTTTGTTGCAAGGAGGTGGCGGCGATGTTGCCGTGTGCAATCTCAATCAAGTACATTTGAAGGAACAACGTTTAGCATTGCCATGTTTGGCCAATAGCGTTACACTGTATTTTTTTGTTAGCTATGGGAAGAAACAAAGCGAACCTCCGGAGGAAACCCATGCAGAACGAGGAAGCTCAACTCCACAAAGAAAAGGCACCCGAGTTGGGAATCGAACATAGGGCCCTTCTTTATATGAGGGACAAGGATAACCAATGCGCCATTCAGCCTCACTACATTTGATTTATGAATGGTGGGTTTATTAAGGCAGTACAAATTTTCTTGGTTATTACAATGTGCAACCCAATAACTTTAAAAAGACAAGCTGTGAGTCATAAACTCTTGAAGCAACTGGACTCATGTAACACAGACAGCCTTTTGTCGAGCCACTGCTGATTGGTGATGGTCATGGGATTATTTGACCCTACTTCACCACTGGTCAGCCTTCGCCAACCCACACTGTTTAATGTGAGTTGGTGACGGCGGGGTGCACTCCATTGTTGTACAGTACAACAATGGAGTTTGTGGCACAATCTGCTGTTGACAGAATAGCCGTCAGCCATTCAACCGCGATCCAGGTTCAACGCTGCTAAGCTTCCGAGATCTGACAAGATTGGGTGCATTCTGGGCAATTCGGTCATAGGTTAACACATATCACTCTCGAATAATTATAAAACCAGCCCGATGATTTTAATTATGATTTCAATCATTGGCAGAAATCATAATGAAGCAAGTTTCAAGCAAAAGCATAATAAAAATTACATTACGTACAAGTTAATGAAATGCGTAAACAGCGGTGGAAGTGGGGCCAAAATACCAACGCCATGTGGGCCAGCCCTGTCGGAATCATTCAAACTAATTCGGCAAACCTGAACATTAAAACCCTGCTTTCAGCCTGAACTTTGTTTGGCTCCAATTCCACCACGAAGTACATGTGAGCAAATAAAAAAATAACATTTCAACTTAAACGAAAAAAAGTACGTGGCACATTTGCCTGAGCAAATATTTGCGAAAGTGCAGACAAATCCAGGATTATATGGTGGAGTTTTCACAACAAAAAACACCTGAAAGCGCTGTTGAAAACTTCAAGCTCGTTTACATCCAAAAATATATAAACACACCATATGTTTCATGTCCGGTGTTGATAAGTCTTTGATATATATTCATAGACCCTATATATACTGTATCTGCATACTCGAAAACAGAACTGTCTGGAAACCAAACCTTTAAGTATGAAGACATTTATAAATGGCTCGCACGCATTTCAAGAGGAAACGCTTCTCAAACAAAACTTTTTGTTACGCGATTGTCAACAGCCATGGTCAATACACTTCTCTATGAAGGCCTCCCAAAATCACTGCCATCTCTAGCAATCATAAAAGTAACACCATCAAATGTATATGTTTGTACTATGAAGAAGAGACATTGTCCACAATGTCACCTATGTTATGTTTTACTTTAAACGGCAGTGTTACTGACGAACGTGTCGAGTTTTTTTTATCAAGTTATTAACACAGCTGATCTTCCAAAGGCCATGGGGGATTTTTATGTAGTTGCCGTGTGCCGAAAATAGCAAACACGGCCACACTGTATTCATTGACGTGCCCAAGCAGGTCGTGCAATACTCGGGGAACTTGAGGACTAGCCACAGACACCCAGGCAGTAACGTAACATTGCAGACGGCGCACGAATTGGGTTCCTGTGTAAAAATCCTAAAAACAAATGAAATAGAAATGTAGGTACAGTAATATGCATATAGAAAAAAAAATCTGAATTTAATAGATATAATTTCAGACTTGCAAAGTTTTTAAACAAATGAAGCATCATTACTAAATATATGGAGAAATAAAAGTTTGAAAATCTGATGCAATGTGCTACGCTTACTTTTTGGGGTGAATGAGGCTAAATTGTAAATATAAAATAAAAAAAATACGTTATCATAATTTCACATTTTAGTTAAAACATTTCAAAAGTTTATTCCATGACATAGTTGTATTCACAATTAAATATCTGTATTCTAAATTATTGCATCATTGACCATACGTTTGAACTGATGGTGAGAAATTAAAGGTTGTGCTCATAGACATCAGAGTAATACAGATTATAAAAGCAGCAATGATTCTTAGAGGACTATGGAATTAGTTGCATTTACAAATGATTTTAGTGGGAAAAGATTAATTATGATGCTTAACAAAGTTATTCACATGTTGACTTCTTGGAATCAGTACTCTACATCCAATAAACAAAATAACTCTTAAGAAAATATGTTATTCCTTAGTTGTCTGGAATGAGCTGCCAAAACATATTGCTCGCAGAGCTGGAAATGCTCACATCAAGCGCATTGAATGACAGTGAAAATGACATTATCTACAGTTTCCCAAGTCAGTTATGGTAAACTGTTATGGCAAAACATAAATTCAGTAAATTTTGATTTAAAGCTTTCATGACTGCAGGGATTCATATTGTTGGTTCTTTCGGTAAAGTCACGTAGAAGGGAAACAATAAAATAATGATTGCTTGTGTTGCAGTCGAAACGTCGCGAGAATTGTATTGTTTTATATTTTTATTATTTTATTGTTTCCCTTCTACGTGACTTTACCGAAAGAACCAAGAATATAAATTCAGTACTTGGGAAAACTGGTGAAACTAACGTTACGAATCAAAGTCAAATTGTCATTCTGACAGTGCTCAACAGATGGTACATGATACAGAGCGTTCAAAGATTTTAGATGGTTGCGGTTTTGTGACCCTGGCTGGCGACGCACTTACTTTGCCGTCTGATGAGTGGCTTTCTCCAGACCCGGAGGAGGCGCTGCCCCGATGTGGCCTCTCTGACTGGGTCGATGAAAAGGCACTCAAGCTACAGCAGGCAACAAGAGTTACACACGCAAACATGGATGCATACATGAATAACAGAACAAAGATAGCAGAAATCATTACCACGCTCTTTACAGATTCCGTTTCGGTATACTGACGCTGATGATATATTTCCACAAACTCACGATCATGTGCATCACTTTGTTAATCCACTGGTGGATGAGGGTCCCCTCGTGCTGGGCATGTCGTGGGAGCTATATGACCGCATTTCACCATGCTATATAGTGCGAGTTGGTGATGGCGTGGAGCAAACACGGGAGCAACGAACTAGAATACATTAGGCTTTGCTGCACTTACCCTCTGCTGCTCACCAGTCTACAACAACCTGCAATGCATATTGATCAACCAATCCAAGCAAAAGAGAGGCTCAATCTTACTGCCAAGATCTAACAGGTACATTGCAGGTAATTGTCAAAGGTATAGCTGATGGCATTCTATAAAACCACGAACACTATCACAAATTTGTCATCACCTTACACGGGTAACGTGGTATGTGTTATAAAAACAAAGCAATTATGTTATTTTAACACAGGTTAAAACCTATGTTGGATTGTTGTATTTTTAAATATAAAATAAATATTGCTCAACGAAGTCGGGTGCGTCATTATTGCCCGTATGTCGAACTTTTTTTTGCACCATACGTAGCCAATCTTTCGGGTCTTATGCCCACAGCAGTCTACTGTTCCTCAACTGGCTGGCAATGGAGCCAAGCAGAGATCCCAAAATAGACGCGTGGTGTGTGTGTGCTGTTTTGGCAAAGCGCTAATCATGAGTACTAATCTGAATAAGCTACCTCTTCATAAATCCTCACACAATCTTAATGCCACCAGCTGTTAAAAAATGTAAATGCTACCTGTTTGCACCAATGCATTTGTAGATGACAATCACATTTACATTTGAACACTTCTCAAATCTGTCATACATTTGGAATCAATATATGCCACCTATCACAAGTCTCAAATGCAGAAATACACCCACTTCCTTGAAAAAGCATGTAATGTGTCATTATCTCCATATATATAAAAAGCAAAGTTGTGATTATGTGTGTCTGTTCAAAATGTTTAGCGTACTTCCCGACATGCAACAAACTTTAAATTTGCCATGTGGGTACTTTCCAGACTATACACCATGCAAAAATGATAAAAATACACTTTTTGGGGGGGGAGCTCAATAATGCTTATATTTTTTGCACGGCAAGTGAGCTGTGACGTCAAATCTGTCATGTGACCCGTGCACGTGGAAGCGTAACGCATTGTTGTGTAGCGGTTAGTGCGCTGCGCTACGAACCCGGCGACCAGAGTGAATCCAAGTCCCGGGCGAAGCCGGGAAGTAAAGCTAGTCTAACATAGAAATAAAGACCGAAACCCCAACATACGCTTGTAAAACACTTTCAATTCAGTCTTCTAAACTTTGTTATTTGTAAAAAATGATTAGTTGCATATACTATTTAAATTAAATTTTTTCTCCGATAATTTCTAATTAAATTCAGCAGAGCATGTTCATAAAATGAATCTGAATTTCTATGTACATTTACAGCAGTTGACAGACAGCTAAATTTAACATGACAGGACATTCTAAATGCAGTGCACATCTTCTAAAACCACTGAGAAAACAAGTAGAAAAAAGCACTTTAATTCTACTGCCCAATACTCCATCTCAAGCTAGTCTAGTAAAAACACTAAGCCTAATCACTTAGACATTTTTGCTCAGTCAGGTGTGACATGACACAAAATTTTCCAGTCACATGTTTAAATGAACACTGTATCCAGTGTAGACACTCAAACTTTTCTGATTCTCGCTTGCTCCAAGACAGAGCACAATGCATTACAGTGCAGTAATGATTCACACAGGCCCTTTAGTTAAGACATCCTGACAAAATTCCTTAGTAAAGTATTAAGACATTCATTTAATGAATGCTTTTCAACCCCATTTGCAAAGTCCAAAGGGCACACACAAACACACGCCTCCTTTCTCGGCAGGGTATTATTGTGCTTGTAATATTTAACTGGGACCACTACACTATCCTCAAAGCAAGCATACCTTTTCCTAAGCGATTTTAGGTTTTCAATAACTGGCATGCCATTTCAAGATGCTCTTGTGTTTTCAGTAATCCTGCCACTCGCTCATTTTCCAATTCTCATGAAATCCTGTTTGGTTCAGCATGTTTCTGACATTTTATCAGTGTCATAACCCCAAACTGCGTTACATAATTACTGCGACAACAAGTTCATGTCAAGTAAAGATAGGTATTTATGTTGTCTACGCCGATGAAAACACGTGTGTGTGTGTGACATATACGCACGTTACAAATGCTGATTTTAATGGAATTGCGGAGCAGTGGTTCACAACATTGCACTCTAAACCTAGCAAAAACTTTGAGTCCTGGCATCATCGAAGTGACAAGTGGTACGGTATCTGAACTGGTCCTGGGGACTTCCCCCTCCGTTACACCAACACGCAAGAAACCAACACAGTGAAGTATGGTCAAACAAGCCCCGTGACCGATATGGCATGCGGAGACATTTATACACCAGTGGATTGAAAAAGGTTTGAAAATTATGGTAAGGATAAGAAAATATGCATTATTTTGTATGCCCAATGATTACATACCATACCAGAATATTAATACTACAGTGCAGTACAATAAGTATGCATCATCGTGAAGTGAAACATTTTCCTTGCAACGATGACATCAGTTTAAATGGCTCACCACCTTTTCGATCAGGTTACATCGTAATGCACAACCTTAATACTGTACAAAGCGCATTGCATGCCTATATAAAGCACTATTCTTGTACACAGTAAGCAAAATTATTCCTTTAAAACTGCTTTTGGTGCTTGGTTTGTTGTCCTTCCCCGGCACCTCCGAATGAAACGGTTGGCTACGTACGGTGCGAAAGAAGTTTAACATAGTTAATGCAAACAGTAAACGTTACATCCTGTATTAACTAACATACCTATATTCTTGGTTCTTTCGGTAAAGTCACGTAGAAGGGAAACAATAAAATATTTTTTTATAAAAAATATTATTTTTTATAAAAAAATATTTTATTGTTTCCCTTCTACGTGACTTTACCGAAAGAACCAAGAATATGAATATCCCTGCAGTCACGAAAGCTTTAAATCAAAATTTAACATACCTATGTTAAATTTAGGTGATGCTTACATACACGAGCACACGTCTTGATGCACGACTCATTTTTTTTTATTGCTGACCCATCTATTTATGTTTTGCCAAGGGAGATGTGTAAATACTTTCGTGAAATAGGGAAGGGATGGGGTTAAAGTTTACTTACGAAAGCACTGGCCAACTGAGTAAAAAAAAAGCATAACTGAAATGCTGCCTTGATTTGCCATGTAAAGCAAAATTAAGGGAAGCAATTAAGTTGTTTTATGCAACGGTGGAGTCGCTCTTACTCACTGCGGCATTGCACTACAAAGCGGACGTGCATGTACCTTCAGAACATTCCTCATGGGCGTGGTTTCGCATTTGTAATCCCGCAACAATCAGTCGTCTTTCTCATATTTCACAACCGCAATATAAATGGCAAGCTTTGGGGCACCTGAATTTAGAAGTCGTTCCGTGGTCTTCAGCATCGAGCATGGCATGATGTTACATCATGGGGCACCACTGTGGCGAGACGGTAACTACTTTAGATGATTATGCCGCATTTACAAGTGTATTTACACTTGTAAATCCGGCAAGTGCCTTATTTATACCTGATTCAACATGTCTAAAATTAGTTCAGAGCGGCGGCGGATGGGGGGGGGGGTGTGCTAAATATATCTGATATTTCGCTCATGACATACCAGCCTACTATATACTACTACTACCATACACACGCGTCACACAATCATCATCTCATATTATATCTTAAATTATAATGGAACAAGTGCCAGTTTGTGTCCTGTGCCGAGAATTTTTGTTAAAGCCCATTTTTGGTATCTCATAACATTTGTGAAACATTGATATTCAACGACATGTGGCTTTTGTAGATGTCTAAACGTCAGTAAAAATGTACATTAAAACAGGTGGTAAATATTACATTCGGTTTAAGATAAGTCAGATTGGCGACACACGTTTAGGACGTCTTTTAAGGTCACCGACTCGTCGATTTAAGACAAACTTCATAAACGACCCATCTTAGAACACGACTCAACACATCTGAACAGCGACCTTTTTCCGCTGTGAAACGGAGTTGAGAAAGTGAATTATTTTATTTTAAGTAAAGCCACTTTAGCAGAGGAACGAAAAGGTAGTACATAAACAGTTTAATTTTAGAAAAAAATTTTGTGTCAATAAAAATGTTATCTTCCGTACCGTCATAATGTACTTAACACTTAGCACTCTTGGCCTATGGGGAACTAGGGGCAATGTTTTCTAACATGTTATAGCATTAAGAATGGTCAATACGTTGTTTTTTAAATAAAGAAATACTCCTTAATGTTATTGTTCATTCATTTCTAACACGCGTCCACATTACCTATAGAAGATAACGTCCCGCAGAACCCGAAATATTCTCGTTTTTATAAAGAAGACCTTTGAACTACAGTAGCTGGCATCGTATTCTTAAGCAATTTCCGTACATTTATGTTCGCCATGCGTACTGAGGAGCCCTCTCATGAAGACGAGCATCTCGTGAAACGTCACATTTTGCGCAGGGCTATCTGATTAAGTAATCGATTACTCTACCGACTAAGAGATAACTTGACTTTGCTGTGAACAGGATGAATAAAAGGCGTCCTCCGCCTTCTATTCCCGCGTGTGCCGTTGAACCAGAGGTAATCATCTGGCCGTGGGAGATTCCTGCATCAGCCGCGATCCCGGGCGAGGCTTGCAGCAGGGTGGGGGGTGAGTTCCTGCCTCTCCGAGGCTGGACATGAGGGCAGCCGCTATTTTTAAAGGGTTCCGAATGATCTCCCACAGAAGAAGAAAAAAAAACAGCCCAACTTTCAGTGGCTTAACTTAAGGAGATGAACCGGTACCAGCTTCTCGTCTCAGTAGACAACACATCGGTGCGCCACCCCCCACCACCAAGTAGTTTTCACGAGTGTGCGTGAACACATCGCTCGCAACGAGTCACCCGTGGGTCGATCTCTCTCCCTCTCTCTGCCGTCAAAAGCCCACTCAGGGGGGTGGACGGCATCGCATCCACGCCCCGGGCTCCTCTGCCAAGACTCTGTGCGTGCATTCCGCCGCGCCCTCTCAAAGCCTTGCCAACATCGGACACCGTCACACACGCACGCCTCTACCCTCCCGCTCGTCGCCAACAACAACAACATCATCACTACCACCACGTTGAACCCACCCCGTCGCTTTGAAACCTCCCCTCCCCGTAGCGCCCACGGCTCACGCCGTCACCGCGCTGCGGGCTAGGGGCGCGACGGAGGCGGCCTGGGCTGCTAGTCGAGAGCGGTGCGCGACACCGCCGCTTAGGCCGCAAGGAGGAGGAGGAGGTGGTGGGTGGGTGGAGGGGGGAGAGGTGCCGAGTTTGAAGTCGTTCGAGAGAACGAATGCGACGATTAGCAACGACGACGACGACAACCGAACAAACAACCGACGACGACTAATCGACGAAAGTCGCAGGAGGCCGAAGCGAACGCGAGAAAACTTTGAGCAACAGGTGCGAGCCGCCCTCGACTGCGCGGGGGTTTTTACGCGGGGAGGAGGCGGAGGAGGAGACGGAACGACGGGCGGACCTGTGATGCGCGTTCTCCGCGGCGTCCGAATCCGAGCGGCTTCTCTTCTCCATGTCGGTGTCGCCGCGGCTCCTTGGCAATAACGGCGAATAAATAAAGGGACGAGGAGGAGGAGGTGGAGGAGGAGGACAGAGCGGCTCCTCCTCACCGCGGGTCGGCGGCGGCCATGCTGGTTCCGCGCGGTGACGTAATCGCCATGTGACGTCACGCGCGCGCGAGCGCCGCCACGTGGCCTGCGTGTGGAAACGCGGCCCGGAGTTGAAAAAGAATGAGAATATTATATCTTCTTTGTTTTTTTCGGTAAAGTCACATAGAATGAGAATAAAATAATAAATTGATAAAATAAAATAACACAATAAAATTCTCACGACGTTTCGGCCACAACACAAGCGGCCTTCATCAGACAGTCTCGTCCCTTCACCTGATGAAGGCCGCTTGTGTTGTGGCCGAAACGTCGTGAGAATTTTGTGTTATTTTATTTTATCAATTTATTATTTTATTCTCATTCTACGTGACTTTACCGAAAGAACCAAAGAAGATGAATTCTTGCAGTCACGAAAGCTTTAAATGGAGAATATTATATTCTAGATTTGAAGCTTTCGTGACTGCAATGATCCATACTCTTTGGTTCTATTCGGTAAAGTCACGTAGGTAAAAAATAAAACAACAAAAATCACGACGTTTCGGCCACAACACAAGTGGCCTTCTTCAGGTGAAAGGGACAGACCTGTTTATTGAAGCTCTGTCGTCCGATGAGCTATAAAGCTCCTTTTTCACAGGTGGTCCAGCAGAACGGTACAAAAATAAACGGAAAAACACGACAGGAGTGCACAGTACAGGAAAGGTAAACTAAACACTTAAAAAATATCCTAATAAAATGTAACTTTTTTATCTTACCAGGTAAAGCTCACTGAGCTATTAGCTTATTTTCCAGAAGCGACGTGGCCACAAATGATAGCTCAATGAAGTGGCTTATCACGTGGACATTTATAGCAAAAATATCATCTAAATAATCTAAACGTATGTTTCTAAATGCGACCACGGCGAAAACATCCCGAAGGATGTCCAGTATTCGACTCTCGCGTGTGATGGAAACTATCTCAGGAGCTAAATGCCGATGTCAAGGTCTGCTAGCCACAACGAAAGGGCTTCAGGAGATAATTCGTGTGGTATTGCAATTCCTCCGTCATCCAAACAGCACAGACTACAGTGGTTCATTATATGGCGACTGTGGTCATCCAGAACAGACCGTACAGCGTATGGCCGATCCACAAATACGAAAGAGACATCACAGCAATACACTCCGCTGCTCATGCTGCAGTTACCTGGCTTGACCACCTGAATGTGAGATTGGAGTTGTTGCTCTGCATCTACACATCAGGCATAAGAAATAAGAAGACGAAATGGTCCATAATGTGGGTTGCATGGCCACAATCGCACTCCTGTAATTTGCCTTTCATTTATTTTTTTCAGTGTCCCTCTCGATGTTCTGTGATTGATGGTTACATCAGTGTATTCGAGGGACTTCAGAGGCACAAAGTGCAATCTTTGAGTGCAGAATTAGTTATTTCTAGACTTACCAGCGGTATAAAGATGTTCCCAATTGTAAAATGTGGTGAAGGTACCTCCCTGCATTTGCTCACGCTAATGCTGGTAGTAGGGGCTCCACCAGAGAGGAGGATCTGGAGGCCCATCCAAAGAGTATTTGGTCTACTCTGCCACACTGTTCATTCTACAATTGGGAAATGCCCATGATATGCCATGGCTTGAGTCCAGGCCCACCCCTCGCTGTCATTTTATCTCTTACAAGTGTCCCAGATTGTTATGCATGGACTCATATCTTAACTCAAAAACAAAAAAGGAATTGGGAGATAGTTTAGAAACGTATTAAGATCATTCAAGACCAGGATGTCAACATGGCAAAAGCTATCGATGCCACGACACCTCACCGTTTTCCACTTCCTGACAGATACCACAGCGACTGCAAAGTGGACAGGCAACCTCTAGTATCAGGTCTTCCCCCTCTCTCACCTGATTCATGGAGACCACTCCAATGCCCGTCTCATCAATTGATCCTCACCTATGCTGCACACGTCCCACCCAGCGCAAACGTGTTTTGCTTTTTCCCCCGTAAGATCGGACGTGGTGAAACATCTCGGTTGCAGTTTTTTAGCCTGATATTTCATGTTCCTTGTTTCTTCTTGACACGATGAGTTCTTACTCTGCACAACAAACATAAATTAAGTGCTGTGAAGAAGCGTGGATATCTGGAAATGCACAAAGATGCATTATCAGAATCATACTATGTATTCTAGATTTGAAGCTTTCGTGACTGCAAGGATCCATACTCTTTGGTTCTATTCGGTAAAGTCACGTAGGTAAAAATAAAATAACAAAAAATCACGACGTTTCGGCCACAACACAAGTGGCCTTCATCAGGTGAAGGGACTGGACTGTCCAGAGGACAGCGTTGGAGTGAGGACAGCAAGCCCAGGTTGCGTCCTTTAAGCTGTGTGGGAGGAAACAAAAAAACGTCTTGACAAAGGAATTAGCATAAAATGATGTACTGGACCGGCACGGTGAGGGTGAGTTTACATAATGTTGGTGTGAAGGGAAATAAGCTGCTGTGAAAGTTTGGAATACCACTACTTGAATAAATATACTGTACCATTGAAAATTAGTTTAATGTTTGGTTTGATTTAGAACATCTTTCCAATGATTGCTTAATTTGAAACCATCCTCTCGGTTGAAATTGTGTCTGTGTTTGTAAATCTGAATTGCCTCGTGGACAAATCTCTGATAAAAACCCGTGGGTTTGCAGAGAACCTTGTTATCGGAGAAAACTATATCGTGATCACCCACAGCGTTGTAACAGTGATCAGCTACGGCAGAAGAATTCGTTCTGCCGTGTTTCAAATCTGATTTGTGCTCGCGAATTCGGTCAGAGACATGTCGTTTCGTCTCCCCGATATAGCAGTCACCACAGGTGCAGCTCAGTTTGTAAACCCCGGGGTACTGTAAGTCAGGAACGACATCCTTCACGGATGGGATCAGGTCACGGATTTTGTGTACTGTATTGAACCGGACCAGGATCTTGTGTTTGTTTAAAACTTTAAATACTATGTATGTGTGAACTTTTTTGTGCACCATAGGTAGCCAGCCGTGCTCGTCGGAGGCAAACAAAACATTAATATAACGATAGGCAAAGGAGATAATGCACCAGTGACGATGACGGCTTATCCACAGAGTTGAACAAATAAGATAAGTGTTTGTACAGGAGTGAGATAGATTGTGGCACTGCAGGACTGTGAAGGATTGGTTGATGATAACGATTAACAAATAACACCGTTTGTTGCCACAACAAAACGAGTAACAATCGCTGTATAGTTCTTGGTAGCCATTTATTTCAGAGTACGCATTTAAAATAGAAACATAACACGTATTAGTTAATTTGAAGTAAAACAAACTATTTAACTTATAATATTAATCGAAATATGAAAAGCTTTTACATGACAATCACACTTAATAAAGACCTGGATTAGCACTGTTAATACTATACTTCCCATTAAGATGGTGCAAGACAACAACCATGAAAAAATATTTCACTTCGTATAAAATGCCAAATGGATATGACCAAATCAACTGGAATGACCTCCATGCAATTTGATTTTGTCAGTGCTCAGATGGGCAACTGCCATGCATAAGACACGTGTTGTAGGCTGTTGTGGACAACATTGTCAGCATAAAATTTCCATTTAAAGCTTTCGTGACTGCAGGGGTTCATATTCTTGTTTTCTATCGGTAAAGTCACGTAGAAGGGAAATAAAATAATAATATTATTATTTCCCTTCTACGTGACTTTACCGAAATAACCAATAATATATTGTTAGCATAGGCAATTGCACCAAAACAAAAGTTTTATTGAGCTCTCGTCCACCACCTATGTTCCCTGAGCAATTACCAGCATGGCGATGGATAACCAAATAACCTTCAAATGCTTGGGCCTTCATCCGCACACATCTAAAACACTTTACTCCGCTCCATGCGTTTTTTCTTATTACGCATTTTAAATACCAAGTTATACCTCAATAACAAAAAAAATATCACTGCGAACTATCTCGTGCAGCAATGGATGTCCACTTCATGGTAAAACTATCGTTAAAATTGCATAGATGTCCAGCCCCAATCAAAGGTTTGTATGATGATTTCATTGGGGGTTGAAAAGACAATTCGAAATAAAATGCACCTTTAGATAAAACATTCCTGAGATCTTTTCACCACCTCAACGCAGTCACGTGATTCAGCAGGGCATTCACACAAGCAGATGACACTCTCAGTGTAAGTTAAGCACCATGTGAGTTTCGATTTAAAGCTTTCGTGACTGCAATGATTCATCTTCTTTGGTTCTTTCGGTAAAGTCACGTAGAATGAGAATAAAATAATAAATTGATAAAATAAAATAACACAATAATATTCTCACCACGTTTCGGCCACAACACAAGCGGCCTACCAGACAGTCTCGTCCCTTCACCTGATGAAGGCCGCTGGTGTTGTGGCCGAAACGTCGTGAGAATATTATTGTGTTATTTTATTTTATCAATTTATTATTTTATTCTCATTCTACGTGACTTTACCGAAAGAACCAAAGAAGCCCATGTGAGTTATCGCGGGGAAACAGCAACCGTGCAAAACAAATTCCATGTTAAATTGAGAAAGTCGCACTACCAAACGCGCATGTGTTACAACACCCAAAGCACAGCATGGAGCGTATGACGCTCGCTTTGAAAGATACAATTTGTATCTTTTGTTGCCAGAAAAATGGGGAAAAACCCTATTATTAAAACAATTTGTAGCTTCATCCAGGGGACTCACCTCACAGATCTGAGTCAACCCAAGCATACGTGTCAGAGGCCATCGAGGGCATTTTAGAAAACATCTTGAAAAATAAAGAAATTTAATCTGAAGACGTCCAGGGGCCCCAAGTGCAGAACGACTTATGCGATTTTAGAAATTGCCTTGCCTAACACTTGTCATAACTCCGATTCCATTAAAGGGAGTTGATTAAGCTGCAAAAGTTAGGAGAAAAACCAGGGGTGGTCAGGACTACTCCTATGTCAATTGTCAAAATAAACATCGTAAAATTCAATTATTAATATGAATATCATACATTCACAATAATAATTGCATTAATAACGATTATATTAAACATGAATTACATAATTATACTGGACTTACCTCAATCACAGACCTGCTGAAGTGTAGAGAAATGACATCATGATGGCCATGTTGCATGGGGTTCTCTTCTAGTCAGCCGATTGGTTAGCACAGTGGGTGTGATGACATCATCCCTAGCAACTGCTGCCATATCCTTAGATTTGTGACCTCACTCGGATTCAAATATTTGCCTACAACATTCACAGCTTGCCAGATTTTACAAAAAATGTCTGTACTTGGGCCCCTGGACTGAATGAAATGTATTGGTACGTGATCAATGGAACCAATATATTGGTGTGGAACAGGACTTATTTGAACGAAGCCTACATTAGAAACTCATGGCTGAACTATTATGGATGTAATACATTCATTGCTGGACCTCATAGATGTACATTTACAGCCCATCATTCATGGAATTGCCATTTAATGCATACAAAACACAAATTTAATCAAATGTAACATTAAAAACATGAAACTGTCATATGAGTAATAAGGCAAGTGAAATATACAATTGTGGTTACTCTATATGCCACGGCAAGACCTATTCCCTGCAGCTCAACACAACACAAAAATCCATAACTGGTTTGGCAAAAAATAACAAGTTCATGCCTGCAATTGTTGCGGTGAAAGCATTAGGGCAGTAATACTTAACAGGCGTTTTAATACAGAAAGACCACTTGTAATGCGAATAGCTGTGAAAAGCTACGTGCAAAATCAAACCAAAAATACAGCCTGGGTCACGGCAGAATTTTAATTACCCATGAAATATCTGGAGACGCGGAGAATGTCCTTGTACGCATATTTGTAGACCATCACCTTGCCGATTCCGATGGCAGCCAGCCCCACCAGTATCCACAGCATCAGCGCAGCCACACGCAGTGGAACCACCCTGCGTTAGGGCATGCGGTGGGCAGTGATGAGCAACAACACAACATTTTGGAATGGGCCAGCAGGTATAACTGGGCTGCTCCAGTGTAGCAAAGGGTAGTGTAGCCAAATACATTATTGCAATTCAAATGTACGCTCCCACATCTCTGCTCCCCCACCTCCACCGACCCTACACTGACCAGTGTGGTGAAGTACGGCCAGTAAACTAAATGAATCTAATTTTAAGCCTAGGGGCTCCAGTACAGCTGTATCCCATTAAAATTGAATAACAGCAACAATTGCGGCAAGTACTCGCTTAACGCGTGGTGTTCACACAACCGCGTTTTCGCTAAAACGCCGTGTGACGAAGGAGGGGGGGGGAATCGTCAAAAATCGCGTGACGTCATTTATGGACGGCCCCTAACGCGGGACTTTTTCGGATTTCATCTCCCGCATTAACCAAGGCCTTACTGTGTACCTAATGATGATGCCTCGCAAGTGGCGAGCGTGATGCGGTGCATGGAGTAGTCACCTCAGTTCAGCAGCCTCAGCATAGCCGTGGAAGTACTTGAATCGCGCTGCCAGGTATCCAAGCCCAATTACAAACGCTGGGACTGGGAAGAACAAGTGAAGACATGTACAATAAATAGAGGTAACCAACAGAAGTCACTCTGACACGTGACAAATACACACATATTGTGCATGTATCAGAACACACACTAAATCTTGTATGCCATGGAGTATCATAGCTCGTTTTTTCAAATGGGCGCGATGAAAGACATGATTCCTGTTTCACAGGAACCCTTATAAATGATTCACATGTGCTTGAATTACAATTAGTGTGTATTATGTGGAAAAAATTTTGGACCGTATATGGTCTTAGTGGACAGTTGCTTTTGGAGATTGCTGCATATGCAACTTGCACAAGGAATGCAACTGACATGTTTACAGGAGAATCTGACCTTGATGTTGGAATACACCGGCAGTCCACATGATCGTTAAAAACATTGGGTAGTATTCAAAGCTGTTGATTCTGGAAGAAGAAAAGTAAAGCGTGGTTATGAGTGTCAATGGTTTTATTAAAATTGGCTATGGCATTAATTGCCCAAAGAAAACATGCTGGTTGAGAAGTGTTTGCCATTGCTTGAAACTGAAACTTTTCAAATGAAAGGATATGTTTATTGCTTTTGACTCTGGGTGGAAAAATAACAACACAGGGGCTATTTTGTATAAAATTTGCCCAAGCAATAACACATGTAGCCCCATAAAGTTTAGCACTGGTTCAATATTTTGTTGTACAACTCCATTCTGTATTCACATATAAATAAACATATTTCTTAGTCCACCAAGCGATTGGGTATTATTGGTCTGGAAAGTCAAATGGATCATTTTTATTTATTTATTATATAAATACCAAGTACAGAGTTCTTCTTATGAAGGGTATTATTGTATCTATAATATTCAACAACAATAAATAATGTGTTTATAAGCAACATTTTACTCTTTGTAAGAATATTAGTGAACCTTAATACAAAAACAACTGTGACCAGAATGAATTAATTCCACCGATGACTACTTGTTCAGCTTTTACCGTGGGTTGTACTAATGTTAGGGCCACGGTGATGATCTGTAATCGGTCATTGCGGCTTTTACATCGATGACAAAATCCAAGTTCTTTACTTAAGGCCATTGCTGCCATCTATGGCTGCAGTTTATGCAGATACAAGTGACGACGCATGGTCAACCGTAGCTCACATCCCCGGGGAAACAACAAATGTTATTTCTACATGCGTGTGTTGTTTACCATTTGCAACACGGGATTACAATAGTATCGACTCACTGTGCCCTTGAGATTCGATCAAACTCGGGCGGTCCGTTCATGGCAGGAGGGCTGACTTTGTACTTGCGCCGGGCTTGGTAAACCTTACTGACGAAATATGCTGAGGAAGAATGAAAGGCAAGAGGTAGTCACGTATATAATATAATAATATCCAGCACATAGCCTTCGGCAAAAAAATATACAGTGTTTGGAGTTTGCATGTTACATTTAGAATCAACATTCGTTTAGATTATTTGGCGAACTATAAATGTTCACGTGATGATAAGTAACTTCGTTGTCAACCAGGTCGGGGTCGCTTGCAGGGTCGATTGCAACCCACGACATATACTGTTTAGTTATACTGGTAGGAACGAATTTGTAAACTGAGTGTACCAGCCTGCAATAGATTAATGTGTCCGTCCGTCCCCTTTCAATACTTTAACGAAGTGAAATCTCGTGCTGTTGGGTGTAATAAAATTGCGCAAAATTCCAATGTTCCTACCAGCCCACCCTGCAGGGACCTGTTTTCGGTAAAGTCACGACATATACTTCCCTCAAATCGAGACGACGACTGGATGTACCGTTTTTTTAACCGCAAAATTTTTATTTTTTCTCCCATTTCACACAGTACCACGTTTAATTGCACACGGAACCTTGTGCGCGCACGTGACCATTGTATGTATGCATGTTGAACTTCTTTCGCACCGTACGTAGCCAACCTTGCTAATCGGAAGTCCCGGATCATTAGATTATTACTTTTAGGTGTCCTAAAGAAAACCCTTACGCAAGCACTATTCGTTTGTAATGTCCGGGTGCATGAAGAGGCATTGTTTAAACAAGAAATTAAGTCGATAAAAATATATAGATTTGGTAAATGCATACTTGAAATAAGAGGTGAACATTGCTAATTTAAACGAGCGCATCTCGTGTTGCTTTAACTAAGTACACTATGAAAAACTGGGTACGGCGCTTTTAATGTACATCTCTCGTTAAACGGAGGTTGGGCAATTGATAAAATAACATATGAATGTTGTGGTCATGCAGTTCCACTGGGTGGAGGCTTCCCAAAAACTGTAGTCAAAATAATGTTGGTACGAAATGTAACACCAGTGATGGCTTTTTCCTCATACACAACATTGGAGAGTAAGATCTGGAGCTGAAGCAATGATTGTCAAAGCAGAATATCTCTTACTCATTGTGCCTGGCGTTTGGAATGTTTATAAAGCTGAATAATAATAACATGTGGGGCCCACTTCCTGGGTTTTTTGCAATGCCCTCTAGGCGTGTTCACGTGACGGAAATGTGGTCAAGTTTGGTGTAAAGCGGTAGAGTTTTACTCCACTGGCCACAGCGGCACTGGATTTCGACATCAAGCGTCTTATCGGCAGAATTCGGCTTGCTAGAATCAATGCTGGTGAATTGGCAAATTCACTCATATTACTAATTTCCAGATGCTATAGATGTCACCTTTGTTCGACGCAAGCTTATGTACATTAATCAAAATAATCTCAAGCGTTGTTGTGAAGAATATAAATATATGTAAAACAAGGTAGATTAACAGACAATATGCCTCTATATATGTCTCTCCCCCACATTAAAATATAAATAATTTCTTACGCTGCTTATACTTCTTACACTTTGCCTATACTTAATGCCACTGTAATAATGTACCTGTACTCCCAGAACGCCGATGGGATGTGTAAGAAACTTATATTTTTTATATACTATACGGAGAGACAGATTTACGAGACGTATCGTCTGCCTACCTGTGTTGGTATATGGTAACAGTATATTCAATCAATGTGGAAGCGCCACGTGGTTTGGTTTTGCATCGCGAGACCGATAAGGGGTTTTGTGACGACTCGGGGTGCCTTCATCCAGCAGTAGACAAATAATTGGTGATGAGGACATCTACAGTACAAATTAACCTCTAAAAGCACTTTAGATTTGCTCAATCCTTTATTTAATTACCCCTTAGGGGCCGTCCATAAATGACGTCACGCGATTTCGGACGATTTTTGACGCCCGCCCCCCCCCCCATTCGTCACACAGCGTCACAAAGTCGGACCCCCCCTCAAATATGACGTCACAAAGCTCTGCCCCCCCCCCCCAAAATAGAAAATATGCTTCAAATCGCTTTAAACTATTGTCATTGTAGTGCGTATTTAATGTGCCGCTGCACTCTGATGTTGTAGGAGAAAACATTTATTATAAAGTATATTTAATTAAGTAGAACGTGTTGTCTATATTTATTTAAAGTTGCGCATTTTGATGTGACGTCACATTTCTCAAACCCCCCCATCGTCACAAATGTCTGACCCCCCCCCCCCCCCCAGGGTGCGTGACGTCATTTATGGACGGCCCCTTACTACGCTCCACTTCATCATTGTGATCTTTACTTGAAGACCTGTTATCACCTTCGGTCAACTCGCTAGGGAGATTCATTGGGATAGGTTCATCTGTAAATGTATCCACTCATAACTTCAGTCCCTTACATATCCACAATGTTTATGCAAAAACAAAAACCTCTAAATTAGATGCCCCACAACACTACAGGGCACTGTGCCAAGAATGAAAAAAACCCCTCACATTGTTATCATTCTGTTAATCTCCAATTCCATCACTTCCGGTGCCTTTGCTTACCCTCACAAATAAATCACAGTTAAATGCTAGACTGTCGATTATTTATAACTTAACTTGCATCTGACATACTGTTTACCTATTTGTACAAGGCAACCAATGTCTGCTGCTGGAAAAAGCCGTCCCTTGGTGTGTACCAATCAGTTTGAAGGACAATGCATCATATATTATCATAGTATTTTTTTATTTAAAGCTTTCGTGACTGCAAGGATTCATCTTCTTGGTTCTTTCGGTAAAGTCACGTAGAATTGAAATAAAATAATAAAAATAAAACATAATACAATATAAATTTCATTTTATTGTTTTATTCTTATTATTTTATTTCAATTCTACGTGACTTTACCGAAAGAACCAAGAAGAGTATGTTTTTTGTTTGCATTTTGACTGCAGGTATTGTGGTTAATGCAGACATGAATCCTTGTAAAAAGGTTTCAGTTTTGTTGCCAGAAAAAAAAGGGGAAAAACAATATTATTAAGACTCAATCTCTCGCCTGGCTCATGAAATCGACTTGAACCTTGACGATATAACATGACCATATACGCGCAACGAGTACCGTGAGTTAACGATACAATACCTTGCTCCAACACGGAGAGAAGCGTTGCAAGACCGAGCAGAACAATGTCGGAGAGCATGATGTCCACACTCAAAGAGGCTGACGCTGCGACCGTCGGTTCAATTCGCTGACTTTGGGGTGGTCCCTTGGCTCTTGAAACGAGCAACTGCTGCTGATGATCTCTGCGACTGCTACTGCGACTGCTGCTGCTGATCTCTGCGACTTCTGACTTTCTGCGGCTTCTGCTTTTACTGCACAGGACCAAATCTGGAGCAACGAGTTCGTGGTGCCTGCGGTGACACTGGCAGTGCGGTCAAGCCGTGAACAAGAATGTGGTGGGGGGAGGGGGGGGTAAGAAGGATGATGCAAGTACGCTTCAGTGGACACACATTGAGATAACACGGGGCGGGGGGGGTCGGAAACGTTACAGGAGTGCCAGTGACACATTTCTAACTCATCAACAACCGCAAATTGTGATACTGCGTTGTTGGCAATGGTAGCGACAACAAAAAGCGCAAATGACCAACACGGATATATGCATTGAGAAATGAAGGTGGCATGGTCAATGACGGATGGATTACTGGCATTGTACATTCTGCAGCAATGCAAAGCTATACAGCACGGTGAACGTGATGTGGCAATTAAAATCAGCCCTTTGACCAAATCACCCGGGATGGAACCCGATTTAGATGATATATCGAAAGCTAAGCAGGCATGACCCTGGATAGTGTTTGGATGGGCGAACAGCAACACACGATGTAGTGACAACAGGGTCGTAGAGGGTTGTGCACGTACATCACCAGTTCATTGTGGAGTGATTATCTCCAGAATGGCGTGTGCATGGGTGGCACATTGTTCACCACCAGTACGTGTGGTTAATGCAGACAGGATTCCTTGCAAAAAATGTTTCTATTTGGCGTTTGAACATCTTAACACCTCCCGTTTCATTGCCAGAAAGGGTAAAACCTTTTACAAGAAATCGTGTCTGCATTAACCACAATACTTGTGGTCAGAATGTAAACAAAAAAAAACACTAATATATGCAAGGTTTCAGTTTGGTGTTTTAACATCTAAACACAGCTGTTTTGTTGCCAGAAAAAAGGGGAAAACCTATTGTCATATTTTGGTACTGTCAAAGGAGGTCCCACGATGTAAAACCAATTCCTATTTTTCATACTTTGATAATGGCAAAAAAGTCCCATTTTGTAGCTGCTCACCACGAGCTATAAATGGCCTGATATTGTCTTTGTGCTGTTCACTTCTTGTCGTTGTGCTCTGGTCTGACTTGGCTATCAAGAAGGCTGCTGTCCCTGGTGCAGAACCAATCGGTTTCAAAGACAATGCTCCATGTAATCTTTGGTTCTTTCGGTAAAGTCACGTAGGTATAAAATAAAAAACATGCTTTCCCACCTGATGATGGACGCGTGTGTTGCGCCCGAAACGTCGTGATTTATTTTATTTTTCTACCTACCGTGACTTTACAGATAGGACCAAAGAGTATGGATTCCTGCAGTCACGAAAGCTTCAAATAAAAATGCTTCATATATTCATTATTATCAGAGCAAGTTTTGTTTGCATGTTCAACCACCACAAGTACGCGCGGTGAACACGCGAACTTGATTACTCGCGAAAGCTTTCCATCTGGTGCTTGAACATCTTAAACACCTCCTGTTTCACTGCCAGAACGGGTTAAAACGCACACATTTATGGTTGTTATTGTTTGACGTGCATCCCACTGGGATTTTTGCACACAGCGTTGATATAATTGTGCTTTTTTTAGGAAGACTGTGCTGTTTTTTTCCTGGATTTTTCTGTTGCGCGAAGTCACTTTAAGATGTTTTTTGTTTGTTGCGGTTGCACCCGATTCAAGAGCCGCATGGCTCACAGGGCTATACCAAATACATGAAACTGAACTGAACATTATTATGATGTTTCTTCTTCTCCAGACACGACTCTGAGTCTACTGCTGGGTTGTTGTTGTTGTTGCTGGGGTTGTTGTTGTTGTTGCTGGGGTTGTTGTTGTTGTTGCTGGGGTTGTTGTTGCTGGGGTTGTTGTTGTTGCTGGGGTTGTTGTTGCTGGGGTTGTTGTTGCTGGGGTTGTTGTTGCTGCTGGGGTTGTTGTTGTTGCTGGGGTTGTTGTTGTTGCTGGGGTTGTTGTTGTTGCTGCTGGGGTTGTTGTTGCTGCTGCCGGGGTTGTTGTTGTTGCTGGGGTTGTTGTTGTTGCTGGGGTTGTTGTTGTTGTTGCTGGGGTTGTTGTTGTTGCTGGGGTTGTTGTTGTTGCTGCTGGGTTGTTCTTGTTGCTGGGGTTGTTGTTGCTGGGGTTGTTGTTGTTGCTGCTGGGGTTGTTGTTGTTGTTGCTGGGGTTGTTGTTGTTGCTGCTGCTGGGGTTGTTGTTGTTGCTGCTGGGGTTGTTGTTGTTGCTGCTGGGTTGTAGTTGTTGCTGGGGTTGTTGTTGCTGGGGTTGTTGTTGTTGCTGCTGGGTTGTTGTTGTTGCTGGGGTTGTTGTTGCTGCTGGGGTTGTTGTTGCTGCTGGGTTGTTGTTGTTGCTGGGGTTGTTGTTGCTGCTGGGGTTGTTGTTGTTGCTGGGTTGTTGTTGTTGCTGCTGGGGTTGTTGCTGGGGTTGTTGTTGTTGCTGCTGGGGTTGTTGTTGCTGGGGTTGTTGTTGCTGGGGTTGTTGTTGTTGCTGGGGTTGTTGTTGTTGCTGGGGTTGTTGCTGCTGGGGTTGTTGTTGTTGCTGGGGTTGTTGTTGCTGGGGTTGTTGTTGTTGCTGCTGGGGTTGTTGTTGTTGTTGGGTTGTTGTTGTTGCTGCTGGGGTTGTTGTTGTTGCTGCTGGGGTTGTTGTTGTTGCTGGGGTTGTTGTTGTTGCTGCTGGGGTTGTTGTTGTTGTTGCTGGGGTTGTTGTTGTTGCTGCTGGGGTTGTTGTTGCTGGGTTGTTGTTGCTGCTGGGGTTGTTGTTGCTGGGTTGTTGTTGCTGGGGTTGTTGTTGTTGTTGTTGCGGGACAAGCTCGGCAGAGGGCGCCTCTGTGTTTCGTCCACAAAACTCTTACGAGAGTCAACTCCGAGCCACCATCGTTTGTCGGGCACCAGTTGTGAGTTCGCCAGTTTGTTGACAACAGAAAGACAAAGTGACGTTCGTTGTTCTCATTCACATTCATCGCCTCCACTGTGTTGTGGGTGGGGGGGTAGACGCGGCTCAACGGCGGTGCGGAGGGCGTTAACATCTCTCTACAACATCTCTCTACAAACATCTCTACATCTCTCTATATCTCTCTACAACATCTCTCTACAACATCTCTCTACAAACATCTCTCTACAACATCTCTCTACAACATCTCTCTACAACATCTCTCTACAAACATCTCTCTACAACATCTCTCTACAACATCTCTACAAACATCTCTCTACAACATCTCTACAGACATCTCTCTACAAACATCTCTTTACAACATCTCTCTACAACATCTCTCTACATACATCTCTACATCTCTCTATATCTCTCTACAAACATCTCTCTACAACATCTCTCTACAAACATCTCTCTACAACATCTCTCTACATACATCTCTACAACATCTCTCTACAACATCTCTCTACATCTCTCTACAAACATCTCTGTACAACATCTCTACAAACATCTCTCTACAAACATCTCTGCAAACATCTCTACAACATCTCTCTACAACATCTCTACACACATCTCTCTACAACATCTCTCTACAAAATCTCTCTACAAACATCTCTCTATAAACATCTTTCTACAACATCTCTACAAACATCTCTCTACAACATCTATCTACATCTCTACAAACATCTCTCTACAACATCTCTCTACATCCATCTCTCTACAAACATCTCTACACATCTCTCTACAAACATCTCTCTACAAACATCTCTCTATAAACATATTTCTACAAACATCTCTACACAACATCTCTCTACAAACATCTCTCTATAAACATATCTCTACAAACATCTCTCTACAACATTTCTACAACATCTCTCTACAACCATCTCTACATCTCTCTACAACATCTCTACAAACATCTCTCTACAACATCTCTCTACATCTCTACAACATCTCTCTACAACATCTCTACAAACATATCTCTACAACATATCTCTACAACATCTCTACATCTCTACAACACCTCTCTACAACATCTCTACAAACATCTCTCTACAACATCTCTCTACAAACATCTCTCTACAACATCTCTACATACATCTCTCTACAACATCTCTACAACACCTGTCTACAACATCTCTACAACACCTCTCTACAACATATCTCTACAGACATCTCTACATCTCTACAACATCTCTCTACAACATCTCTCTACAAACATCTCTACATCTCTCTACAACATCTCTCTACAACATCTCTCAACATCTCTACACACATCTCTCTACAACATCTCTACAAACATCTCTACATCTCTCTACAACATCTCTCTACAAACATCTCTCTACATCTCTACACACATCTCTACATCTCTCTACAACATCTCTCTACAACATCTCTCTACAACATCTCTCTACAACATCTCTCTACACAACATCTCTACAACATCTCTCTACAAACATCTCTCTACATCTCTACAACATCTCTCTACAACATCTCTACAAACATATCTCTACAACATATCTCTACAACATCTCTACATCTCTACAACACCTCTCTACAACATCTCTACAAACATCTCTCTACAACATCTCTCTACAAACATCTCTCTACAACATCTCTCTACAAACATCTCTACATCTCTCGACAACATCTCTCAACATCTCTACACACATCTCTCTACAACATCTCTCTACAAACATCTCTACAACATCTCTCTACATCTCTACAACATCTCTCTACAAACATCTCTCTACATCTCTACACACATCTCTCTACAACATCTCTACAACATCTCTACAACATCTCTCTACACAACATCTCTACAACATCTCTCTACAAACATCTCTCTACACAACATCTCTACATCTCTCTACAACATCTCTCTACACAACATCTCTCTACAAACATCTCTCTACAACATCTCTCTACAACACCTCTCTACAACATCTCTCTACATCTCTACAAACATCTCTCTACAAACATCTCTCTACAACATCTCTCTACATCTCTACAACATATCTCTACAACATCTCTCTACAACATCTCTCTACAACATCTCTCTATATCTCTACATCTCTCTACAACATCTCTCTACACAACATCTCTCTACAACATCTCTACATCTCTACAACATCTCTCTACAAAAATCTCTCTACAACATCTCTCTACATCTCTACACATCTCTCTATATGTCTACATCTCTACACATCTCTCTACAACATCTCTCTACCAAGCTTCACTCCCTCCTCCTCCTCTTGTGTCGCCCTTCCTCCATTTGCTCTTCCTGCTGCCTGCCGGCCCCTTTCACTCCCTCCTGGTTGCGGACTTTTGTTGAAGGATTCCGCCACGGGCAAAACTCTCCCCACCACCCACCCATCCACCCATCCACCACCCACCACGAGAAAGTTAAGAGAGCGGCCTGGGGGAGGTGAGAAGGGAAAAGTCGCAGAAGGGTAACGCGATAATGGACAGCGACGAAGACGGCGTGGAAGAGACCGTGATGGGTAGGAGACACGTGGACAAGTTGCTGCTCAACGTCGTCGTCGTCGTGACGAGAGTTGTTGTTTGTTACAAGAGTTGTGTTACTGCTGCCTTGTGCGTTGTGTAGTGTGTGGTGTGTAGTGTGTGTGGGGGTGGTGTGTGTTGTGTGTGGTGTGTGTGTGGGTGTTGTGTGGTGTGGGTGTTGTGTGGTGTGGGTGTTGTGTGGTGTGGGTGTTGTGTGGTGTGGGTGTTGTGTGGTGTGTGCTGTGTGTGGGTGTTGTGTATGTGTGTTGTGTGGGTGTTGTGTGGTGTGTGTGCTGTGTGTGGTGTGTTGTGTGTGTGGGTGGTGTGTGTGTTGTGTGTGGGGGTGGTGTGTGTGTTGTGTGTGGGGGTGGTGTGTGTGTTGTGTGTGGGGGTGGTGTGTGTGCTGTGTGTGTGTGGTGTATGTTGTGTGGGTGTTGTGTGTGTGTGGTGTGTGGTTGTGTGGGTGTTGTGTGTGTGTGTGGTGTGTGTTTGTGTGTGTGGGGTGGTGTGTGTGTTGTGTGTGTGTGGTGTATGTTGTGTGGGTGTTGTGTGTGGTTGTGTGGGTGTTGTGTGTGGTGTGTGTTTGTGTGTGTGGTGTGTGTGGGGTGGTGTGTGTGTGGTGTATGTTGTGTGTGTTGTGTGTGTGGTGTATGTTGTGTGTGTGGTGTATGTTGTGTGTGTGTATGTTGTGTGTTGTGTGTGCGGTTTTTGGTGGGCTTCTCTGGGCGCATGGGGCAGCCGTTCGTACGTCTGTGGCTGTTGTTGCTCATAGCTGCGACTCGCTAACAGCACTTGCCCCAACAGTCTGTTAAGGCTATACGGGGGATCTTTGTTGTTCCTCCACCAGTGGCTGTTGTTGTTGTTCCTCCACCAGTGGCTGTTGTTGTTGTTCCTCCACCAGTGGCTGTTGTCCACCAGTGGTTGTTGTTTGTCTGGCTGTGGCTGTTGTTTGTGAAGCCCTCCACGTCCGTGGCGATGTTGGACTCCACGTGGTTGCCGATCCCTCTTTGTTGGCCGTGACTTGTTGTGTCTGTAAGTGACTTGTTGTGTCTGTAAGTGACTTGTTGTGTCTGTAAGTGACTTGTTGTGTCTGTCAGTGACTTGTTGTGTCTAAGTGACTTGTTGTGTCTGTAAGTGACTTGTGTCTAAGTGACTTGTTGTGTCTGTAAGTGACTTGTTGTGTCTGTAAGTGACTTGTTGTGTCTGTCAGTGACTTGTTGTGTCTAAGTGACTTGTGTCTGTAAGTGACTTGTGTCTAAGTGACTTGTTGTGTCTGTCAGTGACTTGGTGTGTCTGTAAGTGACTTGTTGTGTCTGTCAGTGACTTGTTGTGTCTGTCAGTGACTTGTTGTGTCTGTCAGTGACTTGGTGTGTCTGTCAGTGACTTGGTGTGTCTGTAAGTGACTTGTTGTGTCTGTCAGTGACTTGTTGTGTCTGTCAGTGACTTGGTGTGTCTGTCAGTGACTTGTGTCTAAGTGACTTGTTGTGTCTGTCAGTGACTTGGTGTGTCTAAGTGACTTGTTGTGTCTGTCAGTGACTTGGTGTGTCAGTGACTTGTGTCTGTCAGTGACTTGTGTCTAAGTGACTTGTTGTGTCTGTAAGTGACTTGTTGTGTCTGTAAGTGACTTGTTGTGTCTGTCAGTGACTTGGTGTGTCTGTCAGTGACTTGGTGTGTCTAAGTGACTTGTTGTGTCTGTCAGTGACTTGTTGTGTCTAAGTGACTTGTTGTGTCTGTCAGTGACTTGGTGTGTCTAAGTGACTTGTGTCTGTCAGTGACTTGTTGTGTCTGTCAGTGACTTGTTGTGTCTGTCAGTGACTTGTTGTGTCTGTCAGTGACTTGTTGTGTCTAAGTGACTTGTGTCTGTCAGTGACTTGTTGTGTCTGTCAGTGACTTGTTGTGTCTGTCAGTGACTTGTTGTGTCTGTCAGTGACTTGTTGTGTCTATCAGTGGTAAAACACAAGCAGCATAGTCGTAAAATGTTGTGTTGTCGCACAGGGTAACGAATATTCGTGTTCTCCCATCATTTTTGATACCGGCAAAGATAGTAAAATGTAGTAGGGTGAGTTGTCGAGCCCCTGGGTATATCTCAGTCTAACAAGTCACGACGTTGGTTTGCTTCTATTCACCGTAATTTCCGAGCTGTTGGTTGTCTCTTTAATTCCCAATGAGCGTGGAGTTTGGTGGGAATTTATTTTTAGTTTTCGCATGGTGGTTGATGGTGGTGGTGCTGGTGCTATAACATTTCACGGCTGTCTGCCACCCTCGGCCACCCTCGGCATCCGCTCTGCAACTTGTGGAACAGCCACAGATGTTTCCTGCTGTGTTTCAAAACTCTTTGCTAGTTACTGAGTGGCACATCCTGAAGGTGGTTTTTGTCACGGGTTGGGGGGGGAGTGGTTGCTGTGGGGTAATTGGTTGTGACGCATTTTGAAACGCAATAAGAAAGGCCCACTTAGCTATACTCTATAGCTATCTTATTTTCAGAAGCGGACCTGGCCACAAATGATAGCCAAATTAAGTGGGTTATCATATGGAAATGTGTAACAGTAAAATACTCAAACGCATATTGCTTATGTTGTCTCAGTTGCAGAAACGATCAAGGATTAATAATATTAAACGTGTTCAAGCAAATAGAAAGTCCACCGCCGGACTAACTCATTTGAAGGCCAATGTCGACAAATGAGTATCGAGGCTTCAGCCCCCCAATTCCTATGCGTACATTGTCAATAGACCCCCCCCCATACGCAAGCGTACACATTTGGGTTAACCCCCCCCCTACCCCCTCCATGCGTACGTACTAAATAGATGGCCCCTTAGCACAGAAGAAAATCTAACCAAGACACGTTTTCTAAATAGCCTCCTCTAATTTGGGCAACGGTGCTGCGTGTTGATCAGGTGATGATGACGCTGCTCTTCTGCATCAACTCTGCAGTGTTGTGGTGTAGTCTAAGGCGGGATTGCCCCCATCGCCTCCCCTACCCCGAATTAGCCACTGACTCAGAGGCCACAGTCTGGTCACATGGTGGCAAGAACAATGAATTGGTTTCATGTCAGTTTATAAAATCAAAAGTCAACGAATTTTTTTTAACTTAAGCATTATACTGATTTATTTGACAACTAGAAGAAGTACCATTGATGTCCTCGGTCTTCGTGTCCAGGCATCGTCTTGATCAGTTGGTAGACAACATCTCTCAATGCATTAATATCTTTCTCAACTACTCTGTCTCTCCATCATCCAAAGTTTTGTTCTAACCATTTCCAAAGGCCTCCACGACACCTCATTTCCACCTCATCCTTCATTCTCTCCCTGCATCCCCAAATCAAAAGATCATCTTGACGATTGGTTTTCTCTCTTTGCCTCGTGCACCTTTTATGCTTACGTGATTTAGCCTTGGCTACATTGTCCCTGCTATCCTTGTTCCTGACCCTTTTTATCATCTCGTTTACCCCACTGAATCGAATAGTTTTAGTACCGTTTTATCACTGGAACTCAATGCTCTGTGGACACACGTGTTTTCCATCATTGCTGCTGCTCTGATTGTGCATGCAATGAGAAGACTCATAGTTTCCCACGTTTCTGACGACCCAGGTCCATTGGACGACGACCAGCTTCCACATGGCTCCTGCAGGGTCACCTACTCTTCAGGGGACTGCTTTGAAGGACACTTTGTCCATGGTGAGAAGAATGGCCTTGGAAAATTCTTCTTCTTTGATGGAAGGTAAGGCCATGTGCTTGGACATTTTTACCTGAATAAAGTGCCCACACCATTGCAGAAATTTTTATCACTCATTTATTTGCCTCCCGTTTTATACACTGCCCCCCCCCCCCCCCAAATTAATGACTGCCCCTTGGAAAGGGGTGGAGCGGTGGTTCAGTGATTAGCACACTGCGCTGTGAACCAAGTGACCCGGGTTCAAATCTGGGCCACGGGTAACATCGGTAGTGGGTGATACCTGAACCGGTCCTGGGCTCCCACACCACTGCAACATCATTGATTGAAGAAATGGCCGTGAAAATGAATTTGGCCGCATATTACTCAACCGTGACGTCCCCATTTTAAGTACGTCATTATCGCCAAAGCCATTGATGCCACCCACATCTTGCCAAAGCTTGTTCCCTTCTGCTTGAATCCCACAAGTACTGCACAGAGACGATGATTTGAGTTAACTATTTTCCCATTTCGATGACGTACGTACGCGTACGTCGGTTTTTCTTCCGATTCCGTTCTGATTACGTACGCTTACGTCATTGGAACAGATCAAATCGATTCCGGATGGAATCGGAAGGAAAGGGCCATGCGGGAGGGCATGTAGTGCAGTTTGGCGCCAGCTTTGACAGAATGCGGTCGTGTCGCTACAGTTCTCTGTGGTGAGTGCAGTACAATGTCTTTAAAAACAACGGCGATGTGACTCTCTAAATAAAATGAACGCTAACCACTTGCGCGTTATGAGATTCGGCGGTGAACAGGACACCCACCCTGCAACCTACGGACGTCTCGGAACGGGAAAGGGTTAATTGCGATTGCTCGGAGTGTGCAGTACACTGGAGGGCCACTATGTGGAGGACGTGCTGCAGGGGCAGGCGGTGTACACGGCCGAGGATGGCAGCACGGTTCACGGCACGTACGTCGACGGGGAGCTCCACGGCTCGGCGCGAGAGTACGACCCAGAGGGCCGCATCACGTTCCGCGGACAGTACCGCGACAACTTGCGCTGTGGCCTCTGCTGGATCTACTTTTCCGTGAGTGGTGTTATCTCAGTGGTGACACAGGGCGGTGATCGTGCCTAGCGGTATCCCGCTTGCCACTTGTTGCATAGGATCGAGGTTCAATTCCAGCGGCTTCCCCGATTATTATTGTAGGTGTACTAACCACAATTATTTGCGCCGTCTGGTTCAGAGTGAGTGTTGAAGATCCCCTGATGTTATTGGCAAGAATTGGCAATTGTGTGCTTTGCGTCAGGGTCCAAATATTCCAAATGTGAAAATTACCAGGAATTTACTCGTGATATACATGGCAACAATTGTCCCCTACTGGCAGCTCATGTCACTCTTGCAAATAACTCATCCGGTTCTCTTGAGTTGTCACCTGGTTAAACAAAATAGATTTTAATGCAGCGTTTTTTTTTAAATTGTAGTCGCTGTTTTAACATATAAAATTTTGAACTTCTTTTGCATCGTACATAGCCAACCGTGCAAATCGGAGGTGCTAAACCATTACAAGGTCATCTAATTTTTAAAATATTTGTTTTGTATATACACAGCCATTTGCAGTTTTGGGTCTTCTTTAAACTGGTAAAAGTTAAACTAGAAATGTCTAGCTATTTGCACCACCATACACACCAGACACACTTTAATGTTTTGTACATCTGTATGTATGAATGCAGGATGGCGGGAGACTTGTAGGAGAGGTTAACTCAGATGGGGAGATGACGGGTGATCAAGTAGCCTATGTTTACCCAGACGGTCGAACGGCGTTCTACGGACGCTTTTCTGATGGCGAGATGATCTCGGCACAGCCGGCTATCCTCCTGGGTCTTGACAAAAATGAGAAGCCACGCTTTGAGGTGGACAAAGGAGGTTTGCATCATTTTACGCTGCTCTTTATTACGGCTGAAAAAATAACCATTGTTTCTAGTATTGCCTTAGTGGATAGCTGAAAAAGTTAGTATATGAAAGTGCTCTGATGGATCTAAAATGTTGTCATTTTTTTCCTCAAAGCAGGGCCCATACTTCATTTGGACAAGTCAACATCTACTGTCATCTCTTCACAGCCCCTCTGTGCTGACCTTTATGAGAAGGACAGGTCTGTTGTACTTCTATTCTGACACTTTATTTTCTGCTCAAAGACAATGCAGTGCTTGTTGGCCATAATGTACATACATTGGGTGAGGATTTTAAATGTAATTGTTTCCTGCAGAGAAGAGTTAAAACCAGCAAAAGTAATAAAGTTAATATGCAAGGACAAATTATGGTGGGAATTTGAAGTTATGGGCATTCTGACCAAAAACTGTAAGTAATAGTAATTAAATTTTGATTTAAAGCTTTCGTGACTGCAGGAATTCATATTCTTGGTTCTTTCGGTAAAGTCACGTAGAAGGGAAACAATAAAATAAAAATATAAAACAATTGTTTTATATAAAACAATTGTTTTATATTTTTATAAAGAATCAAGAATATAATAGTATTTAGATTATATATATTTTAAAACCCACCCATTACCGTGACGGTTTCTGACTATATGTAATTTTGCCATCAGAGTTTGTGTTGGGCAATCGCTCATCACAGGAGCAGCAGAGGGACTCTTTGCCAAGGTCGACATGGAAACGGGCACAGTGGCTGCATTTTACAATGGCACACGGATCACGCACGAGGAGGTAGGATCAGCGATAATCCAACACAGCAGTCTCCTGCAAATGTTTTAACTCCCCTTGCTTTTGGTGTCTCTGTGTGGCCTCACTGTGTAACGGCGTGCAGTGTGACTTCCGCATTTGACTGTATATGTACAGTAACTAGAAGGAAAGTAATCATATACATACTTCCAACGTGCGCCCTATTCGCTCACTCTCGAACACAGAGATTGACTTTGGACGCGTGAGGAACCACAGACAAGTGGGCAGGCAGCAGCCACAAAGTCAGGACTGCAGCAACAATTGCCCAAGCATTACAGCCCTCTCTGCTTCCAAAGTGTTATCAGCCAATTATTAGATGGTTATTTACCTTTTATGAATTCTGTTAGGAGGCTGATGTGTTGTGTGGTACAAAAAAGTGTGTTTTTACAACAGATCAATGTCAATTGTAAACTGAATTGATCATAATGATGAGCAGACCAGGTTTCCAACCCAGAGGTCACCGTTTCCGTCTCATGGTGCAGCAATTGAAACATCGGCCGAGTTCCTTAAATCAAATGGGTCTACCACGGTTGATTGGCAGGTCGTTCTTGGTGGCGCATAGTGTGGGTACCTCTTCCAAGACGTCTAGCCATTGTGGTAGATTAGGCCAAGTATCTTCTCTGGGGCTCCCTAGAGGCCCTTCTTCCAGCATTGGAGTGAGCAAGTAATTGCAGACCTACAGATTGATTTAACATTTTTACACTATTTAATGCTCATATTTGTCATTGTTTTTCTCCTGTTTTGTTGCCACGTTTTAAAGGTGGATGCACGAGATTGGTCACTGAATGGCAATACCATCTCCCTTGATGATGACATCGTCATTGATGTACCAAAGCACTTCGTGAGTGTGGAGAGATACTGTGCCTCACTGGGCCACAAGGCCAACCATTCATTCACGCCAAACTGCAAATACGATTTGTAAGTAGTTGCGACAGGATTGTTTTTATATCATTGTTTAAAAACGAGCATTTTATCTCATTTTATGAACCACTTTTTTGTAAATATTCAAGGTCAATGGATTTTGATTTACATTTGTGTTGCAGTTACAACCACCCACGGTTTGGGCCAATCAAGTGTGTGCGGACGGTGCGGGCTGTATATCGTGATGAAGAACTGACAGTCGCCTATGGTTACGACCACAACCCGGCCGGAAAGAGGCAGGCGGAGGCCCCGGAATGGTACATCCGTGAGCTCGAGATCCACAGTGCCACACAAGGCTAAAACGCAGAGACAACCACCCCAATGTGTTTTTCAGGTTATATTTCGTGTTGTTCAGCATGATGTCCGACATATCTCTCCACGTACTGGGAGCTTTTTGAGGAGCGAAGTGTCAAAACATCGTTTCGAATGACATGTGGCACAACTTGAAAATACACTGGAAAAAATGCAGCAAAACCGTGAAAACCTACGCAGTAGCACATGGGCGAGCATACAAGGTCTTTTTACACCACCAAAACCCCTTTCGGTAGCGAGATGTAGGTTGATGTCACTGGCTGTAGGGGTAAGTCACATTCATGCTTTCATTAAGTGCATGGCTGATATTTTCAAACACATTTGGTGATTTGTGTCCTCTGACAATTCAAACTGGCTTGGGAGGAAAAAAGGAATGGTACGTGAGTTTTGTCTCGACATTTCATCTGTGTTTGATTTCATGACTAGTAGTTGTCCGATCGGTTTTTGGGCTTTACCACGTGTTGTGTGGCAGAAAGCTGTCGGCACGCGCAGCAATAAATAGGACATGCCGAACAACACGTGGCAAAACCCTTGAACACATCTGAGAGCTAAGGGGCACAACTGCGAAAAACCAGTGAAGTGTTAGATAATTACAAATTTGTAAAAATACAGCTTACCTTTTGCAGTGGTTAAGAAAAAACTTTTTTTGGCGCTGTAAACACACAGAGCTTACATTACCAATGAAGATTTAAAGCACACGGGTGACGGAATACATTTGCTCTGTGATTTGCTTAATTTCTGTAAAATCCAGGTCTACAGTGATATTGTATTATTTAAGTTAATATCAATATATTTATAGAATTATTCAGTGGCAAAAGTCCATTGCTAGGTTTTTGTTAGTGTAACAAAGTAAGACTATAATTTTTTCCCAAATAAGAGTTTTCCAAAGAAATGTAAAGGGATGCATATTATTTTGGACAATTTGTATCACCATTTGTTTTGCCATTAATGTGCCTCTTTAAAGTGATCTGTGCCACACAATGCATCAGCAGCTATTGTGTTCCTTGTCCATTACAAGAGGACAAGGTAAATGTATGCATACAATCGTGCCTGCATCCAGAATAACAAATCCTGACAATTGTAATGAATTTCGTGCATATTTAAATAGTAATACCATGTGGATATAGAAGGGCCATGGTTGTATTTTTTAAAATTTATTTTTATTGAGAGAAAAAATATATACAGGTGTCGAATGACAATCGATGGTTATTACCAGAATTCTTATTCCTAAATGATGGATGCGTTATGAAAAGCCTCATTGCCTTAACTTGAAGTGTGAAAGCTACTACTTGTGATATGGTGAAAAGGGATCTCTACAAATGTGCTTTGTTTATAAGAATGTGTAATGGTGTGCAGAGTTTAAGTATTCAGAGACTTGAAAATAAGTTAAAATGGATGGTTTTTATTTCGCATTTTTTACAATTGTAAAGCTGGGGAAATGGTAGTGCCAAAGAAGGTTAGAAGTGCAAAGCGGAGTTAAAGAGTTATGATTAATGAGATGACAAATATTTTTCACTTACAGTATCTCCCATCATATAGATTCTTGAATCATTTTAAGATAATTTCAGAATAAACATCACTGATTTGGTGTGATTTTTCTTTCCCCCTTATGACCAGTTGTAAAAAAGACTTAAATGGTGCTAAGTTTTTAACTTAAAGCAGTATAGTGGCTAATGCTCAATGTTTTCATTGCAACTGGCTGCAGAACCTAATTTTCGACAGTTTAACTAAACCCTTGTTGTTAATTCAGTATGTGTAGCTCTGTACACTAATATGAAAGCGAACTTTGTAGGGTACACTTCACAGAACGTTTTCAGTTTTTCATCGTCTTTATAACAACGCATAATGCAGTTAAGCAGTGGGATGTGTTTCCTGTAGGATGCTATGACTTTAGTTGGGTTGGTATACCTTGTTTTTTTTCTTAAAGCCTGTTTACACGATACCCACGGTTGTACGATTGAAGTTGAGCGCTGAAAGTTAGGGAAAGCATTACAACGGCTGCTTAAAACAAAGTGGTGTTATTTCGATCGGTGACGATTGAACGCAGGGAGTTTTATCAGTATCCAACCAGGAGATGAAATTAACTCATTGAGAGGAATGAAACATTGCCTTGTTTGGAAGGGTGAACTGGGTTGCAGCACAACATACAAACTAACAATATATCTCGACCCGTACAATGCAGCTTTCTAATTTGGGCTGTGTGTTGATAATTTATTTTGTCAAGTTTTCATCGTGGTTCGATATTTATAACAAGCGGCCGCAAAGGCATAAACTACAGACTAACTTTGGCATTAATTTAGTAAAAACCTGAACAAGGCCAATGTGGGCTACATTCTATATACAGAGGGATGCCGGTCTGTGCCCAAATATGGGCCACGAAAGTTTTCACTTAAGGAGGCCCCTTCCACCAGCAGTGGCATGAGCATGTAATTGTGGGGCTTCACCTTTACCTTTTACACGGCTTTAACAACGAAGTCTGAATTGTGTACTCGCAAGTGCTAGAAACACATTCCTGCAGAGGGAGCTGGTAGGAACGTTGGGTTGCTCGGTCAATGGCCAGGGTCAACGGCGGCACCACGTGGTGTATTCCGCACAATATGCCCGACTGTGAGGGCGGGCACAAGCCGGCGTGAGTAGGTTAAACGTTGAGTTTTATAAGGGCACCACGGGGTGACCAGCCCCTCCCCACCCAGCCCCACCCCTCACCCAGCCCCACCCCTCCCACCCCCCACCCAGCCCCTCCCCACCCAGCGTCACCCTCCCCACCCAGCCCCTCCCCACCCAGCCTCACCCTCCCCACCCAGCCCCTCCCCACCCTCCCCTCTCCACCCAGCCCCTCCCCACCCTCTCCTCTCCACCCAGCCCCACCCCTCCCACCCCCCACCCAGCCCCTCCCCACCCAGCCTCACCCTCCCCACCCAGCCCCTCCCCATCCAGCCCCACCCTTCCCACCCAGCCCCTCCCCACCCTCCCCTCTCCACCCAGCCCCACCCCTCCCATTTTTGGATGTACGACGGACGGACGCAATAATCCCCTGTGGGCTGGTGTAACCAGGAGGTTCCTACCAGTATAAGAAAAACAGTAATTGTTTAGCATAAGATCAGGAAAATCTTTTTTGGAGAGCACATAAACAAGTTTACCTTTTAATGGATATAAACAAAAGTTACTGCACAAGTGATTTTCACAATAAAGGTGTTTATCTGCAACGATTGAGCTGCATACAGCCCTGTAATTTTTGTGAAATCTAAAAAATAAAAGAACACACGTCTATTTTCTTGTGTTTAAAAAAACAAGAATGTTGACATTTAGAGCTGCCTTTGTGTCTATCAAATTCAAATGACCAATGAGAATATAGACAGTTAATAATACACCTGGATTGTGGCATGGGAGTGGAAAATGGCCCAGGCCAGGAATGAGTAAAGAGCACCAAGGAAGGCAGACCCCCGAGATGAGGGACATGCCAGAGAGAACACGATATGTGGCTGTAGTGTGTGTGATAAACTACTGAAGTTAGCTCTTACCCCAATGTGGTGTACATTGCTTGAGTTTTTTTTTTACAAAATCAGGCATCAGCAATATAGTGAATATGGTACAATACTAGGCAACTGAGTGGTCACCCTATGGATGGTAGTGGGAGTCAGGCTTTAGATAGGAATCCGTGTGGGTGGCTTTCCTGTCGATGGAATGTGCCAACGAGCCATTAGGCCTCTTCTCGATCAAAACATCCAGGAATGGTAGCTTCCCATCCTTTTCCACATCCATGGGGAATTTGATGGATGGGTGTATGGAATTGATGTGGTTTAAAAAATGGATGTTTTAATCGAGAAGAGGCCTGATGGCTCGTTGGCACATTCCGTCGAGAGGAAAGCCACCAACACGGATTCCTATCTAAAGCCTGACTCCCACCACCATCCAGCCCAGAAGAACTCCCTCATCAAAACACTATACCATAGGGCCCGCTGCATCTCCGACCAGCGCCACCTAGCCAGCGAACTGGAGCACGTACACCAAGCCCTCAAGATGAATGGATACTCACACCGCACAATCCGCAAATCTGTAGCCCCAACTATGGGGAGACAACCATCTGAGGACCCAATCAAAACCATCACCTTGCCATACATAGCAGGTGTTATCAAAAAGATTTCCAAAATCTTAAACACAAGATCCAGATCCGATTCAATACAGTATACAAAATCCGTGATTTGATACCATCTGTGAAGGATGTCATTCCTGACATGCTACACCCTGGTGTCTACAAACTAAGTTGTGTCTGCGGCAGCAGTTACATTGGGGAAACAAAACGACATGTCTCGGACCGTGTTCGCGAACACAAGGCAGATTTGAAATACGCCAAAACCAATACCTCTGCAGTGGCTGATCATTGTTATAACGCAGTGGGCTCGCACGATATTGTTTTTTTCCGAGACCAAGGTACTCTGCAAACCTTCAGGCTACCATCAAAGATTTGTCTATGAAGCCATCTAGATATATAAACACAATTTCAACCGAGAAGATGGGTATAAGCTGAGCAATCATTGGAAGGACGTTATCAACCAAGCAAAGTAGTAACTTGCTGTGGTGCTTCCATTCTTCCCTGCCGTTTGGCTGTTATCTCCAACTCTCTGAGTTGCATTGCCCTGTTAGGTGCCTCTGCATTAACGGGCTGGGGTCTCACTAACATGGCCACCTCTGCTCCCTTAGCCTCGATGTATCGATGGTTCTGGCTGTGTGATGGGCTTTGTGTCTCACTGGCGTGACCACCATTGCGGTGGTTCTCTTGCGTGGATGCACTTGCCTCAGCACAGTTGGCAGCACCGCTTAGTGCTAATCTCCCATTAACACTGCTGTTGTGCGCATATGCGGGGATGATACTCTTATGAGGCAACGGAAGCTCATTTCATGCTAATCTCTCTTTCCCTAATCTCCCCCATTAACACAACTGAAGTGCTTGCGTCCGGGGATGGAATTTCTTTCCAGCTCAGACCCCGCTTGCTTGCCCATCGCCACATATATAGCCTCCTTGTTGTAACAGCTCTCTCGCTGGTTCAGCAGTTCCACTGCCGGATTATTTTTTTCGCCTGAGGACGACCGCTTGTGTTGCGATCGAAACGCCGTGATATATTATTTTTCTACCTACGTGACTTTACCGAAAGAACCAAAGAGGATGGCTTCCTGCAGTCACGAAAGCTTCAAATCAAGATTGATATCACTGTCTTATCTACCAACGGTAGGTATTGAAAAACAATACGAAGCAAAACACAACAAAGCACTCAAATGCTGTCCCCATGACCCTCAAGTCCACACTGCACAACCTCCGAGAACCGTGACCTGCACAGTGCCACCTCGTGTTGTGACATCGTCTCATATCAGCCAAGGGGGCCTTTTTCACCGCCCTCAATGGGGCTCAAACGCCGTGGCGAAAATGCTCGAAGCTCATCGCAACGAACGAAGGGGAAAATGTCTCACTCGGACGCCTCCACAGCAGGCCCGGGACCTCCCCGAGGCACAAATCAGCAGCAGGCTGTCCCCTGATGAAGCTGGTTGCAATAACAGGCAAAACGTCGTACTCGGATTGTAAATGTTGTGGCTTTGCTCTCCAATTGGCCACGTTCTGTTTAAGTGACAACCCTTACTCAATGGCTGTGTCGGGTGGTGGCGGGTTTAACGACACATATTTACGCGAACTAACACCAAAGAAACCCTGCATCATAGCGTTTTTAAAATAACTTTAAATGTTATCTTCACGAGGCAATTCACAATGAAAGACTCATTCTTGGTTCTTTCGGTAAAGTCACGTAGAAGGGAAACAATAAAATAATAATAAAAATATAAACATTTTATATATAAACATTTCGATCGATGGAAAACTTTTTTATTATTTTATTGTTTCCCTTCTACGTGACTTTACCGAAAGAAACAAGAATAAGAATCCCAGCAGTCACGAAAGCTTTAAATAAGAAAATGAAATACTTTTTTTACTACTTTATTTTAAACACAGCAATTCACAATGAAAGAATCACTTTTTTATATTCTTAGCTCTTTCGGTAAAGTCACGTTGAAGGGAAACAATAAAATAAAACAATTATATATTTTTTTATTATTTTATTGTTTCCCTTCAACGTGACTTTACCGAAAGAGCTAAGAATATGAATTACTGCAGTCACGAAAGCTTTAAATCAATGTTTTTGTTTACTTTATTTTAAACACAACAAAACAATGAAAAAGTATTTTTTGTATGAGAAAAAAAACTGTTTCATCTCCAGCTGCCTGTTGAGTAAAGTTTATCACGTAAACAGAACGTAGCCAATTCCACAACATTTACCATCGAAAAGCATGACACAATTTAACGTGGTGAGACCACAACTCTTCACTGCGAGAATCCCTTGTTCACGTTTTATAGTACTTTATATATACTTTTCCTTTTAAGGCCACGGCGTTAATGACGAATACTTTATGTCGAGTTATTATTGTTATGCCTTAATGGTATAAAGATGCTCATTTAATAATCGCGTTTTCCATCGGTCGTCAGTTTCCGCCACCGTAGATTTGACGTCATCGACCCGATTCAAAACACGCGCGTGACGTCATGGCTCCAGTAGGTCGCGTGTTGGGGGAGGGGAGGGATGCAATAAAAAAACAACGACGCGGGTGACGTAATTTGTTTATAGATTAAAAAAACGAGTGACGTCACATTCCCGCGTGCATCGATCGGGGTCTGCGCGGACTCCGTCACGGGCGCAATCGACAGTGCAGTACAACTCTCTCCTCCGTTGTCGATATCTTCGCGATACACGGCGACGCGACGCGAGTGGCGACTGAGAAATAGCCGGGACGACGCAATATCACGACTCTGGACACGTACGTGCGTCTCTGTCTCTGCGTGTTCGCGTTTTCCCGCTCGTTTGTTTGCTACAGTACCGAGCGCTGTGTGCGGCGCGAGGAACGGTGGCGCAGTGGTTAGCGCTACGCTGCGCTATGAACCTGGCGACCCGGGTTCGATTCCCGCTCACGGCCAACACCAACAGTGACGATTATCTGAACCGGTCCCGGGCATCCCCTAGGTCGACTCAGCCTCAAATGAGTACCTGGTGCAGTGGATAAAAACATTGCCTCTGGGGAGACAAAGGCGGTCGGGCGTGGTGCTGGCCGCCCACCCCCTCGTGTACCGTTCCGGCCTTCGTAGGTGCTCGCTAACAGCACTTGCCCCTACAGTCTGTTAAGGCTATATGGGGGATCTTTATCTTTGTATCCATCAGCACCGGGGAGATAAAGGCGGTCGGGTCAAGGCTGTGCCTAGGGGGGAATCTTTGTGGTGCAACAACACGAGCTCTTGTGGGATGTCTGACAACGGGGAGATCGCAAGGCGACGATGATGCTGGGTCGGGTGATGTCACCGAAGGGCACACGATGGCTTTTGAGTCGTTATTTTCATTAAAAGTTCTTTCAAACTCATCGTTTTCATCGTTATCGCTGCCCTTTACAAAGTTAAATGTGTCACTTGCTGCACAATTGTTTCGAGTCGCTGGAAGATTGCAATCGGTACGTCGGAATCTTGATCAGAATCATCTGTGTTGAGACTGGGGGAATCCGATGAGCTATGAAGCTCTTTTTTCACAGATGTCCAGCATATAGGCGGGTCAGCAATCATAGCGAGAGGTGTACTTGATGTGGGGTGCCGGGTAGCCTAGCCAGACAGATCTGTGTCAGCCCATACGGTTTACCCCGTATTCTTGTACAGGGAAATTGAGTTTTCAGGTCCATAGGGGCCGTCCATAAATGACGTCACGTGATTTTGGACGTCACACGGCGTCACAAAAAGTCAGACCCCCCCACAGATATGACGTCACAAAGCTCTGCCCCCCCCCCCAAAACCATATTTCCATTTTGAAAATAAAATATGCTTCAAATCGCTTTAAACTATTGTCATTGTAGTGCGTATTTAATGTGTCGCTGCACTCTGATGTTGTAGGAGAAAACATAAAAAAGTCTAATTAAGTAGAACGTGTTGTCTATATTTATTTAATGTTGCGCATTTTGATGTGACGTCACATTTCTCAAACCCCCCCCCCTCGTCACACATCGTCACAAATGTCTGACCCCTCCCCCCCCTAGGTGTGTGACGTCATTTATGGACGGCCCCATACGGCGCACAGCCGTTTCAATATGGGCAAACATTTTTTGTGTCTATTTGTGTTTCTGCCTTGTGATGGGACTTTGCAGGACGAACGTTGATATTTATAAGTGCACCACGGGGTGACCAATAAGGTCTGGATTGGTCTGTAATAAGGTAGGGCACTGATAAGGGGTTGACAGGTATGAAGCCCTGAGTATACTGATTAAGGTCAACGCTTCGGGCAATGGCCCATTTACTTTGATAAAGTTTGAAGGGGTTGACAGGTATGAAGCCCTGAGTATACTGATTAAGGTCAACGCTTCGGGCAATGGCCCATTTACTTTGATAAAGTTTGACCTTTTAGAGCCACTGTCTGAAAGGTCAGATTGTGTTTTGGTATTATACTCTACTGCTAAAACCTCTTAAGACAATGGTGATACTAAGGAGGGTGGTGAGTTATTACTTTCCCAAGATGTGGGTATGATTATTATTAACATCCGCCCGGCAGCAGTACTGAATCTGACCGCAGAGGCACAACGCTCATTTGTTAATTGACTTTGGTTGGAGCTACATTTTCAGCAGAGAGCATTGCAACACATTTCATTGTCGTACCTCTACTGTGCTCCAACCTCTATGATCCCCACCTATCATCAGTGGTGAGTGATATCTGAATTGAATCATATAACTCTGCCCAGTGCCGGATTATCCTAGTAGCAAAAGTAGCTACATATGCTACGGACCCCGCACTTTCAAGGGCCCCGCGCTAAATGCTTTCAAGCTATCAATTCCGGTTCAGTGATTCTGCACTTACTATACTGCCTTAAACTTTTATGAACGACTGGGTGTTTAAGGTTAGTGATTTTGCCGTATTATCTGGCTGTATAGCAAATGAAAAAATACAATTACTTTACTAAGCAAGTAAAAAATTGGTGTTTGAATATTGAAGTGTTTTTTTTATTTAGGGCCCCTTTATAACATATGCTACAGGCCCCGCACTAGCTTAATCCGGCACTGCCTCTCCCCACCTTCACCAGCCCATACCATTGGTTAAATCACCCACCACAATCCGCACGGCATGGTGATGTCCTCGTTTAACAGCGGGTTGACAAAAGGGCTGTACATGTGTAGTGACAATAAATAGTGTTGCTCTCAAGATAACGCCTGCGACTCAGTTGGACTCACTACACATGTACGGCAAGCCCTCACTTAACGCGTGTTCACACAACGTGTTTTTGCTATAACGCGGTTCTTCCATTCGGGAACACTGAGCAATATCACGGAAGGCACCCGTTATAACGTTGGTTTCTGAGCTGTCAAACTGAGCGGAGTGATACAGTACGTGGAATGATACAGTAACGCGGCGGCATACCCTCAGTTCTTTATGCCGCTGTCGTGCCGTTTGTGCGTACATCTCGCCAAACTTTATAGTTACGTTGTTTATGGGGAAATTGTTCTCGCTCCATTAACGTGGCGCTTTTCAGAAATGCATCTACGGCATTATACGAGGGCTTGCTGTAAAGACAAAATCATTTTCTGCAGGTTGCTGCTTTCACAACAGCCGACTGACTGCTGCTTGTATGTTCATCTACATCACGTTTTATGGATAGAATGTGTATTGGCCACCCCTTGCTCAATGTGATTTCCTCATGTCAATGCATGCAGAAATTAAGAGAAAATGGCCAAAATAGACAAGATGAGCATCCTGGGCGTACGGAGCTTTGGCATCGGTGACTGCGACAAGCAAGTGATCACTTTCCACACGCCGCTGACCATCCTGGTGGGCCACAACGGCGCTGGCAAGACGGTAAGGACCACAAATCAGCATTATCAGAGCTGGGATATTTACCGTAGTTGCTTCACTGCATTACTCCATTGAACATCGCAATCGGCTACTTTTTTGTGGTTAATTACTCGGGCCCATTTAAATGACAGCCAAAGGCTGGGAACCCCGCTACAAGCCACATCAAGCATGAGCCGGCAAACAATGCAGAAGTGATCACCAAGACCCTACCTATCACCTCCCATCCAGGGGCACACGTTGAAGCACAAGTGAAGCTTTTTCCCCCCAATTATTTTCACGTTATCCGACTCGACGAGCAATGCAACCTATTATCGGTTTTGTGGTTATATAAATAATCGGATAGCCCACCTCTTGTATAAATAGATAACAATTCATGTGCGGGATCTTATTCAGAGACATTTCCATAGCATCATCCATACTCAGGCGCCAACCCCAAGGGTTGATCCTGACTCCAAACGCCCAAGCGACATCTCTTCCTATCCGCAAGTTTAGACAATCGCGGTCGATCTGATGCAGCCACAAAACCTGTGGCTGGCCCCTTGGGCTCCAGCACCAGCATGGTTCTCTAGTACAGAGAACCTTGTAGGCATGATCAGCCAAGACGAAATGAACCACATGTCCCATAGTTGGCTGTACCATATTAAATTTCGATTTAAAGCTTTCGTGACTGCAATGATTCATCTTCTTTGGTTCTTTCGGTAAAGTCACGTAGAATGAGAATAAAATAATAAATTGATAAAATAAAATAACACAATAATATTCTCACGACGTTTCGGCCACAACACAAGCGGCCTTCATCAGGTGAAGGGAGCGAGACTGTCTGGTAGGACAGCGCTGGAGTGAGAGAGCCACGTTCAGATCACGGCTTTTAAGCTGTGTGAGAGGAACAAAGAGCCTTGACGAAGGAATTAGCATAAAATTTTGCATTGAAAAGGCTGAATGATTAGCTTGTGACTGGTCACAGAAATAGCTATGTTAAAAGTTAAAGCATACACATCCGCAGAGGCACCCATTGTTAAAAGGAATTAGCATAGAATTTAGCATTGAAATAGCTAAATTAAGGCATTCGCTTGTAACTGCTACAGAAATAGTTACGTAAGGCATTCGCTTGTAACTGCTACAGAAATAGTTACGTTGAAGTCAGAGCATACACATTCACCGAGGCACTTAGTACAAATCAAAACAGGAGAATTTAGCATTGAAATAACTAGGCGAATTTAGCATTGAAATAACTGGGTGATTTGCTAGTGACTGGTCACAGAAATGACTACAAATCTGAGCTATTCACAGTACTATATAGTGAACCAATAAAAACTAAAATATAAATTACCTTCATGTTATCAATAAACTCTATATTCTCCAATCAGCTAAGCTACCAACCATAAGTCGTTATATATCACAATGCTATATGGCGAAAAAATGGGTGGATTGAGGGTAAGAATCCACCCATTTTTTCGCCATATAGCATTGTGATATATAACGACTTATGGTTGGTAGCTTATCTGATTGGAGAATATAGAGTTTATTGATAACATGAAGGTAATTTATATTTTAGTTTTTATTGGTTCACTATATAGTACTGTGAATAGCTCAGATTTGTAGTCATTTCTGTGACCAGTCACTAGCAAATCACCCAGTTATTTCAATGCTAAATTCGCCTAGTTATTTCAATGCTAAATTCTCCTGTTTTGATTTGTACTAAGTGCCTCGGTGAATGTGTATGCTCTGACTTCAACGTAACTATTTCTGTAGCAGTTACAAGCGAATGCCTTACGTAACTATTTCTGTAGCAGTTACAAGCGAATGCCTTAATTTAGCTATTTCAATGCTAAATTCTATGCTAATTCCTTTTAACAATGGGTGCCTCTGCGGATGTGTATGCTTTAACTTTTAACATAGCTATTTCTGTGACCAGTCACAAGCTAATCATTCAGCCTTTTCAATGCAAAATTTTATGCTAATTCCTTCGTCAAGGCTCTTTGTTCCTCTCACACAGCTTAAAAGCCGTGATCTGAACGTGGCTCTCTCACTCCAGCGCTGTCCTACCAGACAGTCTCGCTCCCTTCACCTGATGAAGGCCGCTTGTGTTGTGGCCGAAACGTCGTGAGAATATTATTGTGTTATTTTATTTTATCAATTTATTATTTTATTCTCATTCTACGTGACTTTACCGAAAGAACCAAAGAAGATGTACCATATTAAGTTGTTCGCCTCTTCTTTATGTCCCTGCAGTAGCCTATGGTTAGACACAAAGTTATTCTTTCAGTACTCCCAAGATTCAACCAATAGTGCTCGAGTAATAATAGGGTTTTTCCCCTTTTTTCTGGCAACAAAACTGAAACCTTTTTACAAGGATTCATGTCTGCATTAACCACAATACCTGCAGTCAAAATGCAAACAAAAAACATACTATGATAATATATGCATTGTCCTTGAAACTGATTGGTCCACACCAAGGGACGGCGTCATCTGGTCAAGCACTAATTGGGTCGAGGCTCAAAAGAAAGCCGTCCCTTGGTGTGGACCAATCAGTTTCAAGGACAATGCATCATATATTATCATAGTATGTTTTTTGTTTGCATTTTGACTGCAGGTATTGTGGTTAATGCAGACATGAATCCTTGTAATAAGGTTTCAGTTTTGTTGCCAGAAAAAAGGGGAAAAACCCTATTGTTACATTTTGGTACTGGCAAAGGAGGTCTAATGAAGTGCTCGAGTAGTTGTGCAAATGTATTGGTAGTTCATCATGGTTGGCAAATTGATGTTGATTGACTCTTCCCTGCAGACGATAATCGAGTGCTTGAAATACATCTGCACTGGTGACTTCCCACCAGGCACAAGCGGTGCTTCCTTCATTCACGACCCAAAGGTATTCGTATGGAATTTTGCAAGGATTTGCTTTATATAGACAATGCTATTAATACATAAAATGTACATGACGATATTCTTCACCATGACTGACATCCTCCTATCATTTCACCTTCTGCCCTCCACAAACGTGACTGGAATTGTGGCAGGTGGCCCACGAGACGGATGTAAAAGCGCAAATTCGACTACAGTTCATGGATGTGAACGGTGACAAGGTAACCGTGCAGCGATTGCTGCACGCCACACAGAAGGCCAAGAAAGTGGAATTCAAGACCTTGGAGGGGGTTTTCACCCGACTGAAGTGAGCAATGTGCTTTTTTGTTCGTAGTTTTCCTCTACATACGGCGATGTTGACATGTATGCCGACCATTTTAGGCATTATGTCTTAAGTAATTTGACTATTGGGTGGAATGGCAATGCAGTGGTTTGCGTACTGTGTTTTGAACTCGGATGCCCTGAGTTGGATTGCGGGCCACTGCTGACATCAGTGGTGAGTGATGTCTGAACCCATGCTGAACAACGTGGCATAGTATGGTCAAACAGTCCCGTTGGCCAAATCGGCGTGGGGAGGCATTCGTCCAATAGCGGATTGATGAAGGTGTACATATTATAAACGATATATGCATATGGTGATTGTACATATACTCACAAATAATTTTTGTTTATCTGATCAAAATGTAATGATTAATGATGAAAAACTATTAATGATGCCAATAAAAAAATCTAACAACAGTGTACTTTACGTGAATGTCGTTTCATGTTTGCGTGTTTGGATACGTGTGTTTTGCACGCTTGTGTGTGTGTGTGCTCTTGAGCAGAAATGGAGAAAAGTACAGCATCAGCTCAAAGTGCACCGACATGAATCGCGAGATGATCACCGCCCTTGGTGTCTCCAAGGCCGTCCTGTCAAACGTCATATTCTGCCACCAGGAGGACTCTAACTGGCCGCTCAGCGAGGGGAAGGCTCTCAAGCAAAAATTCGATGAAATATTCTCTGCAACCAGGTCGGTGTGTGAGAGATGTAACTTTGTGTGCATTGCTCAAAAACCATATAGAAAACGTCGCACTCAAATCATTTCGCACGTTAAAACGTTTCTCGTTTTTACAATAATTTTTTTTTTGCTGCGAAGAATCGCAATTTTGTTGTGAAAATTGTTAGGGCCAGTTTGGGCAAGGGCAGCAATAGATTGGGGTTTATTGTGTAGGAAGAGGGATGTAAATGCAATGACTCTTGAACACACCGTGTGCATGACTGGGCCACAAATAGTGACATTTACTTAATTTTACGACTATATTTTTGGTACGGAAACAGAAAAGAAACTTGTCTATTGTCTTGGCTCGTTTTTCAAAAGGTCAAACGGCCACGTAGGGTTGAGATGAAAATCCGTATGACGTGATGTGCATGTCACCAGCTGACTTTACATTTCCTATTGTTAAAGTTTAGGGCTAATAAACTGACACTAAGACAACGCAGCACCAATAACAATCCTTATTTTGCATACGTTAAAAACTCCGACCTTTGTGGACTTTGGACTCTCTCAAGTATATTTAATAGGAGTAGGTGTGAATTCTGAAGTCAGTGCGCATGATTGTTTTGCCTTTAACCTTGACAATCAACTCGACAACTGATTATAGTACTTTTTGATAATGCCACTGTCCTCAAATTAATATAGTCCTACACATACAACTCAGCTATTTTACACAAAGGACCTTTTCACTTGAGTGTTATTCATCCGCACAATCAGGCAATATAGCCTCTCATTTTTTTCTTATAATTTTTGACTTTGAAACTCACTCCCTTTTTGTCTCTTCTTACCCAAGTTCCTATAACGATGCTCAATGCAAGAAAACATTTTTTTTTATTTTCTGGTATTATCTATTGTTCTTGATTGCTGACCACATAGCCGTTCAGATATAGTGGCCACCCTGATTAAGACTGCGCATCTGTTAACCGTAAACATACGCGTCGTCTGCTTCACAGTGAACGTTCCAAATCCTGTGACGTCGTTTGCAAGATTAGCCCATTGCGTGCCGACGTCATAGTTAATGTTTGACAATAAAAAAAATCCAAACGTTACTGAGTTGAACTATATGGTTGAAAATGAGTCGTGGGACTCAGGCATTCCTGGGGAAACAAGTGTAATTATAATAGCGGTATGTGCCTTCAAGCCCGTGCTCATCAATTGTGATTAAAAAAATGTAATTATCATTGAAGCGTTACATCCTTGACAAGATTCTTGTTCTCCAGCGTTGGGATCAAAGCAGTCAAAAACTATTAAAACTAAAACATTTTTTATTCTACCAGGTAAAGCCCACTGAGCTATTTAGCTTTTTTTCAGAAGTGACCTGGTCACAAATGATAGCACAATTAAGTGGCTTTCTGCTGAAATGTATAACAGCCAAATACTCTTAAGGGCATGTTTCTAAATTTGGAGGCAAAAACCAGAGGATTCGGAGAAAAATCCACACGACTACAGGGAGAACATGCAAACTCCAAATATACAGCAGGCGTCAGGGTCATGATGGAACCCACGACCTCCTGCATACCACGCATGGTAGTTAACTTCTCTCCGCGGCTCCCAGTCGGTTGCGCGACCCGGACATCGCCGCCAAAGTTGTGAGCGACGCTCTTTTCTGCCTGCACCCAGGTACATCAAAGCACTGGACTCGCTGAGCAAGGTGCGCAAGGACCAGGGCTCCATCGTGCGAGAGCTGCAGGCCGTCGTGAAGCTGCTGCAGCAGAACAAGAACAAGGCGGAGGAGCTGCAGCGGGATCTTGATGACATTGTCGCAAAACTGGAGGCCTCCCGGGAGAGCGTGCTCACCATCGACCGGGAAGTCAGCCCGCTCGAGGTTGAGACATTTCACCCCAGCGTTTCGTGGCATTGACGTCGGTGTAGACGAGCGGTAACATTTTGGCGATAAAGGTGCAGCTCTGCAATGGCTTACTCACGCCACTGCTGGAGGAAGGTCCTCCACTAAAGGGAGATCAAGAGTGCCCCCCATTAGAGGGTATTTGGCCTACTCATGCTGGCCAGATGTCTCAGAAGTAGCCACACTTTAAGCCTCCACACGTGAACTGTGGATCGGCTAACTGTAGTGTGCTCGTTTTTGTTGTTGTGTGGACATAGGCACGGCTATTTAGGAAACGTGCCCATTGTTTCAACTGCCACACCAGGAGATCGAATCTGCACTTTACCTATAACTGACTACCTTTGTAGAAAAAAAAATTTCCACTGTTTCTGTACACAGGACCGTGAGATACGGTGCCATTTAGATGCTATTTAAATCTATATCCATCATGCCCTTTAGTTCCTGCTGTAATGAAGTTTCCTTGTCTGAATTGTTAACCTGTATCCTCTTGCAAGGCATTGACAATGATGAAAGTGGTGAGATTATAATTGGCCTGTTCTTCCGCATCAATGCTAGTCCACTCCCACCAAATGATAATTTAGCGATGATCAAATGCACCCAGAATGTGCCCGATCTCGTCAGATCTCATGTATTAAAACTAGTTGGAGCCTGTATACTGCTAGGATGTTGTAAGTTGCCGTGGGACAGCTCAGAAAAAAGCCATTGCTCTAATGACCTATTCTCCAACGTCTATGCTACCCGCGTTGAACCCGCACTGACGAGCGTGGTGAAGTACTCTGTTTAAATAACTCCTCATGACCCGCATGGAATAGGGAAGGCCCTGATCCTGCAGTGAATCGACAAAAGAGCTCTACATGCACAATCCGAAGCCACCTTCCAAATCGCTGCCTCAATGAAGACCCTTTTAATGCTTCAATTTGGCTTGTTGCCATTTCAGATAAACCTGAAGGACGTCGAGAGTAAGCTAGCAGTGGTGGTAAGATTGGACAACGAAGTGAAGGCCACGCAGAGCCGTAAAGCTCAGATGGAGGTGGACAGTCGAGACCTGCAGGAGAAGATGGAACAGGTAAGAGCCTTGATTTAAAGCTTTCGTGACTGCAGGGATTCATATTCTTGGTTCTTTACTCTTGGTTCTTTACCGAAAGAACCAAGAGCCTCTTGACCTGCACGGGTACTGAGGGGCTCGGGAGACTTTCGTTTGAGCTTTTGTGGCAACCAATACGGCTGTCGAGTTTTAATATAATTTGATAAAGGACAACATGCGAAGTAGTCATTTAATGCTGCAAATTATTAACTCAAATTCTGTATCGCAATCTACTCTATCCAAAGCCGAAATGATAGCAAAAGCACATAACCCCTATATATTCGCGTTACTGACCAAATCGCCCACAATGTGGCCGACCTCGTCAGATCTCGGATAGTGCTTGGATGGGTGACAACCACACATGCAGTTATGCATCGGTGGCTGTTGGGCTACGCTGCATGGTAGGCAGTAGAAAGCAGTGCATAAAAATAATTGTTTTTACCGTACATAAAAGGCCGCACATGTACATTGTCATTAAACTGTAACCTTCAAACAGCCTTCACGACCGCTTTCACCCGAACCCCAGTAATTGCTTTTTGACTGTCAATGTAGACGATCCGGTTTCCTCTACAAACACCTTTTTTTCCACTGGCACATCTGAGCTGTGCCAGCGGGGGGACCCTTATAGTACGAGTGGTTTTTCACTGGCTATTTGCCGTGGAGAGCCGGAACCAAACCGTGATTTCGCTGGCCCTACAAGAACCTCTATCTGGCTTGGGGCCATTGGAAGGCCAGGAGCGTGTTTTGTAATTTATTCAATTGCATTTGATGTCTGTCCAACTCGAACATCGCGTCACCCCGTCATGTGCATGCATCCTGGGCTTGTTCACAAGGTCTGACGTCGGCGGGTACGGCTTGGCTCCCGTGGTGGAAAAAAACAACAACCTTGTGTCGCCTGAGCTCGATTGTACATTGGAAAGCAGGGATAAGATGACCCCGTGGCGGCGTCATGTGCCTAGGTGTTTCAAGGCACGGACGAGCAGCTGCAGGAAGCTTACAGCAGCCACCAGCGCAGGGTGCAGGAGAAGGAGCGTCGGCTTGGGGAGCGGCAGCGCGAGCTGGAACGCGTCAACAGGGAGGTGCTCCGTCTCCGCAACGTCAAGGGGGGGCTGCACGTGGAGCAAGGTGCGTGAAGAGGGCGTTCTTTGATCGCTTTCTGCCCGCGTACTTTCTGACCCAGGCGTTAACACACACACGGGTGTTACGCATGGGTCACACGCGTGTTACGCATGGGTCACAAGTATGTTATGCGCTTGTGTTTAGAATGTTTCATGCAGGTTCGTCCGTGTATGTGTCATCTGATTAGCATGGTTGGCAACGTACAGTGCAAAATAAGTTGTATGTACATACATATGTATGTTTTTTTAAAGTTTTGCTGTATAGCTCCGTGCTGTGTTTTATACATGATATATATTCAGTTCCTGAAGAGGCTCCCAGGATGTGGAGGGAAACGTCTGACATCATGCCAGACAACACGCAGTACGACTCGAAAACTCTTCGGAGAGCTATAGGTCATATAAAAATGAACATATAGATATTCTTATGATAACTTGGACCCCCTTAATGCAGCTGGACAAAATTAATTGATTTTCACAGGGATGAGAATACACACGGATCTTTGTTGAAGCTGAGCACAGTTGTAAACCTTGAGATTACAGCTCCATGGGGTTTCAACTACAGGTTGGTGTGGGTGGAGCCTTAAAGATGTGCCCATAATTTATTGAGCCTGTTTAGTGCCACAGATGTTTTCAACAAATAATAATATAGGAGTGTAATTTTAATGATATGACAAATTGAAATATCTTCTCACTGATAAATTATCACCCATTATTGTAGGCTCCGGGATTGGAATAGCTGCTACTTTGCATGAAAGCGAAACGTCATGGGCAATACTGTCCTCCTAAAATCTTGCAAACGGCACCTTACATAGCGGGCCGAATAGCCTCAAGGACGGCGGAGAGGGGGCGGGCCGGGTGGCTTTGCATGCACCGTGTGCATTGTGCGCGTTAGTTGACACCGTCGGTCTCTGTCGTGCTCGCAGGCAAACTACAGCAAGAGGCGGAGAGGCACGCGTCCATTATGAAGCGTCGAGACGAGCTGGTCCAGACCCTCGCGTCAGAGCTGGGGCTTGACGGGTACAGCAGCGTCCCGCTGTCCGACCGGCAGGTGTCCAGCTTCACGAAGCTCGTCCGAGAGAGAATGGAGCAAGACAACAACAACGTGAAGCGCCTGCTGGTAAATCGTCAACCGGCGCTTCTCTCCGTGGAGAGAACGCATAAAACAGGTGTCATGGTCTGCTGTTGCTGTTTCTGCTTGAGGTGCTATGATGTCCAGCAGAGGGCAGTGCGCTAAAATCCATTGTTGCACCCTTATATCCGTCAACGTCTATGCTGCCTGCCTTCAACCCGCACTGACCAGGGTGGTGAAGTATGGTCAAATTACCTGCACGCTATGCGCAGTCCCTCATCCAGCAGTAGTTTGACAAAAGGATTATACATGTACTGTACATGTACTATACATAAGGACATATTGAATGACATGCACCACTTTATGCATGTATGTTGAACTTCTTTTGCACTGTACGTAGCTTCAATGATGCTTATACACTAACCTGCTACAATTTCAACGTGTGGCACGGCAGCACGAGTTTGAGGAAAAGGAAAACGAGAAGCAGCGTCAGATGGACGACACCAGGGAGCGCAAGACGGCGGCCGAGAGCTCGGTGCAGCTGAAGCGTGAGCTGCTGGGCGACAAGCAAGCCGAGCTGGAGGAGAAGCGCGCCGAGCTGGGTCGGCTGCAGAGCTCCGGGGACCGGCTGCAGGTCGTCGAGAGCGAGCTAAGGGACACCGTGAGTAGCAGTGATTTCTTTTACGTGAAAGCCGTTTCGTTAATTCTTTCAATAGAAAGTTTTGCTCTCTGAGCAGGCCGTGCGATGTTGTTTCGACGATGTTTTGAATTATTCTTCTTCCTGGCATATGTTCCACTCGTGTGGGGTCTCGCCGCGGTGGCGAGATGTTAACTACCTCGCCCGGTATACATGAGGTCGTGGGTTCCATCCTGACCCTGGTGCCTGTATGTTTGAAGCTTGCATGTTCTCTTCACGTGGTCGCGTGGATTTTTCGCCGGTTCCTCCGGTTTTTCCCTCCACCTTTAGAAACACGCGTTTAAAGTTTTTCGCTGCTATAAATGTCCACATGATAATACACTTCGTTGAGCTATCATTTGTGGCCAGGTCGCTTCTGAAAAACGTTGCTCAGTGGGCCTTACCTGGAAAATTTTAATATACTAGTTGTAGACTTCCTGGCTCCTCTTACTCCACTAATTTTTGTCCTGGGCCATCTTTACATCTACTCCACATTCCTTCCTATCCTGTCTCATTGCTTCGAACCACCCTATCCTAGGCCTGCCACTGGGTCTCCACCCTGGGGAGCTTGTGGGGAATGAGGAGGGTTGTGATATGATATCCGTGAGTTTCAAAGTAATTTACTGTCATTGAATCCTAGTGAACTGCTAGTATATATTCAAAAGATAAAGATCCCCCGTATAGCCTGAACAGACTGTTGGGGTAAGTGCTGTTAGCGAGCACCTATGAAGGCCGGCACGGCACATCAGGGTTGGGTGGCCAATACCACGCCCGGCCGCCTTTGTTTCCCCAGTGGCGATGTTTACACACCGCACCAGGTAATCATTTAAGGCTGAGTCTACTTAGGGGAGGCCCAGGACCGATTCAGATCATCGTCACTGGTGTTGGCAGCGAGCGGGAATCGAACTGGTGTCGCCGGGTTTGTAGTGCAGCGGGCTAACCGCAACACTACCACTCCCCACATATATACACACACATTTACACCTACCCAGCATACGTTCATCATGTTCCTCATGATGAACATGTCCCGCTGTTTTATACAGCGAGGACACATAATAAACCCAAATGGAACTACATTGTACTCATATCAATGTCATGTGGGTATGTATTACTTATCCTTACCGCTTACATTGCCACTCTGTACGACTTGCGTTGGCACTGCCAGGAGCACCAGCTGGAGGTGGCGGAGGGCTCGTCGCAGGCGGAGGGGCTGCGCACGGAGCTGCAGCGGATGCAGCGCGAGCGCACGGATTTCGACAGCCTCCTCCGCCGCCTCGACCACGAGATGTCCACGCTGAACCTGCACACGCAGGCCCGCACGCAGCTCGACATGCACAACAAGGAAAAGGTGAAGCCGCGGTGTGGACCCAGGGGTGTGCGACTTTGTTTCGCGTCTTGCCACGAGACAAACAATCAAATCTAATCTCTCGTGGAGCAGTAAAACCCACTGTGTTAGAGAATGGTCCACGGAATCCACTACGATACCACTAAGATACTTTCAACACGGGGGGTGGCGGGGGGGGTGTGGGCAGCACTTTCATATCTGCCCTGATACAGAAAGTAGTGTTCGCTGCTTGAGAGGCGTCAAAATAATATTTCATTCTCAAAGTTGAAATAGAACCATGTTAAGTACGAAACTAAATTAAATATGATGTTTTTTTTTAAAATCTATATGTTTGTTCATTTATTGTTGGCCAGGCTGCGACTCAACTTTCCCCGCACTTCAGAACCCGGTTTAATCACTGGTGGCTGCTTCAATTAGTCCCCAGGATCTCAGCAGTGCCATCTTAGCGCTCTTGACACCCGAGGCAACTGGTCACCACGACGCTCATTTTCTTTCGGGAAACACGTGTTACGTCTTCTAGGTGGAAAAGGAGGAGCAGATCCGGCGTATCCGTTTGCGGCATGACAAAACGCTGGTGACGTTCGTGGGACACTTCCCCAGCAAGGGAGAGCTGGAGATGTGGCTGGACCGTCGTTCCCAGGAGAGGCGACAGCTGCACGCCAAGATCCAAGGTCTCAAGTGAGTGCTTCTATCTGTTTCATCAATTGCACCTAGACTGAAAAGTGAGTCATAATCTTGTCATCATCACCCACGGGGGAGAACTTTGGCCGTTTGTTTATTTTTTTTCGTTCTACAATTCTTTTGTCCCGATTGTGTTATAGGCGTCACGTATTGAGGTCACGGCTCCATTAAGAACTCTGCGAGTGGTGCATCACCCAATGTTGAATAACAGTCCACAGAAGGGGATATCACAAAATTGTTTATGATTAATTTAAAGTGACTTGTCCACACAAGTGAGCAGCACTGTCACACCCACCTTGTTAAAGAGAGAAATGTTCTTTGCATGACAGTCAACCCCAATATTTTTAATTCTCAGAGCTGAAATGGGTGTTTTTGTGAAGTTATGGGTGACCGAACTGAGACAATCAACGTGCGAAACCCAGTTGAATTGCAGATTAATTACCTGTGTTTAAACCCAAGATCTCAGCAATGCCAGCTGGACCTCTGAGCCACCTGGCCACCTCTTGCTGCAATTTGTTTGGCAAATCGCCTGATGAAGCTGGTTGTATTCACCAGCAAAACGTCGTACTCAAATTGTAAATGTTGTGGGTTTTCATCTCCAGCACACTGGCATGCTAAAGTAGTAATTAAGTAGCACGTTTTGTTTACCTGACAAACCTTACAAATTAGCTGTGTCGGGTGGTGGTGGGTTAACGACACATTTATATTTATGCAATCTAACCCATAAAAACCTTTCGTTCTCCTTGAGTGTGTCTATGTCTCACGACCTTCGCTGGCGGGGTGCCTTTTACCACTGGGCACCTTTGTGCGAATCTAAAACCACAGCAAGCAGCTGGCATCGGCGGAACAGAACAAGTCCCACCTGACGACGGAGCTCCGTCGCAAGGAGGAGCGACTCAAGGAGAACGAGGAGCAGCTGTTTGAGCTGTGCGGGGGTCGTGACCTCGAAAGTGATCTGCTGGCGCTGCAGGACCAGATTGAGCGCACCAACAAGCAGCGAGGTGGGGTGATGGTTTGCACGGTCCTGCCGATATAATTTAATTATTGTAACTCTTGATTATCCTTGGTCAGGTTATTTGTGTTGTGGATTAACCGTGCTCATTTCAGCCTCTTAAAGCACATGCTGTTTTAATGCTTAGTTGCTACTCATTTGTTGGGGTCAGTGACTCGGTGCCCACAGCACCACAAAAATATCGACAAGCAAATCGATTACGTCAGGAAAAACATATCACCATTGTATGTCTTTACCTTCATTCTTTGTAGCTAGATGATACATACGTGTTTTTTTTTTTGCCTAATTTTCAGATGTTTTATATCATCCGTGTTTTAGTTGTATCTGGGCCACCCCTGCCACAGATAATTGGGAACTGACGTCTAATTTTCTCATTGCCTGCTCCCAATCTGCTCTGGCATTCGTCACGGACCCCGCCGCCCGTCCCATTCCTCTCCGCGCGACACGTAGCGATGCTCGCCGGTGCCTCGGCCGTGTACACCCAGTTCATCAGCCAGCTCACGGAGGAGTCTGGACCCGACGACGTGGAGGGTATGGGGGCGGCGGCAGGGTGTGGCGGCGGCGGCGGCGGCGGCGGCGCTGGTCAGGGGTCGCCGTGCTGCCCCGTGTGCCAGCGTGCGTTCCAGTCCGAGTCGGACCTCGCCGAAGTGGTGAACGACCTCCAAGCCAAGCTGCGGCTGGTGCCCGACAAGCTGCGGGCCACCGAGACCGAGCTGACTCGCAAGCAGAAGCGGCGCGACAACATGATCCAGCTCAAGCCCGTGCAGTGAGTGCTGCCGGGGTCGGGTCACAGCTCGGGTTGGGGGTGGGGGGTCGGTTACGGTTGCAATCGCAATTAGCGTTGGGGGAATTGGTAGAAGCGAGGTTCGCGTGGGGACTTGCACCACCCTTGCCTTGGTTGGGTTTGCATCGGTCGCTGAAGTCCCCTGTTGTTTTTGTTTGACGTGATTTGTTGATTGAAATGAAACTCATGGGTCTGTGTAGGTGTGTCTTCGAGTGGTGCTCTGTGGTTTAATTAATGCTGGCTTAGTGCTTGTGTGTTCGGCTGCGTGGTGTCTTGGGAATAAAATGTTGGTGTTGTGCAGACTATGCCAGGCTGCGTATACATACATACACATACAAAAACGAGCTCACGTGTTCCTCATCAAGATTGTCTGTATGGTTTAGCTTGGAGTTGTAGCGCAGTGGTTAGGGCACCGCACTATGAACCCAGGGACCTGAATTTGATTCCTGGCCATGACTACGATCAGTGCCGAGTGATATCTGTACCGGTCCTGCCCCCCCCCTTCACCAACCCACACTACCAGTGTGGTGAAGTATGGTCATACAACCCGTAAAAAAACCTCTATTATGGATGGAAATTATCATTCAGAGGATTGGCCTTTGCTTGAAATATCTTCTGATACAGTGTTACATTATAAAGCGGTGTTAATGACCAATGTGGCACATGTATTATTTATTACTACACGTTTGTTTACCCAGAAAGGTCTGACTGAGTGCACAACTGTCGAGGCGGCCCTGTAATATTTTATTTGTATAAACCTATATGCCTAAGATCAACTCGCCTGAAATACGCCTGGTGTTAAGGTTTTCTGAAGCTACGCAGCGTTTTGAGCCTGGATAGTGCCCCAACAATTGATCGTGTCCTCCTCTTCGCTTCCTCCTCCACTCCTCACAGGCAGAGGGTGGTGGAAACTAGCGAGAAGGAGCTCCCAGAGCTGCGCAACCGTCTATCGAGCCTCAACCAGGAGATCCAGCGGCTGAAGAACTCTCTGGACGAGGAGGAGACGCTGCAGGCCACGCTCGAGTCCGAGGAGGACGCCGTCAAGAGCTGCCAGCAGGACGTGGCGCTCATGGACCGCTTCCAGAGCGACCTCAGGGAGCTGGAGAGGAAGGTGGCGCAGCAGATGGCACGACTTGCGGGCGTGGACGTGGAGCGCACGCTGCAGGTGGTCGGGGACGAGAAGCAGGATGTTCAACGCAAGCTCGACAACGGTGAGGGAGTGGCCGGTCGTTAACCCCCTTTCCCGTTCCGATGATGACGTACCTACGTGTGCATCGTCAAGTTTTTTCCTCTCCGATTCAGTTCCGATTACATACGTTTACATCATCGGAATGGAATCGATACCGAATGGAATCGAATCCAATTCTGAAAGGTATTGGGAGGGCGTGTGGCACAGTTTGGTGCCAGCTATCATAAGAGTACGGTCGTGCCGCTACAGTTCTCTGCAGTGAGAACAGTACAATGTCTTTAAAAACAGCAGTGCTAAGCCTCTCTAAATTAAATTAACGCTCAGCGCTTGCGCGTTCCGAGATTCATCAGTGAACGGGAAACTCGCCGCAACTTGCAGACGTCTCAGAACGGGAAAGGGTTAATGCTGCTATCGTCACTACGGTTGTGTTGGACCGGCAAAGGGACGTAGCACTCACCACGCCACCCGGACATTCGCAACAAATCCGTGCATATGGAGCACTCGTTGGTGGAATTGGTCAAATGTTCAGGATAGCAGAATGATGGTCTTAGAAAAGTGACACGACACTCTATGAGCTTTTCCTGGATGGAAATATGAATACAATTATTCACCCGCTTATACATCCTAAGATGCTCACTACACTTGAGATTCTGGTTTAATAACAGGCAGCTGAAACCTGGATCCAAACCTCGGGTCTCAGCGATGCAGGTTCAGCACTCTGACCAGAACCAGCCAGCCCCACCCCTTACCGTTATTGTTTTAAACATCAATGACAATGCCGTATCTCATGCCCATAGCCGTGGGTGATCTTCCCGAGTGGACTTCCCTTTTTGCAAACTCAAAACCACAGTGAGTAGCTGTCCCCAGCTGAGCAGGGCAGGTCCAACGTGGGCCTCCTCGCAGCAAGGTGGAATATTCACACCGCTTGTGCCGCACGGGCTGCGCGTGTTCCCCCTTTACAGTGAACAACGCTTTGGAGCTGAAGCGATTGGCGCTCGAGACGGACGTGGAACGCATCAACGAGCTTCGGTCGAGGGTCAACTCCGTGCGGGAAGAGAGGCTGCGGCTGGCGGCTGGCATGCAGCGCATCCAGGCGCTGCGATCCGTCACTGCCGAGCTGGAGGCCGAAACGAGCGACCTCAAGAGGCAGATCCAGGTCATTTGGGGGGCGCCGTGTTTTGACACCAGAGGTCACGGGGTGGCTTCTCGAATTCCATTTGGGATTCTGGTCAAAGAACGACCCACCCCGTCCGTGGTGGTTGACGGGCATCACTGGCCGGAGTGTTGGTGGGATAAAGTGTCGGTCCTCCCGTGTCTGGGCAGCGTGGAGGGAGCTCGAGAGTGGAGGCCCTTCTGCATTTGGTGCCTTGAGCAAGCAATTGCAGAGCTGTAGATTCCCTGACAAATTAGTATCGTCTTAACACATTTGTGTCGTGTTAAATGCGTGTTGTCTTAAATTTAATTTGCCTTTAAATTGTATTGTCTTCATGGGTATTTTGCGTAACGTGCTAAGGTGACTGTAGGCGCTGGTGCTTACATGTGTATAATCTTAACATACCAAGTTGAATGTCGGCACTCTCTAATAGCGCCAGCCTGCATGACTAAACGTGTGTATCCTTGCGTGGGTGCAGGAGGCACAGGAGCAGGTGCTGCCACTGGAAGGAACGCTGAGGAAGCTTCAGCAGGAAAAGGCAGAAATCACAGCGAGGAAAACTCGCGAGCACAACCAGGAAGCACGCCGGGTACTTGGCCGCAACTTCCTGCTCCGTGAAGACATTTGTACACGAAACAAATTCAGTGTTTGCAAGTAAATTTACTATCACGTCCAATGTATCTGAGTTCTGTCGCTGATTTCCGATATGTTTTCCACCACTTACCACCCATTTTTAAAAGCTTTCCATGCTGCAGTGTTTGTGATGGTTACATTTATAAATGTGTTTTACGCGTGTTGGTTTTTGACTCCAACAGATAACTGATTTGCAAGATAAAAACAAGAACATAATAACATACATGAAAGAAGTGGACACATACATTAATTCTGGACGAGACCAGCTTAATAAGGTAAGTTACACGTTATATTTATATTCCTATTATTTACTTAGTGCGGCAGCGATTATATCAATACGACTTCCCTTTCACGACTGTTTTACGTGGCTTTACCACTTTATGTAATATGAACTTGAAAGTGCAGTGCACTACTTGCACAGCTTGAAAATTGTGACACTCAACCTCTGCACTCACTCTCATTAGAGCAAAGGCAAAGATTCCCCTGTATAACCTTAACAGACTGTTGGGGCAAGTGCTGTTAGCGAGCACCTATGAAGGCCGGCACGGCACACGAGGGGTTGGGTGGCCAACGCCACGCCCGGCCGCCTTTGTCTCCCTATTGGTGATGTTTACACACCGCACCAGGTAATCATCTAAGGCTGAGTCGACTTAGGGGAGGCCCGGGACCGATTCAGAAAATCCTCACTGGTGATAGCCGTGAGCGGGAATCGAACTCGGATCGCCGGGTTTGTAGCGCAGTGATAGAGCATTCGCTTTCTCATGAACACAACGCGCGGTTCTCATGAGCATCCCATGGCGTGAACAGAAGAAGGAACTGGAGATGCAGGAGGTGGCGAGGGAGCTGAGTGGCGAGGAGGAGAATCAAGTGCAGATCGGCCGCGACATCAGCGGCATCCGGCAGGAAATTGACACGCAGAAGGTTCGCACAAGGACGCACGCACGCACAATCGTCCACCTCCACAGAGCTCAGGGCAGCGGCTTTTGGCTCACCCATCGAACAAATACGGTCACTGCATCGCGCGCTTTCAGATATGCTTCTGCGGGCCGTCTGGAACGCTCTTCCGATATTAGGAAGCCACTGGAGCTATGGACTTGTACATCTAGATTACAAACTTTCTTTAGAACTGCTTTTTGCGTTTAGTTTGTTGTCCTTCCCCCGCACCTCTGATTAGCACTGTTGGCTACGTACGGTGTGAAATAATTTCAACATACATACAAGGTTCCAAACTGCCTCCTAAGACAACTTGAGCTCTCTTCATCATGAAAAGTGTGTCAGGGATGCACAAAGCAACCAACATAGGACTTCCTTCAGTTATAAACCTCCATGAGAGGGATGACGAACCGAGTATTCACTCCTTACTGGAATTTTAACCGACAACCGAAAGATTGAAAGTCGGGTACTACCAGAATACCACCTGGTTCCAGGGTTGGCAACTAAAAAAAAACAAGAAGAGCCATTAAAAAATATATATAATTCAGTAAAAAAAACTCTATTTAAAAATCCGCAATGCATGTGAATATGTACATAACATCACGAAGCAATCCGTCAAGAGCCACATGCGGCTCCAAAGCCGCAGAGTGCCGACCACCTGGTCTGGTTGTGTTGAGGGTCGGGTAATTGAGAGCCGCTGTATTGTCTTGTACTTCAGTAGACGATGAGTTAGTGGGACTTCACTCGCGGTGACCAGGCCACACTCCTCTTCCCAGCTCAAGTTGTCGTTTTTCACCGACGTGACTTTACCGAAAGAACCAAAGAGTATGGATCCTTGCAGTCACGACAACTTCGAATCTAGAATCAAGTTGTCGTCTCGCCCGCGCTGCCGCAGGTACGGGAGCGCTGCCTGCAGGACAACCTGACTCTGCGACGACGCCAGCAAGAGCTCGCGAACGTGGCCAACAACATTAATCGCCTGCTGGAGAAGATGGGCAGCATGAACGTCATGCAGCTGAAATCGTGGGTTTTTATCAAGCGCAGCTAACAACCACCTCTTGACCTTCTACCGAGAAATGTTAACTGCGACTCGAATCACAATGGTCACATTCGTGAGTGTTGTCGTGGTTGGAAGGGTTAGCGCGCGCTGGTTCCATGCACTGCACCGTGAACCCCGTGACCTAAGTGAAATTCCTGTCCAAGGTTAACATAACTGGTGTGTAATATCTGAACTAGTCCTTAGCCTCCGCCGTAACCATATCGCACGAACCAGTGTATTGAAGTACGGTTGAAATAATCCCCATGACCGATACGGTATGAGGATGCTTTTGTCCGTCATTGGATTGACGTAGGAGCGCGCGCGTTCATTTTAAAGAGCTTCACAAGACGTCCGTCTATGTGCAAGCAAATAAGAGGGCAACGTTGTCGTTCTACATTCGCGGCAATTAAATTATTGATCGCACAGCCTCTTTGAGTGATGGTGGCCGACTTGGGGTCATCTGTTGCTGTGTGCGTGCAGAGAGCAGGAGCGGCTGATCGGTCACCTGGAGGAGCTGAAAAGCAAGCGGAGTCGCGCCCTGGGAAGGCAGCAGGGTCTTCAGGACGCGAAGTACAAATTCGAAGTGCAGCTCAAGGAAAAGCAGTTTCGAGATGCTGCTAAGGAGTACATGGACAACATAATCGTCATGAAAACGAGCGAGCTTGCCTGCAAAGACCTGGACGTTTACTACAAGGCTCTGGACCAGTGTGAATGCTTTCCATCTTTGTTCTTTTTAATCGTCGTCGGTTGTGCTCGTTTCGTTCGTAAAATTGCCGTGGTGTTGATTTTTTTAGCGGCGGCCACATGCAGAGCATACGCAGAGTTTGTTTTCATTTTCTTGCAGGTGTGTGCCGTGAATTCCTACCGTACGTTTTTTAATTGTGTTCATTTGCCCATCACGTTATGTTAATTTGTTCATGATTTTTTTTCTGTCATTCAGGGCTATCATGAAATTTCATAGCATGAAGATGCAAGAGATCAACAAGATTATCCGTGACCTGTGGAGGAACACTTACAGGAGTCAAGGTAAATTCAAACACATTCAATTTGTACAAATGCCTTCATGAAGTTAATTCAACACCAGTTATCCCACACCACGTTGAAGATGTTGTATCACATCTAACATTCCTGTGGAGGGAGCTGGTAGGAACGTTGGGTTGCTCGGTCAATGGCCAGGGTCAACGGCGGCACCACGTGGTGTATTCCGCAAATATGCCCGACTGTGAGGGCGGGCACAAGCCGGCATGAGTAGGTTAAACGTTGAGTTTTATCAGGGCACCACGGGGTGACCAGCCCCTCCCCACCCAGCCCCACCCCTCCTACCCCCCACCCAGCCCCACCCTCCCCACAAAGCCCCTCTCCACCCTCCCCACCTAGCCCCCCCCACCCAGCCCCTCCCCACCCTCCCCTCCCCACCCAGCCCCTCCCTCCCCACCCAGCCTCTCCCCACCCTCCCCTCTCCACCCAGCCCCACCCCTCCCATTTTTGGATGCATGACGGACGGACACAATAATCCCCTGTGGGCTGGTGTAACCAGGAGTTTCCTACCAGTATTAGAGTGAACATTTAACCTGTGACTATGTTCACCCTAATGCTTTGGACCAACTCAGTTGGGTGACAGTGGTTTGATTCCTGCCTGTGGCGAACATTCGTGGTGAGTCTTGGTCCTGGGACCACCCCATCACCAACTTACTTAAACCAGCAGGTGAAGTATTGTTAAACAATACGTATATATTTTGAACTTCTTTCGCACCATACGTAGCCAACCGTGCTAATCCGAGGTGCGGGAACAACACGGGGAGTCCTTCATCTAGCAGTGGACTATGTGAATGGAAGTCCCGAGCTTTTAGTTTTCGTGTAAAAGTAAAGAGCGCTCACAGCCACTTCCCCCGTCACGCGAGTGTAGACATCGAGTACATCGAGATCCGATCGGACGCTGACGAGAGCGCGTCGGCCTCCGACAAGCGGCGCAACTACAACTACCGCGTGGTGATGGTGAAAGGGGACACGCCTCTGGACATGCGAGGTCGCTGCAGTGCTGGCCAAAAGGTCTGGAAATCCTGATGTCTCCTTTGTTTTCCTCTCCTCGTGAATCCTGCACAGATTACTCTGGCTCAACAACACCGGCGAGTCGACTGCCAACTTCCAACTGTGTGTCTCTGGCTCGCCGATCTGTTTCTGGGAGTGGGATTTCCCATTTTCAGATGTATTCGAGCATGTTTGCTTTTGTCGTCCTCTAGACCAGAGGTGGGGAATCGGTGCTCTGTGGCTCATGTGGCTGTAGGCCACTTCAAAATGGCCTGCACTCAATATTTGTCCACTTCTGCAAGAATCTTAGTTGCACCAATTGGGTATTCGAGGAAGTTGTTTTCAACCTTGGAAATAGTGCGTTTCTAATTTTGAAGTGACGGACGTGACTGATGTGTGTGAAAATGTGTGGCCTCCCAAAGGTATTTTAAAGTTCTATTCGGCTCTCGCTAAGGTAAGGTTTACAAACTGTGCTCTACACCGTGTTCCACTGATGTTGCTATACAGGACGATGTTGGGAAATGTTTCAAGAGAAAACTTCCAGATCACAAAATTACCAAAGTCACGTGTCTCCTGACTGGGGTCAAATTGAGAAACGTGAAACGTCAAGATTCCTTCGTCTGTGGCTCTCTGTCTTGCTTTCCCAGGTACTGGCGTCGCTGATTATCCGGCTGGCCTTGGCAGAGACGTTTTGTCTGAACTGTGGCATTTTGGCCTTGGACGAACCGACCACCAACTTGGACCGAGAGAACATAGAGAGCTTGGCACATGCACTAGTCGAGTAAGAATGCATTGATGGCTCCTGCATTTGCTTGCTTCAACGAATGCTGCCGGTTAAAATCAGTCCGTAAAGCCGGCAGGCCGTTGGACATTTCAATTGTATGTGGAGACACAGAACGGAGTTTTGCTTGTATATTTTTCTGCCCATAAAGCACCACAACAATGCCGAATGAGTTTGTATGACATCGCAATGTCGGATGTGGTGATGGATTTGCATAGTTCGTGCAAGACGTAAAGTACAATAACTTCACTTTACTATTTAATAGTTCTGTTTTTAAACTCAACATGCGCTTGTCCACTCTTAGAGCACTCGTGAAAATTCCTCACACAGTAAATGTTGAGTCCCGCGCGCTCAAAACGCTGTAAAACGTTAAGGGGAAGTTACTTTCATAAGGGCCGCTTGTAACAGGTGCCCTGAGAGAACACATTCACCCCAACCTGGTCCCGTCTCTGAAATTATCTTCCACTCCTTTATTCTATCGCTTGCATCATAATTACAGCCTTACCTACTTGTAAGATCAGTTATCACCACTTACTTCATCCTTTCCTTTCTCGCAACGTGAAATCACTAATGAGTTTCCAGCAGAGGCCCAAATCTCAGGTCACTTGTGAAGCTTTGAAATCAAGAGGCTTCTGCATTTTTGAGCACATTATAACGCTCTCTCAGCGCTTGCGCAACATCTGCGTGCTTGTAAGAGTGCAGCTATTTATATTGATTGTGTTAATTAGCACATTCCTTAGATTAAGTTTTAGGTGACATGGCTGGGGGGGGGGGGGTAGGCTGCTTTTCAGTTGGTTTTGTAAGCCTGGATCCCAAATACAGTTAAACCTTGGATTGCGAGCATTATTCGTTCCGGAAACGTGTTTGTAATCCAAAGCACTCGTATATCAAAGGACTTATATATCAGTTGTGATCACGTGACGCTCGGCAGACAAAGCGTATACGTACACTGCTCGTATTGCAAGATCCTCGCTTGTTTATCAAATTAATATTTATTTAAAATTTTTGCTCGTCTTGCAAAACACTCGCAGACCAAGTTACTCGCAATCCAAGGTTGTACTGTATATCAGAAGCTACACCACAATAACACCAGTCATTATGCAGTTTTTGCATGCAAGAGATGTGGATTTGCATACGCTCACAAAATAAATGGATGTCATGCGCGTAGTTATTTATGGCAGAATATAATTAGGCATTGTAAGTCTGTAAATGTTTCCCCTGACGTTAATGCTGAAGGTAAAACATGTTTGTAACAGTCTTGGTCCAAAGTGTGATTGTTTATAGTGTTTGCCTAAAAAACATCTAACTCAAAAGACTTTTCTTGGTGATTTTGTGAATGATATGAACCGTTTCAGTGCTATCCTGCACTGCACTGATAGATTGAAGTCCAAGGCCATTATTTTGAAGGATTGCAATCTGGTTCTAAGTACATCGTTCATTTTTTCTTACACGAGTGTGCACTTTTGGCATCGTTATGTTTCAAATTAAACTTGAGTAAAGTTACCATCACGTGCCAACAAATGTGTGAGGAACGCGAGCTTTATCTAGACTTGTTTATTTTAAGCAAGCATTTGGGTTTCCAAGCTCTGGAAAGATTTTCATTTGAACAGTAACAATTTATGACCACTTCTGTTGCTTTAAGATAAGATAATAACAAGCTGTAATCGATTCCGCTGTTCCGGATTGCTTGCGAAAGCGAGTCAAAAGAGTAGAGATTGACTGTACACTTGCCTTGCAGGGAGTCGGAAAGCCTGGCGGGGTAAGTATGCGATAAGAGTTCGGCATCTCTCTGCTCTGCAGGATCATAAAGAGCCGCTCGCGACAGCGGAACTTCCAGCTGCTGGTGATCACTCACGATGAGGACTTTGTGGAGCTGCTGGGCCGCTCCGAGTACGTGGACCACTTCTACCGAGTGCGGAAGAACAACGAACAGTGCTCTGAAATCGTCAAGTGCAGCGTCAGCACCCTGCAGGCATCCGTTGCGTAGATCTTAGACTCCAGCGCATCGGGAGGTGGCCCCGTCTTTTTGATTCCTTGTAACGCGGGGCCTACTAAGAGGCCTGGAAATATATTCTTAGGGACCAGAGTATGCCATTGAAAATATTACAGCTGTACTTTTGTGGGTGCAGAGTAGGAGCATATTACTGCGTAAATTTTGCAGTTGTGCTGTATAGCCCTCTGATGTGATTTTGGGTTTGGACGCATGTCTGCTTGGCATGATGGATGTGTCGCTCCTTTAGAAACTTCATTCACTTCATTGACTTCAACAGTTCTTGAAAAACTTTGCAAATGAAGCAAACATTGGCTAGCATATCGAGAAATACGCAGTACAACCTAAAAATACATAGGATAGCTACAATAGAAATTTCCTAAATCAGTGCTGTCCATATTTTACATTGATTCGGTTGGCCGTGATTTGCCATGAGTTGAGTTTTATAACTTGATTCTCAATAACATTGACTCCAGGAGCATTTACTGACGTAAGGTTATTGTTAAATACACCTTTCTCGGGGAAAATTGTCATTAAAAAAAATGTTAAGTTTAAAGTTATTTTCAAAGGGAACGTATGAACATTATGCACGTTCTACACAAACAAAAAATTTTGATTGGATGACATGACCGTGTAAAAAAATGTGTGGAACTATAAAAGCAACTTTTGTTCTTCCACAAATGCAATGGTGATCTTTGTTTGGCCCACAGTCGTAACCAACATGTGATGTGAACTGTTATGTGCACAGGTGACCAAAGTGGCCTTTGACTGAAATTTTGTTGACACCTTACTTGACTTTAGTTATAACGAGTGCCTGAATTATATACGGTGTTGGATCGATTTAGATGTTTTCTCTTCATAATGTATTTGTTTTGGTGTTTCTTCATCCTATATATTTTTGGAACAGATCAGAATGTTGCGGTGATTTCAGCCGTTTGCTAAAAGTCGTGAACATAATGATCGTGTATCATGTCTGCATATGCCCACGTTTCGGTTTATTGAACATTAGGTTGGTTGCTACCTTCCAAATAACTTACTGTTCCACAGGCTCCAATAATGACCTGACAAAAACACGATTTTCAAATTTGCCTGCCGCCGTAGCAGTCGGAACGTTTGATGCTACAGTTTTAGAATCGTCGCGTAACTCCATGTCACACTTTTGGATATTCCACTTGAAAAAAAAGTGCACATGGATCATTTCGTGGCAGTTTAAAAAAAAATGTTGTGGGCTCCGTGCTTATTCAACTGTCATGTTGAACTCCCATATGACTAAATAGCCACTTGGGGTGTTTGGGAGTTATCCATACTTCGCCAACCCACCGGTCAGGATGAAGTTGGTGAAGGTGGCGGTGAACGTGGTTTAAATTTTGATTTAAAGCTTTCGTAACTGCAGGGATTCTTATTCTTGGTTCTTTCGGTAAAGTCACGTAGAAGGGAAACAATAAAACAATAAAAAAATATAAAACAATAATATTCTCACGACGTTTCGACTGCAACACAAGCAATCATCATCAGGTGTAAAAACCACAGCAAGAAAATTTGAAATTTTCTGACCTGACAAAAACCACACCTGATGATGATTGCTTGTGTTGCAGTCGAAACGTGAGAATTTTATTATTTTATATATATTTTTTATTGTTTCCCTTCTACGTGACTTTAGCGAAAGAACCAAGATTGTGGGGGGCATTTAAGCACAGTTCAATAGATGTTTCTGCACTGCCCCTCTGCTGTCCACAATGTCACCACACAGCCCACGAGGCCTCTTACGCATGGGGGCCGTCCGCCAATAAACTCTAACCAAGCTCAATCGCTGCTTAGCTTCTGAAATCCGATGAGATCGGGTGCATTGTATGTGTGTGCTTGAACAATATACATGGTGCCCAAGGGTGCGTAAAGCATCAGGACTAATCAATGTGTAAAATAAAGTTTATTAATCACATGTTGAAAAATAAAGGCATGCCTAAATACTGTACAGTGTTTATAAACCGCTGAAACATTTCTTGTTTTATAGTCTTGGAGGGAATTGGTTTAGCAAATCGGTAACCCCACTCCCTCATGTGATATTTATGTGAAGTCATTCAAATGAACGACGTCTTGATTACAATATATTAATGTTAATAGTGTATACTCACTGCACTTGGAGCACAATTCATCATAAAAGTAATCTAAGCTTTAAAAAATACAATGACTGTACATTCTGCTTTTTATGTAGGGGGTTTAAATAATAAAAGTAATAACATTTCTCGTGTTTGTACAGCCCTACTTTGGCAAGTGTAGTGTACACGTGTGTAATGGACTACACCTGTTGAATCTTATTCCATTGAAGATGCAATATTAAAGGGAAATGTAATCAGCATAGTACAGCTCTCATTTGATGTTACACAACAATTGATTGAATGGTAAATTTCAATATGATTAAAGTAACGGCTGGTCACTTGAGTCGATCCACTGACGCAATGATCCTCAAAGCATGATCGTGAGAAACGGCGATGGCTTGGGACGCCTTCATCCAGCAGTGGATCGATCGTGGCCGATGATGAATACTGTGAATGCCTATCCTCCCACGTGCAGCAAACTGGGATTGCTGGGATTTTAATGCAAGAATGTAACGCTTGGATTCGGCATCTCGTCTCTGAGCGTGAGAGCATTGCAGGGTTTTTTTTTAATTCCGTTTAACATACATGGCTAAAAGGAGAATTGAGTGGCGGTAATATTACCATAATTCCAATTGTATTGCAGTGATTCGATTTGCCATGAGGTTTCACATAGCACACATTCTTGGCCGTGGGCAATATAAGCAAATATAAAGTTGGCCACCTGCATCGTTGCATACACTTCGCAAATAAATTGGCGAAAACGGCTGTGGATAATTTGGAAAGGGTTGTAAGACGGCTGTTAAAATGAAATCAAACAGCTGGCAATGGATATGTATTGCTGCTTTTGATGGTTAATGGTCTCTGTAGGTACTGACCACTGCCAGACTGGGCCGAAATGACTCTTACGAATAGAAGTGTTGGCAGCGCTCCTGACAATGAACTCCACTAGAGACACAAGCTACCTTGCCAATAAATAATACTATAAGTCGCCTAAGCTATCGCATATTCTAAGTCACCAGCAATGATTCCTCTCAAACACCCCGTGTGTTGTGGTGGCGGCGGCGGTGGTGGTGGTTGTGTGGCCGTCAGCCGACACCGCTTGGAATATTCCGCCACGATGTGCAGTCGCAATAGCAAAACGGAGTGTACAGGCGGTGCAACTGCCACTGTGGGCCCACGCTGCCGAAAGGACCCAGACATCGGGCCACAAACCGGACATTGCACCCCCATTCCATTCCCTTGGCGTGACGAAGTGCCCCTTGCCATCAGCGGTCTCTCTCTCTCGCGTGGTGGGGGTTCGGGGGTTGACGCTTCACTCGGTGCACTCGGTGCAGCGCTGCAGGCCGTTCTCGTTACAGGACGTGCAGCGCAACGCCCTGGGACGCTCCCCGAAGTTGGTCCGCACTTGCGACACTTTGCTGCCGCGGCAAGCCAGGCACGGCACGAAGCGGTAGCCGCCGCAGTGCGCGCACTTGCGTGGAGCGGTGTTCCTCTGTGGGGAGGGGTGGGGCAGGGATGGTCAGAGAGACGGTGGATGGACACGGGTGAGAGGGAGCGTTGTGGATATTGGCATATCTGTGAACCCCTTATCGGTGCCTACGTTATGACAAGCAAATTAAGACCTTATTGGTCAAAATCTCAACGTTCATCCTGCAAAGTCCCATCACAAGGGAGAAACACAAACAAATAAGACTTTTTTTGCCTGAATTGAAACGGCTGTATGCCGTATGGACCTGAAGAATACGGGGTAAACCGTATGGGTTGACAGGTATGTTTTGGGATGAAGGTTGGATTTTAAATATGGAGATTGCATTCTCGGCTCACTCTCGTATTATCGGATTGGAATTTATGACGCTTTTGATTGTTTATTGTTAATTCACTCCGTGAAATCTTTTAAATATAAATCATGAATAGCATTTTTTTTAAATACATAGAGATTCATCAGTAAAGCGATCATTTTACTTTACGAATTTTTATACGTTCTTAAATAATCAAAACGATGTAATTGGTTTAAAGCTTTCGTGACTGCAGTAATTCATATTCTTAGCTCTTTCAGTAAAGTCACGTTGAAGGGAAACAATAAAATATATATAAAACAATAAACACATTTTTTATTGTTTTTATTGTTTTATATATATTTTATTATTTTATTGTTTCCTTTCAACTTGACTTTACCGAAAGAGCTAAGAAGATGCAATCGGCATTTATTGTGGGAATCGCGCTGATGTTATGCCACTGTGTCATCACATTTTCGGATCATCCGACGTTTCACGCACTGCCCAGATTCATTATATATTTTTCAGATCAATCTGGATGGAAATGGGGAACACGTCCACAGTTGTGGATGAGAAGAGATGGCGAAAGGGAAAACAGAAACGCGGTACGGTGCAGCAGGATCGTGCAGCAACAAATGGAGCGGACGCGTGGAAGAATGTGGCCGACGAGTTGGATTGAGCGAAATGCCAAGAGGCTTTGGATGTTAGAAAGCTGAGTTATTGGCAGGAAATAGAAATTGTAGCAACTGAACAGGACACAGAGTTGGGGTGAAACAAGACGAAGGCAGAGAACCAGGTACGTATACGAGCTATTCTTTAAACTATTACAATTTTTTACCAGGTAAGATCCACTGAGCTCTATAGCTCTTTCTCAGATGCGACCCGGCCACAAATAAACGCTCAACGAAGTGGCTCATCATGTGTAAATTGACAGCAGACAAATATATTCTAAACTCACGTTGATTCTAAATGTGGAGGAGAAAACCACGTGACCACGCAGAGAACATACAAACTCCAAATATATAGGCGGCGGTGTCGGGATCGAAGCCACAACCTTCCGAATACCAAGCGAGGAAGTTAACATCTCTCCACCGTGGAACTGTGGTAATATAATCCAGACACTCAGGATCCTTGTAGAAAGGACATGAAACAAGTGTATCTTCAGTTTTATACTCGTGCCCTCAGCCAACTGTTAGATGTTCATCTTGCACTACTATTTAGAAATGAACCAAATTAGTCATTAAAATGTCGCCTGACTCAGTTGCTGGTATAACGGGCCATACTTGATTTGGCGTTTTCGTGACTGCAGGAATTACTCTTTGTTTTTTTCGGTAAAGTCACGTCTGTGTTGCTTTATATGGTTTCAAAATTTTGCTAAACCCTGTTTGATTTAGTGTGCTCCTCCGTCTATCTCTGTATCCCCTGGTGTATCTGTGTTAATTCCCTCCACTTGGGTGTCTGTATATATATCTGCGGTTATGTGTTTCCTCTTTTTAATTTATCTCTTCTGTACCTGATGATGATTGCTTGTGTTGCAATCGAAACGTCGTACGCTATTATGTAATTTTTTTATTATTTCTTATTTTTACGTGACTTTACCGACAAAAACCAAAAAGAATAACGGGCCATGTATACAATATATGATAATAAATACTGTGAACTATATAACTGCATGGTGTCTACAGCCTAGGGTGGAACGGCCACTGCACAGCAGTTCACCCACGGTGCTGAACCCAGTGACTTGGAGTGGAGCCCACCGGCTAACGTCGGTGGTGATTCATATCTGATGCGGTCGCCGTGCTCCCTTCACGAACCCACACTGACCAGTGTGGTGAAGTATGGTCAAACAATTCCCATAACCAACACGGTGTGGGGAGGCCTTCATCCGGCAGCGGATTAACGAAGGGCTGTAAGTTATCATTTAAAAAAAAAAAAAACATTATATGAGTAGAGAACCATGTTCCGCAAAATAAGAGACAGCTTTCATGTGCATACTATTCTGACGTTCCCCTATTTGGAACACTAAAATTAGCCTGCTGTTTTACGTAATAAAATGCCAAAGCAGTATGTATCTTGAGGCTTTGTTTTATATTCTCTCGCACTTAAATCATATTTTGACGAAATAATGACATCAATGGGAGCACACATTTACGAGAGCAATATTAAATGAACCATGTCGGTCTTCTGTATTCATTACTCCCACGTCTTGGGTGTCGCTTTCTATTTAATGCCTTGCGAACTTCTTCCGCCGTTTCAAATGAATGTGTATTTGTTACACAGAAACATCTCGTGTAGCCAGTTACCCAGCTAGTTTAGGTGGCAATGCCCCCCAAAGCAATCACGAACAACAGAGCTATTGTTGCGGTGGTGAGGAGCCCAGCCAGTCACTAACAACAGAGTTATTGTTGGGTGGTGAGTAGCCCAGCCAGTCACTAACAACAGAGTTATTGTTGGGCTGGTGAGGAGCCCAGCCAGTCGCTAACAACAGAGTTATTGTTGGGTGGTGAGTAACCCAGCCAGTCACTAACAACAGAGTTATTGTTGGGCTGGTGAGGAGCCCAGCCAGCCACTAACAACAGAGTTATTGTTGGGTGGTGAGTAGCCCAGCCAGTCACTAACAACAGAGTTATTGTTGGGTGGTGAGTAGCCCAGCCAGCCACTAACAACAGAGTTATTGTTGGGTGGTGAGTAGCTCAGCCAGTCACTAACAACAGAGTTATTGTTGGGTGGTGAGGAGCCCAGCCAGTCACTAACAACAGAGTTATTGTTGGGCTGGTGAGTAGCTCAGCCAGTCACTAACAACAGAGTTATTGTTGGGCTGGTGAGTAACCCAGCCAGTCACTAACAACAGAGTTATTGTTGGGTGGTGAGTAACCCAGCCAGTCACTAACAACAGAGTTATTGTTGGCTGGTGAGGAGCCCAGCCAGTCACTAACAACAGAGTTATTGTTGGGTGGTGAGTAACCCAGCCAGTCACTAACAACAGAGTTATTGTTGGGTGGTGAGTAACCCAGCCAGTCACTAACAACAGAGTTATTGTTGGGTGGTGAGTAACCCAGCCAGTCACTAACAACAGAGTTATTGTTGGGTGGTGAGTAACCCAGCCAGTCACTAACAACAGAGTTATTGTTGGGTGGTGAGTAACCCAGCCAGTCACTAACAACAGAGTTATTGTTGGGTGGTGAGGAGCCCAGCCAGTCACTAACAACAGAGTTATTGTTGGGTGGTGAGTAACCCAGCCAGTCACTAACAACAGAGTTATTGTTGGGTGGTGAGTAACCCAGCCAGTCACTAACAACAGAGTTATTGTTGGGTGGTGAGGAGCCCAGCCAGTCACTAACAACAGAGTTATTGTTGGGGTGGTGAGTAACCCAGCCAGTCACTAACAACAGAGTTATTGTTGGGTGGTGATGAGCCCAGCCAGTCACTAACAACAGAGTTATTGTTGGGCTGGTGAGGAGCCCAGCCAGTCACTAACAACAGAGTTATTGTTGGATGGTGAGTAACCCAGCCAGTCACTAACAACAGAGTTATTGTTGGGCTGGTGAGGAGCCCAGCCAGTCACTAACAACAGAGTTATTGTTGGGCTGGTGAGTAGCCCAGCCAGCCACTAACAACAGAGTTATTGTTGGCTGGTGAGTAGCCCAGCCAGTCACTAACAACAGAGTTATTGTTGGGCTGGTGAGGAGCCCAGCCAGCCACTAACAACAGAGTTATTGTTGGGTGGTGAGGAGCTCAGCCAGTCACTAACAACAGAGTTATTGTTGGGTGGTGAGTAGCCCAGCCAGTCACTAACAACAGAGTTATTGTTGGGTGGTGAGTAACCCAGCCAGCCACTAACAACAGAGTTATTGTTGGGTGGTGAGTAGCCCAGCCAGTCACTAACAACAGAGTTATTGTTGGGTGGTGAGTAGCCTAGCCAGTCACTAACAACAGAGTTATTGTTGGGTGGTGAGGAGCCCAGCCAGTCACTAACAACAGAGTTATTGTTGGCTGGTGAGGAGCCCAGCCAGTCACTAACAACAGAGTTATTGTTGGGGTGGTGAGTAACCCAGCCAGCCACTAACAACAGAGTTATTGTTGGGTGGTGAGGAGCTCAGCCAGTCACTAACAACAGAGTTATTGTTGGGTGGTGAGTAGCCCAGCCAGCCACTAACAACAGAGTTATTGTTGGGTGGTGAGTAACCCAGCCAGTCACTAACAACAGAGTTATTGTTGGGTGGTGAGTAGCCCAGCCAGCCACTAACAACAGAGTTATTGTTGGGTGGTGAGTAGCCCAGCCAGTCACTAACAACAGAGTTATTGTTGGGTGGTGAGTAACCCAGCCAGTCACTAACAACAGAGTTATTGTTGGCTGGTGAGGAGCCCAGCCAGCCACTAACAACAGAGTTATTGTTGGGTGGTGAGTAGCCCAGCCAGTCACTAACAACAGAGTTATTGTTGGGTGGTGAGTAACCCAGCCAGTCACTAACAACAGAGTTATTGTTGGGCTGGTGAGGAGCCCAGCCAGTCACTAACAACAGAGTTATTGTTGGGTGGTGAGGAGCTCAGCCAGTCACTAACAACAGAGTTATTGTTGGGTGGTGAGGAGCCCAGCCAGTCACTAACAACAGAGTTATTGTTGGGTGGTGAGTAACCCAGCCAGTCACTAACAACAGAGTTATTGTTGGGTGGTGAGTAGCCCAGCCAGTCACTAACAACAGAGTTATTGTGGGGTGGTGAGTAGCCCAGCCAGTCACTAACAACAGAGTTATTGTTGGGTGGTGAGGAGCCCAGCCAGTCACTAACAACAGAGTTATTGTTGGGCTGGTGAGTAACCCAGCCAGTCACTAACAACAGAGTTATTGTTGGGTGGTGAGGAGCCCAGCCAGTCACTAACAACAGAGTTATTGTTGGGTGGTGAGTAACCCAGCCAGTCACTAACAACAGAGTTATTGTTGGGTGGTGAGTAACCCAGCCAGTCACTAACAACAGAGTTATTGTTGGTTGGTGAGTAACCCAGCCAGTCACTAACAACAGAGTTATTGTTGGCTGGTGAGGAGCCCAGCCAGTCACTAACAACAGAGTTATTGTTGGGGTGGTAAGGAGCCCAGCCAGCCACTAACAACAGAGTTATTGTTGGGTGGTGAGTAACCCAGCCAGTCACTAACAACAGAGTTATTGTTGGTTGGTGAGTAACCCAGCCAGCCACTAACAACAGAGTTATTGTTGGGCTGGTGAGGAGCCCAGCCAGTCACTAACAACAGAGTTATTGTTGGGTGGTGAGGAGCCCAGCCAGTCACTAACAACAGAGTTATTGTTGGGCTGGTGAGTAACCCAGCCAGTCACTAACAACAGAGTTATTGTTGGGTGGTGAGTAGCCCAGCCAGTCACTAACAACAGAGTTATTGTTGGGTGGTGAGTAGCCCAGCCAGCCACTAACAACAGAGTTATTGTTGGGTGGTGAGTAGCCCAGCCAGCCACTAACAACAGAGTTATTGTTGGGCTGGTGAGGAGCCCAGCCAGTCACTAACAACAGAGTTATTGTTGGGTGGTGAGTAACCCAGCCAGTCACTAACAACAGAGTTATTGTTGGGTGGTGAGGTGCCCAGCCAGCCACTAACAACAGAGTTATTGTTGGGTGGTGAGTAACCCAGCCAGTCACTAACAACAGAGTTATTGTTGGGTGGTGAGTAACCCAGCCAGTCACTAACAACAGAGTTATTGTTGGGCTGGTGAGGAGCCCAGCCAGTCACTAACAACAGAGTTATTGTTGGGTGGTGAGTAGCCCAGCCAGTCACTAACAACAGAGTTATTGTTGGGTGGTGAGTAGCCCAGCCAGTCACTAACAACAGAGTTATTGTTGGGTGGTGAGTAGCCCAGCCAGCCACTAACAACAGAGTTATTGTTGGGGTGGTGAGTAACCCAGCCAGTCACTAACAACAGAGTTATTGTTGGGTGGTGAGGAGCCCAGCCAGCCACTAACAACAGAGTTATTGTTGGGTGGTGAGTAGCCCAGCCAGCCACTAACAACAGAGTTATTGTTGGGGTGGTGAGTAGCCCAGCCAGTCACTAACAACAGAGTTATTGTTGGGGTGGTGAGTAACCCAGCCAGTCACTAACAACAGAGTTATTGTTGGGTGGTGAGTAGCCCAGCCAGTCACTAACAACAGAGTTATTGTTGCGGTGGTGAGTAACCCAGCCAGCCACTAACAACAGAGTTATTGTTGGGTGGTGAGTAACCCAGCCAGTCACTAACAACAGAGTTATTGTTGGCTGGTGAGGAGCCCAGCCAGTCACTAACAACAGAGTTATTGTTGGGGTGGTGAGGAGCCCAGCCAGCCACTAACAACAGAGTTATTGTTGGGTGGTGAGTAACCCAGCCAGCCACTAACAACAGAGTTATTGTTGGGCTGGTGAGGAGCCCAGCTAGTCACTAACAACAGAGTTATTGTTGGGTGGTGAGGAGCCCAGCCAGCCACTAACAACAGAGTTATTGTCGGGCTGGTGAGGAGCTCAGCCAGCAGCCAGCAGCCAGCCAGGAAACCCGAGGTATAGATTATTTTAATAGTAGTATGATAAAGTCTAAACAATACCCCAGAAACCACAACAGATACAGTTTGGCACATTAAATTCATAGTGCAATCGAACTTTCAAATGACACTGCAATGCAAACACAAAACACATTTCCACATTGTCTGCACCACAAACTGAAACCTTAAAACCATGCCAACACGTTTGATTATTATACCAAACATCTGATAGCGATCCGTATGTGTAAACAGATCGCGTTAGGATCATGACCCATCGCTAACATACAGTTTTGTATCACATACGCTTTACCCTGGAACAAAAACATTTTTGGTACGTGTGCTGTAAAAATGTGACTATTAATTAAAAATGTTATTCCATATCAGGACCGTGATTATTGATCAATTCCGTACATACATCAGAATAAAAAAGTAAATAAAAAATCGCAGTGCTAAGATGTTCAAACACCAAAGAGATTGCAAGGCATAAAGTCTGCACTAACCGCACCAGCAAGTGTGCTTAATGCCTGCTCGTGGTTATCAGAGTGTCTGCATGTTTTGCGGCGCGTATGCGTGATCAATGCAGACTTGATGCCGATTTGGTGTTTGCATATCTTAACACTTCATGTTTCATTGCCATAAATGGTAAAAACCTAGTCTTCTTTTTCATCATCATTTTTGATACCATAGAAATACACCTCGTTTGATTCGTTGCCACTACAAATGAATCATGGTAGGGTAAACAAATATAGAGGCATTCCACGAGCGGAAATAATAAGCAGCATACTACTCTGACACGTAAAGCACAGGCGAGAGGCGATAACGAATTGAATTGAGCATGGCTCTAATTGTTACCTTAAATTGCCTTAAGAATGCCCGAAGCTCTCCCGATTCATTCATAGCCATAAGTCTGTCGGCGCCCTGTGTGGAGGTGTACAAAAGACAGTGGGCTTCTCAGACACACGGCCTCCCCGTCTTTGAAACTGCAAATTTGGGTCATAGAGATTACGAGTGCACATGGTTGATCAAATGTTTGGTATATTTGGTCATTGTATTCGCTTGTTGTCGACACGGCATTGCACGAGACATGCGTTACACGATGCACGGGCACAGGCAAGAAATCCGCAAGCGCTACGAGACGACTCTTCATGTCTGTGAAGAGGCAACACAATCCATGTCAAATATTGTATGTACAGCATGTATTCCCAAATGAATTGTGTATGTCAGCTAGTAATGGGTTCTGTTTTATTTTGATGCAGAGGCACAATGTGTCTTATTAAATATGACCTGCAGCCAAAGTGGACTTAATATATATTTCACGGTCAAATTGTATTTCTCGCTTTCCAGATATTTAAACGTTATCCTCTGAAGAGTCTGCTAATGTGTGACAATGGAGCAGTCGTTAGCACATGCACCCTAAACCTGGTGATCTGAACTAGCTTCCTGGCCATGGCCTATCATCTTTAACGAGTGATGTTTGAACCAGTCCTGGGCCTCCCGCTTTCAACAACCTGCACTGAACAGCAGGGTGAAGTATGGTCTTAAATCAACCCATTACCACTACAGTATGCCGATACCTTTATGCGAAATTATATTCACAGAGCTTTGCGCCTAAAAATAATTACATTTACTGGATGTTTGATTTTTAAAGGCCCTAACTGAAATTATTTGGTAAGTTGCCAAACAAATGAAGGTGTTTGGGTACTATTAGTTTGTTTAGAAGTACTAAATAACGTTTTATCACCGGAATGATCAACCTTGGCTTCATAAAAACAAACTCAAGCAACCAAATTATATCACTCTAAATTAATTCAAGGTCAGTATGCTGATTCATGCCACTTGATTTCTCCATCCACTGACTCACTGCTGCTCGCCTGCCCTACAAATGTCATTGAACCTGTGGGAGTAGCCAACCACAGTGCGTGCAACTTAGACCTCCTTGTTCCACCTTGCTAATGTGGCGAATAATTAATCGTTCAGCCCCGTAGGTTTTCACAACTGTGCGGCTACGGCTCTCAGTTGTCCCGCGCGAAGTTCGCCACGGTGACGGATGCGCCCCAGCCCACTGAGTGAAACGTCGGACATTGGATCGAACAAACACGCAGAACAACCCAAACCTCCCCCCCCCCCCCCCCCCATCGGAGAACCATGAACCCTTTTGCACCTAGCCGACAAAAATGTGATGAAGGAATGCACAGACGCTGAACACGTCCTTACCCCGAAATAGTCACCGTTGATGAATATCGCCGGCAACTCAAGGGGGGTGCCGTGCGCCTGCTGAGGGTCCCGGGACGGCGGCGCCAACTGCATCAGCTCGGTCCGGCACACGTCCTCCGGCTCCGGCGGACCGCGCCACCCCGACGCGGCGTCCGGCTGCGCCTCGTCGCCGGACCTCCGGCGCTGGTCGTGCCTGGGCCCCTGCGCCGCCCGCGCGGCGCTCGCGCCGTTGGGGAGCTGGCGGTGGTCGGCCGCCGAAGGCGGGCAAGGGTGGCGCGTGCGGAGGTCGCGCACGTACTCGGCGTGCAGCGCCACGTCGCGGTCCTCGAAGTGCACGTGGTGGGTGTGCAGGATGCGGCGGGCGTGCTCGCAGCGCTCGAACGTGGAGCGCACCACGCGCACGCTCGTCGTGTAGACCACCAGCTTGCCGATCTCCAGCGGGCGCGGTGCCTACGGGACGGACGGACGGGCGGGCGGAGGTGCGCGCGGAACGAGGATCGGACAGATTCGATCATCGGCGTCGTCAGCAGCAGCAGCAGCCTCTGAAATCCACCTTACATAATAAGCACAGTCAGAATCTGACCGGAGGAATCCGATGAGCTACGAAGCTCTTTTTTCACGGACGTTCAGCACGAGCGCGTGAGCAAGTCACAACAGCAAATAATGCAAACGATGGCGAGTGCAAAATAGAGAAAGAGGTAAGCGAGTCACGAAATATATAACAAACGAATGTATTATATAAGCTCGATTTTGTGAAGATAACACACCACAGTCCCTCAATAAGGATATGTTATCCGTGCATTTAAATTCCGCAAGCCAGACTGCTAGCTAGGTGTGCTGCATGGTCGGAGTAGCAGGCTGCTCTTGACCATAATCATCATCAGCATCAGCCACGATCGAACTGCTTGCTGGATGAAAGCCTCTCCAAGCCATCACCGCCACGACCATCTCTTACGGTCATGCTGAACAGACGGTTACATTGCAGGATCGGCGCAAGTGACCCGTAGTTATTTTACCCGCATTGAAATTTGCCATGTGCATGACATGTTGGCAACACGTGGCTCAAAATGTAAGAGGTGTATTTTGATGATCACATTTCTCTTCACTGTGACATCTACAATGGGGAAAAAAGATTCAAGAGCCGTTGCTCAATGCGCAACTGGGTATACTACACTTCCCAAAGTAGGGCCGTACCAAAGCGAGTAATAAAATGCACTCACGTTACATGAAGTAAATAACAAAGTTTATGTGAGAAGGTAACCTCGACAAGGTGACCCACACCTTTTGGCAAAGTTATTCAGTGACTTTGACGGGAATACAACATGAATATCTGCTATAGTACAATGAAGTGAAAGTTTCAATTGTAAAAAAAAAAACATCAATTAGAAATGACTTTATCCATAAAATACTTCCACAGTTGTAATGCTTGTTTGCAGAAGGAACCAGATATGTTTGATGTTGGGGCCAGTCTAATTTCCGCATATCAGTCACGATTGAATACATTTTCAAACTTATAATAAAAAACCACCACTTCAGATTATGATTGCACAAAACTATAATATACATTTCACTCAACCTCATTGTCCAAGACAGGTAGGCAGGGAGTTTGTGCGTGACCTCGTCCACAGCGATGACCAGGGGTATACCGGATGTGGTGTGTGCCGAGTACTGAAATATTTTCCAGAGTTCAGCGTTGGACAATTCCGTTTGAATGTAAGCCCTGATCATCATCAATCAATCAATGGTCGTCATCCTCATCGTCGTCAATCAATGATCATCATCATCATCAATAATCATCAAACTCATCAATCAATGATTAATCATCATCGTCATCATCATCATCAACAAATCAATGGTCATTATCAATCAATCAATGATAATCAGCATCGTCGTCGTCAATCAATGATCATCATAGTCATCATCATGAACCAATCAATGATCATCATCAATCAAACAATGATCATAGGCTATGACCATTGATATTCCTTTAGGCATGATCCCCCTGTGCTCGCCGCAATGCCCTCGACTGCACCCCACTCGCCGTGTGCTGCTGCTGTGCTACTGCTGCTGTGCTACTGTGCTGTGCTGCTACTGTGCTGCTGTGCTGTGCTGCTGATGATGCTGCTGTTGTGCTGCTATGCTGTGCTGCTATTGTGCTGCTGTGCTGTGCTGCTGATGATGCTGCTGTTGTGCTGCTGCTGTGCTGCTGTGCTAATGCTGCTGTGCTGCTGCTGTGCTGTGATGCTACTGTGCTGCTGATGATGCTGCTGTTGTGCTGCTGCTGCTGCTGCTGTGCTGCTACTGCTGTGCTACTGCTGCTGTGCTACTGCTGCTGTGCTGCTGCTGTGCTGCTGCTGTGCTGATGCTGTTGTGCTGCTGCTGCTGTGCTGCTACTGCTGTGCTACTGCTGCTGCTGTGCTACTGCTGCTGTGCTGCTACTGTGCTGCTGCTGTGCTGCTGCTGATGATGCTGCTGTTGTGCTGCTGCTGCTGTGCTTCTGTGCTGCTGCTGCGCTGCTGATGATGCTGCACTGCTGTTGCTGCTGCGCTGCTACTGCTGCTTCTGTGCTGCTGCTGTGCTGCTGCTGCTGTGCTGCTGCTGCGCGTCTCGCTTACGGAGGGCCGCGTGTCCGCCAAGCCGCCGAAGTGCGCCTGAGCCGCCGACACCTTGTGCCGCACGCCCCGTACTGTGCCGTTCTTGCTCAGGATGTCGGAGCGACGAAAGCACGGCGTGCTTCGAGCCAAGCTGCTCAGGATGAGGTCTGCCTCGTCGCCGGGCTCCTGATGCTGCTGCTGCTGTTGCTGTTCGTTGTTGGGGAGGCAGTCCTGGTACCCGCCTGGCACCGGCTCTGGGGATGTCCTCGCTGCTCCGATCTCTTCAATATCTTTGGCAGCGGCGTCGTGATGCTCCACCTTGCCATTTCTTTCCTCGTACACCTGACCAAACATCGGTTTCACAAGTGGTCTGTTAACTTCCACCCCCCTCCTCCTTCTCCCCCCGCCCCCCCAAACTAATCACACAGAGGTCACAAGTTTATCAAATAAAAAAATAAATGCAGAAAGTGAAAGTATGGGGTGTATTGGCACTATTCAGAAGCCACCGATGGATTTTAACGCATGTATGTTCAACTTGTTTCGCACCATACGGAGCCAACTGTGCTAATCGGAGATGCGGTGGAAGGACAACAAACTAAACACAAAGAGCAGTTCTAAAGAAATGAGTCTTCGATCTAGATTTAAAAGCGCATTGCTCCAGCGGTTTCCTTAATATCGGAAGGAAGAGCGTTCCAGACTGCCGCAGAAGCGCATCTGAAAGCGCGCGATGCCGTGACCACCGTCTTTGTTCGATGGCTCAGCCCAAAAGTCGCTGCGAAGATGATCGGAGTTCTCGTGATGGTTTATGCTCCTTGCCGAGATGAGCGAGGGGTAGCGTGGTTCATTTGTGGCAAGCGCTGAGTTGTTCGTACAGAGAGCACCCTCAACACAGGGCAACGCCGCCGTCGATGCAACGGTGGAAACTCTCGACTGTTAATAAAAAAAACGAGACAACGTGCACCAAACCACTGCTCTCCCCGCATTGCCGAGACCATTGACGGAGGACAGAACCGCGGTGTCCTTAACGCGGCAATTTCACATGCATTGGGGTCCTTGCTGTTTTTAAATGAATCGCGGTGTGCGTCTGTGTGGCTGTAGCCCATGCAGGTCAATGTGTTTTGTTCTCTGTGGACACACATTCAGGAGCGTCTGTGCACACACACACACAAAGCTTCAGTTACGGTAATTTATGTGTGTGCGTGTTTTAAATTGTACTCTTATTACGCATATATGCAATGACACCGTATGTCTGTACAAACGTATTAAGTATTAGATTTGGAATTAACTTAAAAAGCCAAACTGTTGAAATACATATTGATCACCTGTTCTGAATAATGTTCACCTTTTAAGCAAGATTGACCTCGATGTCTTTAGTTACATATGAACAGTCACGTACATTTTTGATTTCCTTACAAAATGTTTAAGTGTTGACTCTTTCCAAATAATGTTCCAATTTAGCTAAGCGCTCAATGGATCTGTACTAGAATGTATAATGTGTATATGGAAGAAAGCAGTGGTTATCGAAATCTGATATGAACCCAGTGACCTGAGTTCGATTCCAGGCCACGGCGAACATCAGCAAGCGGCACGCGTGATATCTGAACAACGTGACTTTACCGAAAAAAACTAAGAACAAGTTCTGGGACTTTCTTCCCACGTCTCACCACGAAACCCACACTGACCAGCGCGGTGTCCACGCGACACCCATGCTCGCTTTAGCCCACGGGGAGACATTTGATCGAAGCATCATAGATTGACAAAGAGCTTTAACATTTACCTTTTTTGTTGTTGTTTCACAATCACACAAAACACATCCACGCGGATAGCCTCACCTGTTGGAGCACTCGCCCGCTGTGGGATGAGGAGACGCGAAATCTAACGCGGCCCGATGCCTCTCCCACCTGTGCCGGCTTCTCGCCCATGGCCGTACGAATAAAAAGGCAAAAAACGCGGCAATTTGGGCAAACTACGAAGGCGGTGGAATCGTCTGCTGCCTGACCGTGGCCTTTAATGCCGACGATAGGTCGTTCTTTTGTCAAAAGACCCCGTTGGCTTCGGTTACGGCCAACTCTGTGTAGTAGGAGCGGGGGTGGGGAGGAGGATACCTGAGACGCGCTGGGCTCGTGTCAATAATGCATGCGCGTGTCAGCACGACAGGGAAGGGCATTTCTATCGACGACACGCGCACACACACGTAACTGGTCGCCCCCCACTTATTACATATGCATGTAAGCTTATTTTACCCCCCACTAAAGATACCAGCCACTCGTGAAAGAGCAGCCTCGCCCCACGTGAATTTAAAACAAATGTTTCCTGGATCTCTATATATAGATCGCGCACATCGAGGTGACAAGGTGCAGTGATTGCATTATGGCTCCAACCGCCGGGGCAATCAACGGTGGCCTTTAGACCCGCTTTGTAAGGGGCAATAAATTACGTTTTTGTTTGAGATAAATTTTCTCACGTGGCATTTTCGCTCAGTCATGACGCATTTTGAAAGTGGAACCCCCTTTTTGATAAAGATTGTTTCTTTCACTTTAATTCGGATTGATTAGTGGCAGCATTTTTGTTGGCTGAGCTAAATACCTGGTTTATTGGCGCCAATGTTTACAACATGCGATATCACAGGTCGCCGGGTGACTCAAAGATCAGAACACTCAAATGACATTTGAATATATCCTGGGTTTGAATACAGACAAGTCACCAATGACCTCATCACACTAAATTTGATTCTGCAATATACTTTTCCCGCGTGGATAGGAATAAGGTGCCGTCCATAAATGACGTCACGCGATTTTGGACAATTTTTGACCCCCCCCTCGTCACACGGCGTCACAAAAAGTCAGACCCCCTCTCAAATATGACGTCACAAAGCTCTGCCCCCCCCCACCCAAAAATAAAACATGCTTCAAGTCGCTTTAAACTATTGTCATTGTACTACGTATTTAATGTGGCGCTGCACTCTGATGTTGTAGGAGAAAACATTTATTAAAAAGTCTATTTAATTAAGTAGAACGTGTTGTCTATATTTATTTAAAGTTGCGCATTTTTATGTGACGTCACATTTCTCAAACCCCCCCCCCCCCTCGTCGCACATCGTCACAAATGTCTGACCCCCCCCCACCCTAGGTGCGTGACGTCATTTATGGACGGCCCCCAAGGAGACGTAGCCTCCTCTTGACTCCCTGGTTCACCTGTTGCAGAGTCTTCCAGCCCTCTTGGCCTAAGGCAGAGTAAAATACAGCGTACAGTGAACGCTCAATCATCCTTGGGCAGCATTACCCGATTTGCATATTCACCGTGCTCGTAGGATAATAAACTATCTCTGCGTGTGAGCTGGGCTATTATCAGCTGAGTCTCACCCAGTGTGGGTGAGGAGTGACTCAGGAGCCGAGGTGTCTGTAAACGTCCCCAAATAACCGGATTACTGTAAGAAAACAAATGACACATCCTCCACCTTCAACCCTCTTTTCTAAGTAGATAAACTGTAACGGTTGTCGTGCCTAATTGACATGCTTTGCATGACCCGTTGTTGTTCCAGGTCATCCCTCGTCTCCGTTACACCGGCTCATTGAGAGTTGGCACTTAATCCACAAATGTGTCCCCATCCATCCAGCTTCAAGTTCAGTTTGAGTCACCCAGATAACAGACGTTAAAGGCTTAACTTATGGCCAGGATTAAAAAAAAGTTAAATACAATACACAATTGCTCATTCAAACATAAACACAGCATACATCGACACTTGCCATTTAAGTAGGAGAAATAAAGGCGAATCAACTTGTAACGCGCACAGTACTTGCAGAGTAAAATAACGACTCGGAGGAGGAGTGAGGAACCACAGACGGGCAGGAAGGCAGGCACGTGGTGAGCCGGCGCCAACAATTGCCCAAGTTCTGCAGTCCTCTTTATATTCACGTGTTGTTGGCCAAATAATGAGACATTACACGTGGGAGGAAGCTGGACAAGTACGAGGAAACTGGAGCACCCGGAGAAAACATGTTTGCGAGGGGGAAACGCGCTATCCCATACAGACAAAACAGGTGGTTAGGGGGGGGGCATATCCTGGCTTGTCTTCTCCTGGCAAGCCAGGGCATGGCAAACCTCCTGGACGCCAACGGGAAGGGAGCTTCAAAACGTTTGTGTGATCCAACAACCCTCGCCTCCACATTGCGAGATTAAAGGCGTGGATCGCAGCCACCGCGCCGCTTATTAACCTGAGTAACTTTAGCGGTGTGAAATGTGGAATTTGTTGACACTTCTTTAATACTTGCATGGCATCATGAACTTAAAAAAACACACATTGTGTGCTGATTATAGCCGTCTGTAATTGGATGTAATCAATGGCGGAGCCAGGATTTTCAGGTATGAAAAGTGATAGAGGAGTTGTTAGTAAGTAAGGACTTGTCCCTTGCTTTTATATTCGACGCGTGTGCGGCGATGGCACAGCCATCGATCGAGGGGCGAATTCGAACCGCGTTTTGTGATCGGCATCGTGCTCGCTGAAGGTGTTGATGCCTTCAGGGAATTTGTGGACTGTATACGCAACTGCGCACAATTCTGAGTCACTTATAACCGCTTTGCCGTTACTTATTGCCAATTATGGACTCAGGCTATTGTCCTATCATCTCATAAAGTCCCTGGCAAAAATGCCGATTCGGATAATTGGAGGGGCACGTGCCACCCCCCCCCCACTGGCTCCGCCAGTGGATATAATCAATCACATTCAGTTTATTACCGCTATAATGAGCCAATAATGTCTGTGTGTAACGCGCGTGACGTCACTCGACATTCCGCACCCCCCGTCATTAATATTCATGAGCGGGTGGCTTTTACACTCACGCAGAAGGTCGAGCAGAAGTTATTTTTTTCGCAAATTCGCTTTAAGTTTGACGTTTCTTTATTGAAAGTGAACCTAATAAATTATTATACGCAGCAACAACGTGGATTTGGTGTCTTTCTTTATTCAGCACTTGAGACAAAAGGTAAGTTTAATTTATGCGTCTACATTATGGTAAAATAGACATTTCTCGGTGATTTTTCCAGATATTTGATCGAATTCTAATTTATTTCAATCCCAGCGACCGAAAGCAGAAGACAATAAATTATCAGAGCAGTGAATTTGAACAAATTGAAGGTCAGTTATATAAAGTGCTAAAAGTGATTATGAAGTGAGGTGTTTTATGGCAGAGCTTTGTGCAAGAATCACTGCCATTAATACAGTGCTACAGTGAAATGCAGTGAAGTGTTTCATGACATACTTTCGTGCAATATTCACTGCCATTAAATTCACACGATACAATTATACTGTGCTAAATGTTTTCCGTAAATATGACAGCTTCCGTCCTAGGACGGTCAAACTAGATAGTTTCAACATAGAAACCTATTCACTGTGTCCAATGAACGAATGTTTTTAAACAAAATGGTTTTGAGTAATGTATAAAAGGTTCGACACATATATATCCCGTTCGCAAAAATACGTTTTTGTTCAGGATGTGTGAAATGTTTATTGGGTTTTCCAAAAACTTGTATATGCAAATAAATGGCACTTAAACGCTGGCAAAAAAAAACACGTGTCCTACGGTAAACCCGGTCATAATCACGCGTTGCGAGTTTGAATTTTCACCTTTCAGATGTTCCACCTTCAAAGGATTCCGTAGTGCTGGCGACAAAAGCTGTTTCCGTCTGCCGTAGTTTGGGCGATTATTACAAGTGGTTGCATAGACGTCTCGTTTTATGCGTAACAGTCGAGTTGTAAACCAATAACAAGGGAGCCATTCAGTAGGGGGGAATGGCTCCGTTGAGCTGAAGATTGACTCGGGCCCTTTCATCCTGAGCGGGGGTCGATTAAATGAAAACCGCCTTATGGAGAAAGTCAGCAATGGATGCCCTATGGATAGACTTGCTCGGCCATATTAATGTGGAATTTCCACCACTGGATCGGCTCTGCAGTCGGGAGATGAGCACTGGCCTTTGATGCTCATTTGAGAAATAAATCGCTGAATTTGTCTCTTTAAAATAATGCTGCATAGACTGAATATCGTCGGCATACCAACCGTATGCCGACGTTGCCATACGGTTGAAACGACTGGACCAATGCTGGCCCAACGGTGGCCCAATGTTGGTTCAACATTGGCCAAACATTCCACGCTTATTTGGACACACGCAACAATGAGCCGAATGGGCACTGCTTCGTGACAGCGTCCCCTTGTGGCTGATACCTCGCGCTTACTGCCAAACCCAGGGGCTCGCGTTCACATCGCAGGAGAAGAGACAGAGAGGACACCTCGAACGCACAGGGGCCCAAACTGCGCATCCACGACAGGACAACCGACCGCAGAAAGAGGCTCCGCTTTACAAAGCCTCGGCGTCTCCCGTAACGATTCCCTCCCGTCGTCGTCGTCGTCACCATCATCGCCGCCGTCTCTCATCCCCTCGCCCTTTCCGTCTCCCGGCCACCGCTGCCAGGACTGGCGGCCCTTCCTCCTCCCTCGGCGTTGTCCCCTGTTTGTGCCGGGCCTGCGGCGGCAGGGACGGCGAGGTGACGTCGCGGCGTGGACGTCGCGATGCCGGGCCGCAGAGGAGGGCCCGGCGCTGACTCGGCCGGTGCGCGATCGACTGCCGGTGAGATGGGGCGGTGGGGTCTGGGGGGTGGGGGGGGTTGGTGCTGAGAGTGTGGGTGAGTGGTGGGGATGAGATGGTGAGTGTGGTGAGTGGCGGGGGTGATGAGTGGCGGGGGTGATGAGTGGCGGGGGTGATGAGTGGCGGGGGTGATGAGTGGCGGGGATGAGATGGTGAGTGTGGTGAGTGGCGGGGGTGGTGAGTGGTGGGGGTGGTGAGTGGTGGGGATGAGATGGTGAGTGTGGTGAGTGGCGGGGGTGGTGAGTGGTGGGGATGAGATGGTGAGTGTGGTGAGTGGCGGGGGTGGTGAGTGGCGGGGTTGGTCAGCTAAGGGGGTGGTGAGTGATGGGGGTGGTGAGTGATGGGGGTGGTGAGTGACGGGGGTGGTCAGCTAAAGGGGTGGTGAGTGTGGGTGGGTGATGGGGGTGGTGAGTGTGGGTGGGTGATGGGGATGGTGAGTGATGTTGGTTGTGAGTGATTGGGGTGGTGAGTGATGGGGGTGGTCAGCTTAGAGGGTGGTGAGTGTGGGTGGGTGATGGGGATGGTGAGTGATGTTGGTTGTGAGTGATGGGGGTGGTGAGTGATGGGGGTGGTCAGCTTAGAGGGTGGTGAGTGTGGGTGGGTGATGGGGATGGTGAGTGATGTTGGTTGTGAGTGATGGGGGTGGTGAGTCACGGGGTTGGTCAGCTAAGGGGGTGGTGAGTGTGGTGATGATGGGGGTGATGGGGGTGGTGAGTGATGGGGGTGGTGAGTGATGGGGGTGGTGAGTGACGGGGGTGGTCAGCTAAAGGGGTGGTGAGTGTGGGTGGGTGATGGGGGTGGTGAGTGTGGTGATGATGGGGGTGGTGAGTGATGGGGGTGGTCAGCTTAGAGGGTGGTGAGTGTGGGTGGGTGATGGGGATGGTGAGTGATGTTGGTTGTGAGTGATGGGGGTGGTGAGTCACGGGGTTGGTCAGCTAAGGGGGTGGTGAGTGTGGTGAGTGATGGGGGTGGTGAGTGATGGGGGTGGTGAGTGATGGGGGTGGTGAGTGATGGGGGTGGTGAGTGACGGGGGTGGTCAGCTAAAGGGGTGGTGAGTGTGGGTGGGTGATGGGGGTGGTGAGTGTGGTGATGATGGGGGTGGTGAGTGATGGGGGTGGTCAGCTTAGAGGGTGGTGAGTGTGGGTGGGTGATGGGGATGGTGAGTGATGTTGGTTGTGAGTGATGGGGGTGGTGAGTCACGGGGTTGGTCAGCTAAGGGGGTGGTGGGGGTGGTGAGTGATGGGGGTGGTGAGTGATGGGGGTGGTGAGTGATGGGGTTTTTTTACTTGGTACTGGGGTGGTAAGTGTGGGTGATATTGGGAGATGGGTGATTTGACGCGTGATGGATGAGTGACAGGTGTGTATGTGTCTGTGTGTGTGTGGTCAGTGTCGACTCAGCTTCAACCGAGTACCTGGCGCGGTGTGTAGTAAACATCGCCACTGGGGAGACAAAGGCGGCCGGGCGTGGTGCTGGCCACCCATCCCCTCGTGTGCCACCGTGCCGGCCTTCATAGGTGCTACTCGCTAACAGCACTTGCCCCTACAGTCTGTTCAGGCTCCACGGGGGATCTTTGTCTTGTGGTCAGTGTGATGTGATGGGTGCGTTGAGACATGTGCTGGGTGTTACGTGCGATGTGCGCATGATAATAGGTCGGTTTTTTTTTAAATATATAGCGTCATTTATATAACTGCAACAAAGAGGTGCGCCACACACGCATACATGATGGACATGACGATGTTTTCACCAAGTCATTGCTTATACGTGTGGGAGGAAAAACAATCGCACGTGCGACTGGGCAACTAGCGATCTCATATCGGATGGAACAGGTGAAGTTCCACGTTTGCTGTACTGCCTTCTCCCGGTGAGCCAGGGGGCATGCCACCGCGACAATCAGTTGTGATCCACCAACCCTGGCCTCCAAAGTGCTGGATTGCGGGCCACGTGCAGAGCCACCACTGCCCGGGATGTGGGCGTGCGTGCTGGGTGTGGTGTGGGTTGTGGTGTGTGTGTGTGTGTACGTGATGATGTGGGTGTGATGTGGGGTGTTGGTGATGGTGTGTATGTGATGTGGGTGTGATGTATGTACTGTGGTATGTTTCGTTCTGCGTGAAATGTCTTGTCACGTGGAATATGTGATGTGGGTGTGATTTGTGTGATGTGGGTGTGATTTGTGTGATGTGGGGTGTTGGTGATGGTGTATATGTGATGTGGGTGTGATGTATGTACTGTGGTATGTTTCGTTCTGCATGAAATGCCTAGTCACGTGGAATATGTGATGGGGGGTGTGTGTAATGTGGTGTGTGTCTTGCATGTCGTTTAATGGTATTGATTTAATGCACTGAACAGTAAGATATACTGTTCAGATTTAATGCACTGAACAGTATATCTTACTGAGTGGTGTGCGCCGTAGTGTCTCTGGTCTTTATTGTGCATAGAGTAATGTGTTGTTTGCATGCAGTACACATGTGTATGATGTCACGTGGCATGCTAGGGATGCTGGGAGGTAGGTCCAAGCTTATGGTCACAATAAGCACCAATTTTACGTCCGGAAATCACCTCTTGTGTGTGTGTGTGCGCGCATTACCCCTGCTGTGTGCGTGTGTATGCATTCCCTGTCATTTGTATGCGAGGCACGTTTATGTGCGCGTACCATGCGCGTCTTGTGATGACCGCCACTCGGTGCTATCTATCTGCCCTCGTTCGATAAGCGATGATTTTTTTAGGAGTGACACTTGGAGCGTGAGTGTCGAACTATTAGCTTGCGGCTCGCGTCGAGTGAACGCGACGAACTGGACTGCATATGGACGTGCAGAAACGGTGAAGTTAAGTGTCCACAGGGCTTTCGCTTCGTGTGCTCCTCGCAACACAAAGGTTACGTGCGCTGAGCTCTGTAGTGGCCAAGACGGCGTCACCCGCTGTAAGTTGGGCCACCTGTAACACATGTATAGAACATGTTTAGAACATAGGACGCGGTTGCTGTATGCTGCTGTGCCACGACTTGAGGGATGGTGTCAAGAGTCATAACAGATAGGAGGTGTACAACATTATTGCGGCAATTTCCTGCTCGCATGAAAAGGTGTGGTTTGTGTGCATGTAGTTTATGGGCAAGACGGTGACTTTATCACCGGGCAATTCAAAATTGGCAAATGTCCATATTAGATAATTTACCTATTTTTTTTTTAAACAGTAACGTTTTTGTTTTCAAAGATGCTGCCTAAAGGCCTCCAGCAATATTGCCCTGATAAAATGATCAGAGCGGGGCGGTGGGGCAGTTGGTTAGCATACTCTGCTATACATCTGGAAACCACAATTCTCTTCCTGGCCATAGCTACCACCAGTGGTGATTGACGTCTTTACCTGCCATGGGACCCCCGAGCGTGGTGAAGTATGATGAAGCAAACTCTCCATCACTGACATGGCATGGAGAGAGACATTTTTTTTTCTTCTGGTAATGGGTTGACAATATCAAGAACATTGCAGCTGTGGTTTCATTTAATAGTGGTAGATTATAATTATGTTGGAGGCGAAAAAAAATACACACTGTACAAAGTGTGCGTTACGTGGTTCAAGCATGAGGGCAAAAGTGGATCACTGCTTTTGGTTTTGAGGGGTTGGCTAGAAAAGCCAGATACAAATCAAACAATGGCCTGCACTGAGTGACGGTGTTGATTGCATTGCCACTTGGAAGTGACATGGCCTACTGGCGGCACGTTCGCCGATTGCTACAGAGGTTTTGCGGTTCGAATCCAGCGGCCGCCCTGGCTATTAATGCGGCAGAAATAGCCGCTCATGTTATTCGTGAGAGCAGGCCGTAGTGTTCCAGCGCCATGGTACAAATCTGACACGTTCTAAAATTACCCGCAAATTTCTCAATTGGGATTATACATAGCAATCATTTCCGCCCACTGGCAGAGTAATGTACCCAGGTCACTCTTGAAATTGAGACTATCCTGGCCTCTTTTGAAACTGAATACATTTGAAACTTAGCTTGTGTGCAATGGGCTGATATACTGTACAGTACCGTACCATACTTCTGAAAAATCTGGCCACACGCTTTACCATGCGTAAAATTATGCAACTGAAAACGATGTGCTTACAAATTGTCAAACACTGTATTAGCATAATATGCTCTATTTACGGTAATTACTATCCTACCTGTACGTATCTGTTTGTTTCAATACGGAATAATTTATCCACTGTATTAAGCTTTAAATCCTTCGGCAACCTGATTTCGATTCTCATGGTTAACATCCTTGCTGCATGATATCTGAACCTGTCCTCTATGTATATTGAACTTTTTTTCCCACCGTACGTAGCCAGCCGTGCTAATGGGAGGTGGTGCGTGACCCACACGCACCAGCATGATTAAATATTGGTTTAACACTTAGGCTTTCGCGACCAATATCATCCATAATACAGGTTTTTTTGGGGTTAGATCACCTAAATATATAAATGTCGTTCAACCCGCCACCACCTGACACAGCCAATTTAGTAAGGTTTGTCACATAAACAGAACATGCCAATTCGTTACTCGAGAGCAAAGCCAACACAGATTGTAGATGTTGTGGCTTTGCTCTCCAACACACCGGTGTGCTGTACTAGTAACCAATTGGTACTTTCTGTTTACGTGACAAACCTTACTAATTGGCTGTGTCGGGTGGTGGCAGGTTTAACAACACATTTATATATTTACGCGATCTAACCCAAAAAGAAACCTGTATTATGGATGGTTAAATATTGTAAAAACGATCCCTGTGGCCGCCAAGGTGTGGGAAGACCTTCATCCAGTAGTGGGTTGACACAGGGCTGTAAAATAGTATTATCAGGACAAATTCTTCAAACATTACTTTCCATGTACACATATTATCGTAGGCAGACGGTTGAGGTTGATGCTACCTTTTGTTCGTCACAGTTTCTACATCAGAAACTGGTCCAGAAACTGGACTTTCTAGTCTACAACTAGCACGTTGGCAATTCGTAA